CGGTGTGATTCGACAGGAGGCACGTTGTAGCCTTGTCGATCGCCGAAACCATGACGATGGGAGACGACAGAAGGGAAGCAGCGACCTTGCGGGGACTCTGCTGCACATCCATGGATCTCGAGTCAGAATCCATGAGAGCTAGTTGACCGTTGTTGCGGCCCCAGCAGAACAACGAAGACCCCGTGTGTGCGACTGAATGGATAGCTGATGCCGCAACACCCAGAATGACCTCTTTTTTCAGGGGACCGAACACCTGGCGTGGCGTCACACACATTGGTTCTTCTTCAACCTTGCTCGGGGGTGGTAGGGTGTAGCCCAGTTGTGATTCCGTGTTGAGCCCCCACGTCCAAAGCTCCCCATTGTCCGCAACGGCTAGAGTGTGGTTTTGGCCAAGTGCAACTTGGTGAATCTTTCTATCCGTGAGAGGTCCCTGTACAGAAACGAACCGAAATTGCGTGTTTTCGTCGCCAAGTCCCAACCGTCCACCTCGCCCGACACCACAGACGTAGAGGTTGGAGACTGGATCATCTGTGAGGATGGCGCTATGCAGCTTCGCCATGACCATGTCTTTGATCACGAGTGGCTGTTCGCGGACCATAGTTGGAATTTCGGTGACGGGCAAAGATGCATCAGGCTCTTCTAAACCATGTCGCTCACAGTACTCGGCGTACAGAGTGTGCAGTAGAGAATCCGGTCGGCGAAGGTGGATGCGTTCGGGGAACTGTCGATCATCTTCGTCGCCGACTCCAAGAGACATGTTCTTGTTGCTCCCGAAGACGAATAGCTCATCCCCCTCGCAATGAAAGTCCAGATGTGACTGAGTTCCACGCAGCCTGCCCTCAATTAGTACGCGACTCGGCAACGGCAATCACGGAGCATTGACTCACCCGCTTATTGTATGAGCAACATCATCACCGCTTTCTGAATCGGAGTCCGAGGCATTCGCTTGCACAACATCTTGCAGAGACCGAGTCGCAACCGTTGAATTGTAGACATCAAAAGGGCTGTTGCCCTCCTTGTCCTTGGTCTTGATCAACTGGCCAACCTTACCAACGGAGCTCATGTGATGGCTTGTCAGGTATTCTCGCTCCTTCCTCAGTAGCATACGTGCTATCGACACATTTCCAGCGTACAAGGCTCGGTGGAGGGCATTCCAGCCGCTTTCTTGATCCTGCGCGTATAGATCGATAGACGGGTGCTCAAGGAGGGCACATATGAAGTCGCGCGCCGTCGGGTCGGTCGATATCGCGGCACGCAGGAGCAGGGTTAGCCCACTATGGTCACGACTGTTGATTTCGGGTCGCCCGATGAGATTCGCAGAGTCTCTGTGTTTACCAGGCGTAAAGCCGGAAACTCGTCGAGTCTTGCCACCGGCCCGTGGCGAACCAGCAGGGGCGCCTGGGCTTTTGGCGAGGAAGCCTCCATCATAGCTCAGGCCGGGGCTCTTGGATAGCGGGTGTGCGTTCTGGGTGCCAGGGGCCAGAAGACGTCGAAATTTCTCGACATCTTGTTCCCAGTAGTATTTCCAGAGCAGGTGACTCATGGATCAAGGTGTTGTAGGGGTTTCGCTCGTCCGGACGCTTGGAGAAGCACCTCGCTGTTGCTCTCTTGGAACACGGCGTATTTAAAGGTGCGATTCAAAGCGTCGGAGAGAGTGTGGAGGCGAGTTCGGCGATTGGGCGCGTTCAGGACCGGATGTCGCAAGTTTGATGTCTGGCGTTCGCGATGGCTTCCGAGGGTTGGGGTGGTCGGGGTTAACGGCTGTCGTGGCTGCGAGGTACGTGAGGCGGTTTCGAGGAATAGGAGAACGCCACAACTTGACAGCCGATCTGAGTTGCAGTGGTTAAGGACTGATTTTGATATCCAGAGATACGAGAAGGAGGTAAGGCGACTGTAGACAGATTTGTGGTGGTGGCAGTAGCTGTGGTGGTGTTGGGGCAATTGCGACGGAGGGGACGATCCGGAGCTTCTTGTGCGCGTCAGCACTTGTTGCTTCGCATTTTGTCAGTCCCAGGCCGGGGATCCATACCACCTTGGTACTTTTGAGCTGTTAGTGTTAAGTAGCAAGCATTGCTTGATATTTGAGCTGCAACTAATGCAAATATCTTTGAAGTCGTTTTATTTCTCCCTCATCATCTGTACGTATCCTCGGACGCTGTCGTGATGCTGCCTCCGGTCTTGATCTGACGATTCGCGCAGCCAATGGCGCACCAGCCCCGCCAACGTGTATAGGGCGCCCCTCGCAATCATGCCACACATGGGGGCATGAAATTCCTCATGAGAGCACATGTCGCAGCGATGCTCCTCATTTGTTCTTACGGAGAACTACGGGCTAGCCATAGTGCGCCGCGGCGGGCAACATCACGGGCATCCATCGTCGTGGACTCGCCGTCACTTGTTGACACCGTGCATTGGCCTATAAACCCCTGCCCTGGCGTGGGCACTCGCGCGCCGAGGTTGCGAACTAGCGGGCGCGAATCCGGGGATTGGAGAGTTGCAGTATGGCAACACGAAGCCTAGCTCAGCTGGCAAAATAGAAACAGGCCGACGAAGTACGCAAGAGAAGCATTGAGAATGGCAAATGTAGTTTTTGTTGATATGTTTACCAGGAGACAGAAAGAGCAAAAGTAAAAGGCGTTTTTTGTTACCCAGGAGTATGGGTTTTGATACACGCTTGATGTTAGATATTTGGAAATACAAGCATGACAAGAAAGTCAACCTTACATTGTTCAAGAAATTGCCATTGTGAGCATACCAAAGACCTTGGGTCACTTGTAGAGAGCCTCAGGGCCTCGACGCGATTACTGCGCAATGGGCGAAAGCATGCTGGAGTCGCATCGTTTAAATGGTAGAGCCTCAGGGTAGCTGAAATGAGCTGCTTTCATCGGGGCATGTTCGGCAATCGGAATACGTGCTCAGATAAAAGCAAGAGTCCGGATGAATGCTGGAGACTGGAGCGCAAGACCAGACCCACTCCGCCATTTGATCCACGTCCAGACTCCCTCCCGCCCACCGAAGCGCTCCAGTCGAAATTCCTGCTCCCGGTCAAGGTCGGTCGGTGTCTTGAATCCCTCAGCACGCGACCCACCGACTTGCCGACTTGACTTTGTCATTGTCATTTCTTCTTTGCGCGCGACAGGCAGCAATTGAAGGACAACCAGCATCCCATCTCTCACTGGACCAGCCAGGAGCCAATTGCCCGCCATGTCGTCCGATAAGCCTCTCCCCTTTGTCTACCAGTTCGCCGCAGGTATGTACTCGATAGTCCCGACCCTGATGGTCATCAGAGCTGACCGTGGGCAGGCGCCATCGCCGGTGTGTCTGAGGTACGCAAAACGTCCTACAGACGCTGATGGGCCGTTGTACTGATCGTCTGTGTGTCTGTGTAGATTCTGGTCATGTGCGTCTTCTCCCTCAGTTATCATGGATGCCGTCGTTAACCCGCATAGGTACCCGCTTGACGTGGTCAAGACTCGAGTGTAAATACCACGAACAATTCCTCTCGCGATCGAACACCCCGAGCTGACAAACTACGAATAGTCAACTCCAGACTGGAAAGGGTGGAGCTGACCACTACAATGGCATGGTCGATTGCTTCCGCAAGATCGTGAAGAACGAGGGGTCAGTCCATCGTACCCAGCAAGGACGGACAAGACGCTGACCCAGAGCAGCTTCTCCCGTCTTTACCGTGGCATCTCTGCCCCTATCCTCATGGAGGCGCCCAAGCGTGCCACCAAATTCGCGGCCAACGACGAATGGGGCAAGGTCTGGCGCAATGTTTTTGGCGCGCCCAAGATGACCCAGTCCCTGTCCATCTTGACAGGTGCGTCCGCTGGTGCTACCGAGGCCTTTGTCGTGGTGCCCTTTGAGCTGGTCAAGATTCGCATGCAGGACAAGTCCTCGGCCGGCAAGTACAACGGTGCCATCGACTGCGTCACCAAGACCATCCGCAACGAGGGTGTCCTGAGCTTGTACCAGGGTCTGGAGAGTACCATGTGGCGCCACATTCTCTGGAACGCTGGCTACTTTGGCTGTATCCACCAGGTCAGGCAGCTCATGCCCACGGCAAACAGCAAGCAGCAGCAGATGAGGAACGATCTGATCTCGGGTTCGATTGGTGGAACCGTTGGTACCATGCTCAACACGCCCATGGACGTTGTCAAGAGCCGTATTCAGAACACCTCCAAGATCCCCGGTCAGGTGCCCAAGTACAACTGGGCCTGGCCTGCTGTCCTGACCGTCGCTCGCGAGGAGGGTTTCGGTGCTCTGTACAAGGGTTTCTTGCCCAAGGTACTGCGTCTTGGTCCTGGTGGCGGTATTCTGCTGGTTGTCTTTACTGGTGTGATGGACATGTTCCGCAAGATGCATAACCCTACCTTGTGAAGAGAGTCAGACCCATTAGAAGCGGAGGAGAGATAGAAGAGGGCGGCGCTCATGATTTATAGACGGATCATGGGTGACAGGTCCTCAACACACCAAGACTTTGGGGTTTTTCGGCCATACAACCGATCGTCTTCTTTGGACTTAGTGAAGCAAGATGAGATCAAAATTGAGCACTGACAACACCAGACCTGCAGTATGCCCTTTTCGTCCAAAGTAGCGGACTGCCGCCATGCTGCATGTCGCATCATCGCACCGTGCAGCACGGCCCCACTCGTTGTTGATTTCGGCCCCCGAGTCCGGCCTGGTTTTTCGGTCCCGCGCCGACCACTTCTGATCAGATGGCAATGAATGCAAGTTTCCGGATAACACTCAGAGTGCTCTCGCGAGCTATAAGAAGAGAAAGGCATTTCTCGCAAGGAAGGAACGCACTCTTTGAGCCCGCTCCAGATCGAAGTATAAATACCATCCCTTTCTCCCACCAATTCGTTTCCTTTCCTTTCTCTCTCTTCCGTCTACTACTTCAACATCTCTTCTAAATCTTCAGCATCTATTCTACACAGCACAACCCTCTCTTTGCTTCTATATTTTCACATAGAACTTCACGTCATTAGTCAACAATGGCCGACGACCCAGATGACTACGAAGACGTCATCTTCACTGAGCCAGAAGCGGACGGCCAAGAGGGGTCACTCTTCGTCGACGGTGACGGTACACCTCAGGTGGAAACGACACCCGATCTCCGCAACGACAGTCCATTGTTCGTACCCAGCAGCGCCAGTCCAGCTCCCTCGGCGCGCTCAGCATACACAGCACATACCTCTGCCAGTGAGGGTGACATGCTGCGCACCGCTCTGAGGAACAGCACAAGTGCAATCCCCGAAGGCCAGGAACAGGAGCTGCAAGACCCCGACGACGAGGCTGTGGCTTCTGATGTTGAGTCGGAGGCTCCAGCTCCTCTCACATGCAATCGCAGAAGCATCAAGAGACCACCGAAGCGCAACCAGCCTAACAAGGGTCACCGCGGTGGTGGTGGCGGAGGAGGAGGAGGAGGAGGAGGAGGAGGAGACGACGACGACGACGACGACGACGACGACGACGACGACGACGACGACGACGACCCCGATGATGATCCCAGGCCCGCAGAGCCTCAATGGGAGAATGAGCACTGTCACGCAAACTGCCGAATTGGTTGGAATATGCTCGAAGCCTGGCACGAACGGCAAAACGCACGTCGCAACGCACGCCACCGTGCCAGAGAGTTAGCATTGGCCCGGCGAGTTCACCAGCGTGATGTCCAGATTGCCCAGCTTCAGACCCGGAATTCACAGCTCCAGGCCCAGCTTGCGGGCCAACGGAGACCAGCCCGTACTACTATCGTAAGTACACTTTGTTCTTTTATCTGAGAGCATTGCATTAACTTTTGGATAGACATGGAAACACAAGTTTGCCAACTTTATCAACAAAGGAGAGGGCAATTGGATGGAGGTGTGCAAAGACGCTTATAAAGAGCTGAACATTTGTCAAGATTTGAGATTGGTTCATCCGGGTATCGCTTTCACGCCCCCGAGCGACAGAGACATCGAAAGGCACGTACTTGCGGATGAACGGTATGACGCAACGGCTGCGGAACAGAACACCGACCATATGGCCGTACCAGGTCTGGACAAATTGCCACAGTTTATCCGTACGCGTATTCTAGAGCACATACTCGTGTTCAGCGACAACGTCCATGTCATCTCAAGGCCCGACCTATATCAGGCGCCCATCCTCCAAACACACCAGCAAGGTCGCCGCGTGACGGCTAACGAGATGACCATCCCCCGCCGCTTCTTCATTGGCAACGGCGACTGTTCAATCACCTATGCCATACGCCCAAAGCATTTGCTGTCAGTTTTGGGTGTCAATCGTAGCTGGAACGCTTTGGGCACGGCCATTTTCTACGGCAATAACGTATTTGCCTTCTCGTCGCTTGGCGAATAGGATCGCTTCTCCATGGGAATTGGCAATATCTTGCAGCACATTGGACACATTTCATTCTTATGGAAAGGCACACAGTGTCTCGTCTTCCCGCGGCAGTATGAAGTGCTCAAAAATGGCTCAAGAGGCAGCACTGCCAAGTATGCGTCAAGGCGTACCCACGGTCTGGGCCTCTTGCCTCAGGCCATCCGCCTCAAGACCATCCGGATCCACGTCCAGGAATCTTCGGAGAAGTGCATACGTCGCCAGCATGAGACTGGAGGTGCCAGGCGCTACATGAACGACATCACCGAAGGACAGCCCAACAACCGCCGCAAGCGTAACCTCAAGACCTTGCAAGGCTTGGATTACTTGGAGTCTCTCCGAGGGGTGAAGTGGGTACAGATTTTCGACTTTGACCACTGGCTTCACCGAGGCAAACTGGTCCCCGTTTGTGACTACTCATTTGTTCAGTGCGTGCAGAGCCAAATTTACCGACCCAAGGGTGGCGAGGCACAGGAACTTTCGGAGCTGAGTGGAACACATGCCACTCTGACGAACTATCAACTGTCACACTACGAATGCGGGATACTGGAAGCGATCAGTGCATATCACACAGCGAGAATTATAAAACAGGAGCAAGGGCCTCATCCAGGCCCACCGCCTGCTCCTGGCATGGTTCCCATCGAACTGATCACCATCAACGATAGTGAGGAAGATGGCAATACCGATGACAACATCTCGAGCGTCAGCGATGAATCAGACACCGGATCTAGCTCTGAGGAGGAGGACGACGACGAACCAGCGAAGACACCGACCCAGTTCGACCCTGGTTACCACACGCAGCCATCCAGCTTTGAGCCAGAAGGAGCTTTCGGAAGCGCAACGAGTCCATTGATTATCTTGGACGATAGCGACGAGGAGAGTGAAGACGAAGATGTGGATGGCGTGGAGCACGCGGAAACGTTCGACGACAGCGGCGAGGAGAGTGAGGATGTCCACATGGGAAACGCCGAGAAGACAGAAACCCTCGAGATTGATATCGACGACGACGACGTATCGCCCGCGCATGATGCCGTCGGTAACCGCTTTGATAGTGCTGCTGGATTGTCCATGGATTCAACGGGTGGAAATATTGGCCAAAGGCCTCAGGATGAAGGCAGTCTGTTTGTCCCCCAGGGGATGGACTTGGATAGCGACGACGGCTGCGACGGACAAGACGAAGACGGGGAACACAGCATGGCTGATGGCGTTTGATATCAGGTGCTTCCAGCTCGCACAGAAGTTCGGTCATTGCAACACTATGCAATTATTTCGTAGAATTTGCTTCGCATCTCAGGTTGGGTGTTGATTGCTATTGGGTCACTATCTGGTTGTTTTCGGAGACATTGGCGCTATGGACAGGAATCAGACTTTTTTTTTTACTTGCTAACGGGTAATTGAGGCCTCAAGATCCTGAAAGCTAGGTCTAGACAGTCAGGCCTTTTCAAATCGGAGTTCATCATTTGGTAATCTACCTCAAGAGTCACGCGTCCGAAATCGCACGCTACAAATGTCGACTCATCACAGTTGGCAGCGGTGGGGAGACAGACAATACCACATAAGGTAGGCATCAAATGCCACAAACTCGAGCTGAACAGCATGATTAGTCTCAAAAAAGAACAGCCATTTGATTTGATCGATAGAATGAACAAGTTTGTTAGCCGACACTCTCCAGCAAACTCCCTTGGCTTACAGGTTTCCTCCCAGTCTCACGGTCCACCTCCGCCAAATCAACCCTCACCACACACATCACCAACAGCTTCAACCCTTCGCTCGCAACGAAGAGAAAGCCTTGAAGGATGGAACTCCCCTTCATCACTCTCGATGTCTTCACGACGGAGCCTTACAAGGGCAATCCGCTGGCCATCGTCACCATCCCAGCGTCGCAGTCACCTGCCCCCACCCAAGAACAGAAACAGCTCATTGCTCGCGAGTTCAACCTCTCCGAGACGGTCTTTGTTCATGAGTCGGCCGGCTCGTCGCGGAACATTGACATTTTCATCACCGACACGGAAATTCCATTCGCAGGCCACCCCACCGTCGGGACAGCCGTCTCGTTGCTCTCGCAGGGCGTGAACGAGCTGGTCACGAAGGCAGGGCCCATCGCCATCGACTCCCCCAAACAGGGCTACGTCAAGGCCGGCATCCCCTTCAACACGCATCAGCACGCCAACACGCTCGGCAGCCTGCAGGATCAGATCGCGTCCACCTCTCTTCATACCAATGTGGTGATACGCAACGCTGAGCTCGTCGCTCCGCTATTTAGCATCGTCAAGGGGATGACCTTTGCCCTCGTCGAGCTCCCCGATTTGGAGACCCTCGCCGCTGTGGTAGAAATCCCCGGACGGTTCTCGCCAGAGCTCTTCCTCGACGAGGACTGGATGGAGGGCATCATCGGCCAGTTCTACTATGTCAAGCAAGGTGGCGATGAGGACACGGTTCACCTGAGGACCAGGATGATCATGAGCTTCGAGGACCCTGCCACTGGCAGCGCCTCGTGCGCTTTGGCTTGCTACTTAGCCAGCAAGAGTGGCACGATGAACAAGGCGATCACGTACGAGATGACGCAGGGCGTGGAGATGGGCCGACAGAGCGACATTATTGTCGAGGTTGTCGTGAAAGACGGCCAAGTCGACAAGGTCAGCTTGGCGGGTACGGCCAAACAGGTTATGCGTGGCTATGTGACGGTCTGATTATTCCGCGACCACACCGATCCAAACGTACATATATATGTTCATTAGAAACGGAAATTGTATTTCGGCACCATTTTATACACAAGTACACCGGATAATGCAATGCTTCTTGAAACAACAAAGTTCCCTCCCCCGTGACGCCAATGTGCCTCCCCACCGCTCCCCGCAAGAAAATGCCTAATTTGCTGCTCGTATCGTACAAAAGTCCAATTCACAATCATGTTTTGTTTCGTCCGGTCCGGTGCGCCTTCGCCCTGTCTAACAATTCCGCTCATGACCTGACCGCCGCCGTGACATTTCATCGAATTGTCTATATAAGTTCTCAGGGATCGCTGAGAGAGTAATTTTGTGTTCTAACCCCTATTCATTGGGTATGTGGCTCGCCGTCGTGGAAGCCGACCAGACACGTGGACTAGATAATGTCGTGCAATGTTCGTGGTCAAGCGTTCTCTCACTGTCCACGGAGTAGTGTCATAAATCGCTCGGCAATCTCGACAAAGTTAGCTGCCGTTGAATGAAAAAAAAACACAAAATTTTTTTTAAAAAAAAGGGGAGAAGGGGGACAGTTCAGGCTCACCTCGGGATCAGCCTTAATAAAAGGCAAGTCAAAGAACGAATACTTCTCGTTCTTCAGGAGCTCGACGATTGTGGCCATCAAGCCCCAGGGATGTGGCCAGAATCCGCCAAGTCTCTCCAACAGAATCCGGGTAATATCTTGTCGAATGGCCATCTCCTCAGGATCCTCCATGTCTCTGCCGAATATGTGCAGCAGAGCCTGGCTGTAGAATTCGGTTTGGGGCGTGTGAGCACGCAGTTGGTTGATAATGCTAGCCAAGAGATAGTATCGCACAACGGGAGACAGCTCGTGGATAAGCATAGAAAGGGTGGCCACCTCAGGCTCGTTACCAGCCACAGCGACTGGCCCACCGACCTGTCGAGCTCTCTCGGTTACGCTGTTGCCTAGATGGACCACGACAGCTCCGACAACGAGCGCGTTGACGGACATGGCAGCGTGACCGAAACCAGTATTGCGACCCCCATCTTGCGACATGGTGTGTCCAATTTGCGCCACCACATCTTCGGAAGGGCCGTTCCGGATAGCTTGATCCACAATGTTCAGGAGACCACTGTCGTGGAGAATTCCGGTAGACTCATCGCCCACAGTGCCGACCGCATCATCCGGCTGCCCAGCCTGTTGTGGGTGGGCGGCAAGAATTGTGTTGATGAGCTGCGTGCAATGGGGTGGCACGCTAGCGCAGAACCGGATCTGGTGGGCGCACACAAAGTCGGGATAGTCGTGCTGCACAACGACGAGCAACTTCCAAGCGGCACGGTACAGTTCTTTCCCAATGTCAGAGACAGTGATGGCCTTGAGGTGCTCCCCAACACATTCCAAGAGCTGGCAAACGAGATCGGCAAACGGCTTCCAACCCTCGTTGTTCGGGAGACTGAGCACGTGGGGAAGGAATGCGCGATGTTTGAGAAGCTCCAGCCAGCCAAACACGAAGCCCGGGATGTGCAAGGGTCCCAGTCCGCTGAACCTCCGAGCAAACTTGAGCACCATCTGCTGGCGCTCCTCGTCACTGTAGTCGCTCGAAATGTTGAGCACTTGGTGCAACAGCATCGACAGGAGACGGAAAGAGACTTTCTGCGTTATCGCCTCGCCTCGCTTCGACTGTTGGAAGTTGACAATGAGAGATACCAAAGCCAGTACTGAATCCAACAGCTTGGGTCGAGCACCTTCGTCATCTGCCTGGCAGCTGATGAAAATGCTGATGAGGGTGGCCAGAGCATCGATGGTCACGTAGCTATCAGCGACGTTGCCTGCGCGGATACAGCGCTCAAAACGATCAAACGACATGTCCATTGCCACGCGGACGAAGACATAAAAGTCATCGCGATTGCGGACGACCTGCTTCGACTGCAGTTGGTGCAGGAACAGCGTGGTGGCCTTCTCGGGCACATTGAAGTTGTTGCAGAGGTGTACCCATTCCTCGAAGCAATACTCCATTTGGTCCAGTCGAAACGCGTCTTGATTCTCGCCCTCCAGAATCTGGGGAGCAGGGGCCGTCAGCTTTTCTCTGAGCTGCTGGGCCATGGGCGAGGTGGGAAACTCGGAGATGCAAGCCCATGCCTCCTCTAGAGTGCGAACAAAGTCAGCGAACATCGCGATGGGCCTGTTGTTGAGCAATGCTAGGTCCAGAACGCTGTCCAGGAATTCGAGAGCAGTCTCCTTGCGGCTTTCCAAGGCACGCGACAAAGCGAGGTCAATGACCTTCCAGTCTAGAAGATCAGTGTGGATCAGTGCGTTGAGCAAGGGCAGGCTTAGGTAGCTCTGACCTGGCTGCTGGCTGAAGATGATGTGTACGCGACTGTTCACGGCACCCCCGGAAATCTTCATGACATGCTCAAGCACATGTACCAGACTCTCTAAAGTCAAGCTGTCTTCGCTCTGGAAAATGTGTGTGCTGATCTGCTCAACGGCATACATGACGAATTCCTCGGAAGCCTGAGCCTTGATGATGAGCTGCATCAAGGCGTCAACTACGTCCAACACGGGATGAGGTCGTGGCAAGCCAACAAAGTGCTCTTCGCGGGCTTCGCCAGCAACCCGCTGCAGTTCTTGCAGTAGCTTGTTGATACGCTCTCCGAGCGCACGCATCTCCAAATGGTACGTTGGCGTCCGGCCGTTGGCAATGTTGCCCGCTACGTTAGAGTGGACAGGCGGGTAAGGTTGTATCGGATTCCCCAAATGCTGTGCAGATGGTGTCTCGGCAGGCGTCGGGAGATTAGGCAGGGGAGTGTACTGTTCCTGCAAAACCTCATTGGCGAGGGACCTAGTGGCATCTGACGTCGAAGGAGCATGCGCTTGACCAGACGATGCTGTGGTGGAGCGAGGCTGCCGACCAAAGTCCTCATAGATGGCCATCTGCTCCGGATTGAGGCCATCCATATTAGGACTAAGCTTGTAGGGATTCGGAATCGTCATTGACCATCGGCTCGCGTTGCTGTCATAATACGGCTCATTCGGCCGAGTTGCGCGATGGATTCTGCGATTCTCAAGCTCTGGCGCCATCATCTGTTCGATTTCTGGGATGGCTCTCTCCTCAGCCTGCTTCTCGATGATACTGCAGGCCAATTCAATATTCGAGTTGACACACATGATGATTGTGCCTTCCGGCAGACCGGAAGGCAAGTCGTTGGCCAGACCACGTACGTAATTAGTAAAATTAGCACGCAGCGGCTCTTTGCTAGTAACCAAGGCCAGGCTCCCCGCAGTGGCCTTGACCATGTTGACGGCAGATGTCCGAACGCGAGCCTCATCGGGCTCGGTGACAAAATCTTTGCGTATCATTTGCATTGTCGAGATAGCAGCAATGGTAACAGAGCGGTCGACGACTGGTTGAATAATGTCTTGGAGAGCTCTCGTGAGAGCAGTGAGTACGATCTCGTGCAAGCGACCAGTGCTAACAACCATCTCGTTGGCAGGCGGGATGGTAATTAGTGGGCCAAGCTCCGGCAGTGTAGGCGCGTTGGCTTGTGATTGAAGCCCGCTGGCCACCGCAGGACCAAGACCATTGAGCGAGAGGCTTTCGAACGTATCAAGCTGATCGGCGGAAAGGACGCCAGCTGATTCTTCCATTGCGGGTCGGTTCAGGATCTCACCCGATGGCTCGATACTCTTGTGGTCAAGATTCAAGCCCTTGCAAAGAACCTCAATCTCAAACTTGAGGTTTAACTTGAGCTCAGCATTGTGGTACAAGTCGATCAGTAGGTAGATGATGTCCATCAGCCAAGGATTCGGTGGTCGGAATACGGCAGATAAAGCACCCTGAGACAGAACCTTGCAGACGAAAGGGATGACCACGATGAGTCTCTTGGTGTCGTGCGCCTCGATGAGCAGCTGCTTGAACGCAATGTTGCGGTGCTTGATGGGTTTGTCGCGTGCGAGCGTGAGCAGCCCAAGCCAACCACCCAGATTCTTCAGATGAGTGCGCTCTGTCGAATTTTGCATCGTCCCTTCTGAGTTGAGCATGCGAGTGACGCTCACATATGTTTCCCGTAACACCTCCCTGAGTAAACCAGGGGTATGTAGCAGGTTGATAAGTTCCAAATACACATGGTGATAATTCGGTTGCATCTTGGCTCTTTCCTCGACGAGATGGCTCGCAAACCACTGCTGGTGACCATGCTCCATGGTTTGGCGGAGCTCATCGGACATGGATTGCAAGGTGGATTCTGTCAAGTTGTTGAGCGAAAATTGGATGCGGTCTTGGGCATCCTCGCTTGGGTCTTCAAAACCAGCGTCTGAAGGGATGGGGTCCACGTGTAGCGCACGGAACGGCGGTGGTTGGCCGTCGGACAAGCCGCTGTCTTCACCATGACCGTTTGTGAAGCCATCCTCGCCGAATCCCAGACCAGGGGGCGTATTTGTTCCGTTGTGTCCTCGTCTCAGCTCCTCTTCGTGCTCTCGCAGCGTTTCCTCGGCTTTCTTGAATGCTTCCGTGCCTCGCAGTCCCGGAATTTGCACCAGTTGCTTGCAGAATCCGGGCCACTCACGGAAGCGGACAAGAAGCTGCATCAGTGCTTGAAGCCCAAATTTGTACATTGGTTGATCAGGCGCGTGGTCACGGACAGCTTCAAGGATCATACCCAATCCTATTTGCAGGGGAAGTTCCGAGATTAGTCTGTGGGAGATAATGCCACCAAAAAGCACAGCTGTCGTGGCCAAGGCTTCTAAAGGATACCCAGAGAAGTGAGCATATTCGTCGAAAAGCCCGTGAATCATGCACGCAAATACGTCCTGATCCAGCGGATCTCGTGAGTGCTTGTACTGGTCCAAGATGCCGACAATCTCTCTGACTTGGAGCTCATCACCGTACATCTTCTTGTAGTGTTCTTCCATTTTGGCGTTCGCCACCGAGTTGAGCGCATTGCCGTTCCTGCCATTGCCGTCGATGATGTCGTCGAAACCTTCACCATAGTTGATGAGCCGAGGATAGGCGGTAATACAACTGCGTTGAACGGCGATCAGGTCCGGGATGGGATTGATGGTGGGCATGTAATCGCCGACAATCTGGAGGAGCTGAGAAACCGTTCGAAGTTGCAGAGTAGTCGTGGTCTTGACGGCCGGTTGTCCATCCGGTGGTCGCTGGTAGCTGCTTTCGAGCTGGGCTTTGATCAGTAGGAAACGAAGGATCAGCTGCGCGACGACGTCGCTCCGTTCAGCGTTGGCCTGTTGCCATTGGGCAAGGTCTAGATAGCCCTCCGCATGGGCTAAAGATGCCAGGTCCATTCCAAATCCATTCATCTCATACACCAAGTCATCGAGCCACCCATGGCGGACAGCCTGTTCAAGCGTAGCTGGAAGCTCGAGCGGCTTATGCGCATGCGTGTCAATTAAGCGAGTCTTGACCCAGTCTTTGTTCTTCCTCCACAGACTGTCCATAACAAAATCGTCGTGCTCGTGACCCTTGTTGAGGAATGTGTCAAAGATTGTATTTACTGTGTCCACGGCCATCGGACCCCAGTTGTCCCGCGGCACATCCAGGGCAGAAACGAGGAAAATGTCCAGGTTCGGTACGACAACATCTTGGAACAGGCGCTTAGCTTCGACGCTCTGGGAGGCCCCATGGCTGTTGAGCGCAACGTCAAAGATGGATGCAAGAGCGGCGGTGGAGACGAGAGGGTGCTTGACAGCAAAAGCGGCACGCTGCTGTACGCTGGATGACGATGATGCGTAATCCTCTAGCTTGATGCTGGACACCAGTCCTGGAATAGTTGTTGCGTCCAGCTCAGAAGGTTTGAGATATGTGAAGGCGCAGACAAAGGACAGTTGAGCCTCGGGGTCGTTCCAAGCACCGCCCCAAAGCCTCTGGATGTCAAAGTGCTTGGTTGGATCCTGCGCAATCGGACGTAAGGCCTCATACAGGCGCAGAAATTGTGGCGATGAAATCCGAGCGCCGGGTTGGTCGAAGCTGACAACAACGTCGGTCCAGCTGAAATCGGGAGGTAGAACGCGCTGAAGACCGGCAACTAAACCGCTTGGGTCGTATTCGCGAGCCTGGCTGATCGAAGTGAAAGTCAAAGCCAAAGACACCTGCTCCGGACTGAGTGTGACATTGCTTGGCTTGCTCTGGAGGTGGTCGACGACAGTCTGCGACGTCCGCGTAAATTCGGGCCCAACCTTCTGAATGTATCTCGCTAGCGCAGTGCTGGGGCGATCGAGAAGAACCCTACCCATTTCGAACGCCGCCACCACCTCCGGCGGTGGTGTAGTATCAGCAGCCACGTAACGATTCAGGGCAGCTCCTGTCAGATCACGACGCGAGGACGCGTTGAAGTTGGGCGGGTGGTACTGCAGAAAGCGGTCCACAACAAGGGCTATGAATCCGGGGCTCATCTCGGTATGCGACTGCTGCGCAGGCCGTGAGAGGATTTCCAAGAAGTTGTTGAAATTTGTTGACAAGATCGCGTCGGCTGCAGGTCATAGATTAGCATAGATCCAAGTGTCAGCTAGTTGACAACTCTCACCTTTGGTCTTCAGGTCTGATCGTGAGCAGAGCTTGAAGGCTAGTGCAAGGATGGTCTTGTCCAGGGCGTCAAGCTTGAAATGCTCCATGAACGTTGATAGGTCAAAATCACGGAATATGTCCTCGGTTCCCGATTCAATCGATTCCGCAATCTTCGATGCTTGATCGGGAACCTTGGATATTTTTTGCATCTCTTCCACGAGGACACGGTAATTACCCTGGTTCGTCGTGGAACGATTGTGGGTGGGAAAGATTTGTGACGCATTGCTGGCTACCAGCCGCGTGAAGTATTTGGGGAAGACCTCCATACCGTATTCATCGATGAGCTTTTTTTGGCGAAAATGTCAGTCTAAATGCTTGACCGATGAGAAGGAACGACGGCCGAAGATGCTCACCTTTCTTAGTTGATCAACTTGTTGCTCCCACTTGGCCTTATCCTGGTTGTCCTTGAGTGTGCTGAGCAGCAGATACACCTGCGCAACCACAATTTTGGTTAAAGAATTGCTTCCAGCCGGGCTGCTATTGTTTGGACTGCCACTGGCACTGACGCTGAATGCAGCGCCAGACCCGTACGAAGGGTGCGGCGAGTGATTCGCACCAAAGTGTGGTTGTGCAGGATTTGGTGAAAAGGATCCCGCGCGAGGAAATGGCACCATGGAGTGACTGGCGGAACTATCGATGACCGAAAGTAAGTCGCCCACCTGACACAATCAGGCAGGCGGGAACTTCGTGCTTCGGAGCAAGCGTAGCACAGGATGGTTTTTTGGTAGGTTGATTCGGTGACCCTGCCTGGACACTTCGCGAGATCGAGGGCAGGCGTGCAACTAGGTTGCCCTCTTAAACGTGAATGTGATCAAGAGCGGTCGGCAGCAGGCGAAGTCGTTAGCGTCGTGTCGCGTGAACCGGATGGATCGAGTAGGTGGCCAGATGCGTGAGGTTGGCACTGCGAGGACTGTGACAACAGTTACGTGGGTCTAGGTGAGTGGGGCCCTTTCTGTTCAAGACGGCAAGAATACGTTGCGCGATACAGTGGACGTTTTGATGTTGTCGAGAAAGTCTCTCTCGTCGTTCGTATCAGAGTGCGCCGCGAGTAAAGTGATGGTAGGATTGCCAGGCATGGGTGGTAGGTTGAGCAGACGAAGCTCAGCAGAGGGCCATCTGTTGGGTAAAGCTCGGCTCAGCTAGCGGCAGCTCCAGCACAAGTGTTCAGGCACCCTAAATTTGGGAGCAGGGCGGCCGTGAACATTGTCACGTGAAGGATGACGATGGTGGAGCTCCAAGCCGTTGCTGGGCAACGACTCAATTAGGCCGACGCAAACAATGTCCCCTCGACGCACCTCCAATTGATCCGCTCACGCTGCCAAACGGAGACATGGACAACAAACCTCAACATTAATTTCGACCAATTCTGCCTCGGACATCAGGTCTCTCAACAGCCATTCATCATCGTCAAAGACGTTATAATCTTTTTCAATTGAACAAACTTGCGATAATCACAATTTGGGCGATATGCCTGCAGCAACGGCTGAGGCTCCGGCCGTGTCAATGTCTTGTAAGTATTTTCTGTGTAGTTTCCTCTCATAAAAGATCAAGTTAAACTAACTGCCTCCAGTTGCCAACAACTTCTGGGGCAAAGATGATGCCGGCGTTGGCCCGCTTCTTGAGCGTATGCAAGGCGCAAAGCAGACATGTGACGAACTAAGGTCATTCTACGCATGTGGGTATATGCTCTGTACGTATATGAAAGTCGATTGACATAGACGCAGCTCGCGCGTCCATCGAAGAAGAGTACGCTAGGAAACTACTCAGCTTGACGCGCAAGGCTCTAGGATCACAAGAAACAGGGTCGCTGAAAACATCCCTCGATACGCTGCGTGGAGAGGTGGAACAGATGGGAAAGCAACACCAAAGTATTGCTGCCCAGATGAAGAGCGAACTAGAAGAGCCACTGGCAGCTTTCGCAGGCGGCATGAAAGAGCGCCGCAAAATTGTACAGAACACAATTGAGAAGCTGCTTAAGACGAAAATCCAACAAACACAGCAAGTCAACAAGGTACGGCGTCATTTCGCTATGCATGGCTACTGGCAAAAACTAATAACCTCAGACACGAGATCGATTCGAACAGGACTGCCTCAAGATCAAGGGGTACCTGGCCCAGGGCCATATGGTTATGGGGCAGGAAGAGCGCCGCAACAAGGCCAAACTCGAAAAGACACAAATAAGCGTTGCGAGCACCAATACAGAATACGAAAGTGCGGTCAAGATCCTTGAAGAAACCACGGCGAGATGGAATCGCGAGTGGAAGGCCGCTGCCGACAAGTTCCAGGACTTGGAAGAAGAGCGCCTGGACTTCACCAAAAGTAGCCTGTGGACTTTCGCCAACATCGCCTCGACCGTCTGTGTCAGTGACGATGCGTCATGCGAGAAGGTCCGGTTATCATTGGAAAAAATGGACGTCGAGAAGGACATTGTCAGCTTCATCAAGGAAGCGGGCACAGGTCAGGAAATCCCGGATGCGCCCAGGTACATCAACTTCTGTCGCGGCGACGTCAACGACAACGTCTCGGACTGTTCGGATGATGAGAACTACCAGGTAGCTCAATTCTCTCGGACTATTAACCCGGCCTTCAGAAGTTCCTCGCCTCAGCCGTCAACATTTGAGTCGCACCACGACCCGAACTCTCCACTTGCGAACAAATTGGCACATAGAGAACCGGTCAATCCAAGCAGCCGCGAGAACGTTGTGGGAGCGCAAATGCAACCACAGGCTGCCCAGCCCGCAGCCGTGCCAGCACAACTAGAAGATCCCTATCGTGGATTGCCCGTACAAGCTACGGCTCAGCCTCCACCTCCAGCCCCAGCCCCAGTTCAAGCTCAAGCTCAACCTCCAGCACGACCATTGGAACATCAACTTCAGCGACAGCCTGAACCAGTGCAGCGGGGCTACGACGCCACTCAGCATGGTCCCGTGTCAGCAATACCACATGATCCATACCCGCAGGATGGTATGACCATGTTGTGCCGCACGGGTCCTGTTGGGCCTCCGTCCGACCGCAGCTCTCAGTTGACCTCGAACCGACCATCTAGCCGCGATGAGAACAGCGAATATAGTAACCCAACTTCTCTATCGAGCTATGACCCAGCCAGCGGAGCACCTTCGCCCACCAAACAGGAGCCTGTGTCTGTGCCGGAACCCAGTCCCGAAAAACGCATCTTCAAGAAGAAGAGTGGCTTCTTCCAAAACCATAGTCCATTCCGCCGCAAAAGCGTGAAAGATGTGCACCCTCCTGCGCTTGTCAATCGAAACACATGGCACCCGGCACCCGCTCAGACCGCTACAAGCCCCGTGCGGCGACCACAGATGTACGCCAGCGACGGTTCAACAGCGCAGTCCAGAAGCTATGGTCAAGAAAGAGGCCCCAGCCCGGAGCCGATCGATGCAAATGCCAGCGTGGCTCTCGGCGTAGGTCAGAACGTACTGCCTGTGGAAACTGGGCGAAAGCAGGCCTCCGCGTCGAAGCCTGCTGCCGACGAGGATGATCCCATAGCCCAAGCACTAGCTGAGCTCAAGGGTGTTACTTTAGGGAAGCAATCCTCAGTTCGCATGTCAGCTGATCACTACCACGGCATCGCCACACCAGCGCCAGGGACTGAGGCATCATCTTCTCGCTCTATTCAAAATGCGGGTGGAAGGAACACCGCAACCCCGACTCGGACTGATCCTCCGCCTTCATATCAGCAGCCAGCTCAGCAGACTCCTGTCTCCAGGTTGGGCGTTCCTGCGCCTGCTGTCACCTCCAAGGCGATGAAGGAGGCCACCAAGAAGGCGACAAACCAGGCCCGCAGCGTCTATGGCGACTCTGCCAGAGGTGACAGAGGCGGCTTCTCTGCATCGCCTAGTTCCCGGCCAGCTACTCGGGGCAACGATAAGCCTCGGGCGGCTTCGCCAGCCCCCACCCGCAGTGCTTCACCGCAGCCACAACGCCATGACCCCGGACGCCGCGAGTATCACACACCATCCCCGAAGCCCTACTCGGGCCGCCAGTCGCAAGGCTCGACGTATGGAGGTGAATCAGGCCGTAACTCGGGAGACTATTACCGTCAAGCATCTCCCAATGACACAGGGAGAGGGGAATCCCCAGCGCCTCGCAGGAACACTTACCAGCAGCCCCAGCAGCAGCAGCAGCGCCCACAGAGCAGCTACAGCGGCAGTAATATGGCTGTCCAACTCGCACCGGCGGGTGAGCAGGCCTATGGCTCCCAGCGGGGAAGAGGCTCGGGCCGGCCAGAGTCCCGCGCGATGGGCTTGTACGATGGCGACACGCGCCAGCGCAGCAAGAGCGTGGCAGACCCAGCACGCCAGTACACATCTGATGGCCGTCCTATCCTCCACTATGGTACGTAATTTGATTTTCTCTCCTCTCCACAGCAGATTGGCTAATATTTGCAGCTCGTGCGATGTACATGTACCAGGCCGCCATTCCAGAGGAATTGGGTTTCAACAAAGGCGACTACCTTGCTATCTTGCGCCACCAAGACGACGGTTGGTGGGAGGCCGAATTGCATGGAGGAAACGGCCGCATTGGGCTGGTCCCAAGCAACTATGTCGATCCTTGTTAATCATGATCGGTATATGAGTTGGTACATGAGGTGGAGGGGGCTTGTACATATGGGTTGGTTTCAGCGCTTGGATGTATATGCCCGGAATGTGCTCTTGTGGCGTTGGTAAGCGTTACGATGTGTGTAGATGACAGACTGTATCTAAATCAAATTTCTATCTCCTCGATTTCTAGCTCACTTTCCCTGAAATAGCGGCGCACCAGGCCCCACTGACAGATCCATTGATAATGTGGTGATGTGTATAGGGTGCGCAGTACCTCCTCGCCTACAACGTGGCGACCCTCCACTCCATGTGTATTTTGCAGAGGAGATAATGGTTAACCTGGGACAACAATTTGTGTGGAGAGTAGAGATGGAAAATATATGGTCATGGAGCTTCATGTTCGCAAGTCTTTCGTTGCTACACGTCAGGGTCTTCTTGCTCGCATGGCATGGTTGCTGGTCAGACCCTGTGGAATGACGTACATATGCGAGCGGGCTGGGCTCATATGCCTTCCTGCAGTCGCATCACGTCCGCGTCTTCGGTGCCCGTCAGTCTTCAACGAGTAAACACAGACGACAAACAAACGGCCATCTTGGTGCCCAAGACCGAACTTGCTCTCCAGATGGTGAATAGCCTTATTCCACTACGCAGGCACCATGCTCGGTAATTAACCGGCATTTAGGAGACCCTGCAGGAAGCTGTGCGCCTTGTGACATCCAACTCAGCCAAGAGAGCTGTCATCAATCTCGCGCTGCTTGTCTCTGGCGCACTTACGCTACTGCCTTTCGCAATCGTTTCTTCTGCTTTATTCTTCCGGAATTTCGTCCCCGACCTGGCTCTAACAAGGCCCGTCTACCTACAATATGGGTAGGACCAGTCCTCTCCGAGACCCCCCTGCGGTGCCAGACTGACCGTAGTGACTAGCTCGGGAATCAACCCCTATGGCATCACCTCTCTATCCTCGCCGGCGTTGAAGGCGGACCAAGAATACGACGTTGCGTTAACGCTGTCGATGCCGCGATCGAGTCCGAACACCGAACGAGGGAACTTTATGGTCTCGCTACACCTGCTCGACAATGATGTATCGCCGTTGCTACACGAAGCGGCGAGGTCGTTTGCTGACGAACACGAAACTTTTGAACCGCTCAAGATCCTTCACAGCTCGAGGCGACCGACACTTGTCCCATATGTCGACCCTATTGTGTCAACGGGCTCGCGCGTGCTCTTCTTCATGTGGCACCTGCTCGTGCCTAGCTCCTCTCTGCTCGAGATTGTGGTGCCGTTAGCTGAAAGGGTGGCATTCTCAAAGAGACTGGGCTTGCCATTGTCGGCCTATGTTGAGGTTGAAGCGGGTCAAACGCTGCAGACCTACAGCGTCTCCTTGACACTGACGGCCCAGCTGCGCGGGCTCAGATGGCTCATGCATCAATATCGTCTGCCCATGTACATCATGTTGACTGTCACCTTCTGGGCGGCTGAGATCTTCTTTATGACTATTGCATGGGGCTTCATGTCTTCAGCTCTGGGAGTCCGGTCGAAGGACGAGGATTACAAGCCCCTCGCCCACGGAGAGAAGGCAACTGCCCTCGAAAAGACCGAAGTTGACGGAAGGGACAGCCTTTCAGATCATGCACATACCTTTCCCACGTATGGACGCCAGCGTCCCCTCAAGTACGAGCCGGAGGTCAAAGCGGAAGACCCATATGAACAACCTTTGTCGGAAGTCCCGGCCGGGGGTGCAGAAGCGGATGATGAAGATGACGAGGATGATGATAGGAGGTCCTTTGTAGACTCTGGAGTTGGCACCAGCTTCAGTGAGGCAGGGAGCACATCGATGCGAAGGCGAGCTAGTCGGCAAGGTGAAGGCGCACAGCGATGAAGCAAAATGGGAGTGCAGAATGATCAGAATGCGACTATGTCATTGTGACACGTAAGGGCACAATCGTTGTTTGACGACCATTGGAACTGCGCCCCGATCTGTCATTGAGTAGCGATGTTTCGAGTAACGTGATAGACTGCCACAGATCATGACCATGTGAGTTAATGTAGCTCGGTTATTCTGGTTGTCAGCCAGTCGCCTTTGAGTCCGATTGTTCCTTGCAGCGCGCCTCCAGATCCACAGTGCAAGCACTGGACAGCAAAACGATACATTGCCGGAGCCGCAGGAAATATGCACGCTTTTGACGCGAAATTTAGCAGAGGACTTGTGAATGATTCATTTGTTGGGGTCACGACGGGAATGCTGTGCTGTCACTGCAGTTGACTGTTGGACCCAGCCGCCTTCTGCCGATCCACAAGGCTCGACAATCTGACTTACCTGGTACACTCACTGCAAGCACCACACACGCGCACGCTCACACGTTCCACCCGAGTCTCTGAGAAACTGTTCAAGTTTGTACATCTGTTGCATCCTGACAGACAAGCGCGACGACGCGTGTGATCGCGGGGTTTCCCACGACTTTACCATCCGCTGGAGTCAGGCTGCGGCAGCTTGGAGTCTTGGACCCAGGACCACTCGCCGGCCCCGCCGTTCTACATTGGCCCTCCCGTACCTTACCGCTGGTTTGAGATGGCTGGGAACTCGAGCTAGACAGAGCTGAAGCACGTCAAGAAAATCCTGTTCTTTCCGCAACATTCTGACGAGATCCCCGGCTGCACGTTTGCCAGATTTGGGGGCCCCGAGACATTCCACGGCCAGTCGCGATCCCAATCGACAATTACGGATACCGTCTGCTTCGAACAACCCCTCGCCGCCCTCCTCCAGGTCCCGCCGCCAACCACCATACACCCCAAGCTTCTCGAGCTGCCGAACCGTGCACCCATAGGCCTACCACAATGCCCTGCTTCAAGGGCATCGCGGTGAGCATCCATGCCAACTCGGCGCCTTTGCCCGAGTATGGCATGCAGAAGCAATCGCGCGTGTCCCGCATAAGCACCTACATCCCCGTACCCCAGCCCCAGCTCACCGGCGAAGACAAGAAGCCCGAGGCAGCCAAGTTCGCCATCTCGATCACACTCTTGACTCCCGGCCTCGCGATTCCGTACTCGAGCCCCAAGGCGAGCCTAGAAAACCCGAACCCCAAACCACAGTTCGTTGGTGGCATGTTGCCCAAAGCTGGTGGGGAGAGGGGCAAGTACCAGGGCGTCGTGAACCCCTACATACCCATGACAAACTCGGAAAACGAAACGATCGCTGCATACATCTACTTCGATGGGCGACCAAAGGAAGAAGTGGCCACACTGCTGCGACCAGGTGAGGAGACTTGGGTCAATAGTCGCTGGGTACAAGTACCGGATTCCGAGGGCGGCGGTTTGGCGGAACGGGAATTCTTGTTCCGCGAGGTTGGCCTCGAGCGTTGGCTGAATGGTCTGGATCTACAAGGTCATGATACGGCGGAGAAGGTGGAGAAGCGCCGGCAGAAGTTCGAGAGGCGGTCGAGGAGGCAGGCTGCCAGACTCGAGGGCAACTCTGGTGTCGATCTTGGACAGGGGATATTGAAACGTCGAGAGACCCTTAGATATGGCGCCGACGACAAGACTCCCCTCGAAGCCGTGGATGACGAATCCGATTCCCTTTCCTCAGACGATGACGAGCCTCCAGAGGCTACCGGCCAAATCAAAGTGGCCATGTTCCGTGTTCTTGCATCTGGAGAGGTCAAGAAGGGAGAATACTCACCCCAATTCGACGCGCACGAGGGCGACGAGGAAGATGGAGCAAAAGGCAACGACATGGGCGCAGACGTTGAGCACACGACGAGCTTTGCGAAGCCCAAAACCCTAGATCCCAAGACCATCAGCACACAGACTGTGACAGGCATTGATGCACCGGACAAGCCTTTCGCTGTCTTCACGTTCTTCTACCGCGGTGAAAGTAAGTCTTCTAACATATCCACCCCCGGGACAGGACGATGCTAATCAGTGGTCGAACAGAACAATTGCAGAAGATCGGCGTCATGCAGTCGGCCAAGGCTGCGCAAGCGACTCCGGGATCCGCCAAGAGGCGGTCTGCCCAGCTTGACTTCTCAACTCTCGGCCCCCTCAAGTCAGGAGGGACCGTGGGCTTTTCGGCTTTTCGAGACAACAAACCTGATACCGCGCGCAAGTCTCGTAAAAAGAGCAGTGGGGCTGTCACTATGGAAGACAGCGAGGAAGAAGATGACGACGATAACATGCTGAGCAAGATGGAAGATGCCGACGACAAGGTCGACGACAAGTTCGACGACAAGAAGCTCGGCCCTGAGGATGCCCAGTCTTCAGGCGAACTGGCGGAAGGCGTCAACCGGATTCGCGTAAGTACCAGACTCCTACTTAAGAATCCCAATGCTAACCCGGCCCAGCTAAAGAGGGCGCACTCCGCCGATCCTGACGGTAACTCGACTCCGGAGACATCCCAGCGACCAGAGTGGAACGATTCGTCCGCATCACAAGAGGGCAGCACGACGGCCAATTCGGGACTGAAAACCGAGAGTGACGTCCCTCCGGACACTTTGATCGGAAGTCCATTGAAGAGGCATCGACTGAGCATGGACCAGGGGAGCAACAACGAGAAGCTCAACGCAACGCAGAGCATGAGCGCCGCTCTAGGTGCCGTTTTGGGGAGCTCCAATACCCCGGCTCCGGATACTGCATCCTCTGCTCCTGCATCAGGAAAGGACACATCAACCAAAATCGAGGAGGAGGAGCTGTGAACGGACAATATACGATGAAATCGTTGGCTGAGAAATGGTTATCATGAACTCCAAGCAATAACATTGTAGTGTTGTAAGTGGGTTCTGTGACACTGGCACGTGGAGATCGATGAAAGCTTCGGTTTATGCTGGCTGCGTCACCAAATGACATTGGAACGGGCAGCAAGGCGTCCAGGGGAGGCGGCATGCTGGGTAGCGAACCAGTTCTAGAACAATGTGGCAACCAACTCCCACAGCGCATATAGGACCAGGACGTAAGAGTCTACGTATATACATAAAATGACTACCACATGGAACATGATCTTCGTCCATGTCTAGTGCAGCTTACTTCCCGGGACGTACGTGTAGCTTACACAGCATTCGCAGGATGGCTGTCGCTTCATGTCACAGGAAGTTATTGAGCAGCACACACGGGATACTACGGATGCTCATAGTCGGCAAGTAGTCCACAATGATGCACACGAGTGGTTTCACAGAAAGACATAATACACAAGGGAAACCTTATCCAGTGCAGGACGAACGACCGCCGAGATCAATCGACGAGGAGAGTTAGCAGATGCTGGTTCCGAATGTCGTGTCGATGAGAGTCCTGCTGATTGTAGAGTTAGCGAAGATCCAAATACGATGTTCGAAAAGAAAGACAAGGTAATCGGTCTACAGTCAGACTGTTGAGCTTGATATATTTTGGATCAACATGATGTATTCTGTTGGCCGTTCTTAATGGAAGAATGTATCATCACGTAGACGGGTGGCCACCAAACGATGGCGAGAGAGAATGGAAATTGGACAAACCTTTTGGGGATGATCAATTCGACTCAGGGTGTCACTGCACCTCCCTCGAAAGACAGATGAATAGTTTTGTGAGACCTGGTCTTGAGTGTTTGACGTTGCGCATGGGAAGATTGGCGCCGAGTTTTCATTTGACGGGTTTTAAAGGAAATTAAGCTGTAAAAGCTTGGACTGCCAAAGACCCGTTAAAGGAGCTGTACGGAGTCTATGCAATTATAAGAGCACGGTGCGCAACCTTTTCTCTCACTGTTTTTTGACATTTCCAAGCGTGACGGGTGGAAGGTACAATCAAGCAAGCATCAGGTGAAGGCCAAGTCTATCATGCAATTTTTGTATCAAGAGCCAGTGCTTCGCCAAATGCTGAACCCAATATGGTTGGACTGAAAGATGAAGTACATGTACCTTGTCGCCAGGTCGGAATGCGCAAGGCACGTCATCAAATGCTAAGGCAAGGTACAAAGAATTGCTGGTGCCCAATGCTGCACTGTGCCCCTCAACCCCACCAGCAGCACAACTCTGAACTGCGCTGATGATCATGGGCAGCACCCCTCCTCTTGTGCGATCTCCTACCTTCGCGACATTAAATCTCCAGCACTTCACGCAGACGCGCAAAGCCCAAACCTGTCGTTCAATCTTCACACGTCAAACGATAATACCAACTCGTCAAAATGGCTGCTAGTAAGCTTGCACAAGTCCCACGTCCGCTCAGCTGGCTGCATAGCTAACCGCGCCTAAGATTTCGAGGAAGTTGCGAGTATGTCGCGACAAGACGGGTTTTTTACCACAAGATGATTGCTGACGACACATAAAGAGCAATTTGTACAGTTCTACTACGAGACCTTTGACTCCGACCGCACTCAGCTGGGCAACCTATACGTTCGTCATCCCCAGAGGGACCTAGCCCCTCGTTCCTCCATTTTTCGGGATTAACAACTCACAACCACGATAGCGCGAGCAGTCCATGTTGACATTCGAGTCATCCTCCGTTCTCGGTGCTGGCAACATCGTTGAAAAGCTTGTCGTATGTCGAGACAGCCTCAACATTAACAGAAAAGAGTCTGCTAACATGGTGCAGAGTCTTCCTTTCCAGAAGGTCAAGCACGAGATCGCCACCCTAGATGCCCAGCCCGGCATAGGCGACGGCAGCGTCATCATCCTGGTCACTGGTGCCCTCAAGGTACGCGAACTGAATATCTACAGCTGGTTGCTGTTGCTGACCCCGTGTACAGGTCGACGAGGAGGAGCGCCCCATGAACTACACTCAGACCTTTCAGCTTGCAGCCACTCCGGACAAGCAATACTTTGTCTACAACGACATCTTCAAGCTGATCTACTAAGCGTTGGACTTGGGATCATAGGAAAAGAAGTCGGTGGTTCATAAAGAAATTTTGCAGCTTTGACAACATGAGCGACGTGACGATTCAACATACTTTGACCATGTCAAATACATTCCTAAACATTGCTCGAGTGAACCATGTCGAAAGGCTGGTCTGCGCACCGATCGACGTTCCAACCTCAGTCAGGAGTTATTCGGACATATAATACAAAGGATTCACGTAAAGTTTTATAGGACATTCGACGACATCAAGATAGGAGATCCATTGTGATGGCTTGAGTTTGAAAAGGCCAATCGGCCGCAGAAAGTCATCATTTTTCATGCCCTGAACCAAACACCAATTTCCCTGAACCCCAATGCTATACGGGTATAAGACATTTTAGATCTTGGTGGCAGCCTCAAGAGCCTTCTGCTTCTTGTGGATCTTCATCTGGGCCTTGGCACCCATGATGCCACCACCCCATTGGCGGCGGGCGTTCTCGTGGTTCTCCATGAAGCCATCCTTGACAGCGGAGACGAGCTTGGACAGCTCGCTCTTATCCTCGGAGCGGACCTCGGTAAGGGCCAGAACGGCGGCAGTCTGGGATGAGTTAGTTGATGAATCATACACAGCAGTGAAGACGACGAACCTTCTTGTGGACGACAGTGCCGAGACGGGCCTTGCCCTTGACAATGGCATAGGGAACACCCATCTTCTTGCACAGGGAAGGCAGGAAGACGACAAGCTCGATGGGGTCAACATCGTTGGGGATGAGGACCAGCGAGGCCTTCTTGTTCTCGATGAGGCCGACAACGTGGTTGAGACCGTACTTGACAGTGTAGGGCTTCTTGCTAACATCCTCCTTCTTCTTGCCCTCCTTGACGGCGGTGGCCTCCTTGAGGAGACGCTCCTTCTTCTCAGGCTTGGTCTCGGGGCGGTACTTGTTGAGAAGCTTGAAAGCCTGGGCAGCGGTGTTCTTGTCGAGAACGTGCTGGAACTGCGCAAGAGCCGGGGGGACCTTCAGGCGCATCTGGAGGATCTTCTTCTGGCGCTGGAGGCGGACATACTCGGGCCACTTCACCATACGGGAGACATTGCGCTTGGGCTGGATGTCCTGGCCGATACCGAAGTTGCGGGGACGCTTCTCGATCAAGGGGTTCTGAAACCGTCAGTGCCTACCGTGGGTGCGACGTCCAGGATGGACCTACCTTGGGTCCCTTCTTGTTACCGGCCTTGCCCTGGGGGAACGGGGCGGCGGCGACCTTTTTGCCAGATTTGGGGGGCTGTCATTGAGAAAAGAAGACATCAGCAAGATATTCAAGCCAAAAAGTCTTCTCTGAACTCTAACGAGAACACGAGGCAGGCATCTCTGCGCTGCGTCGTGTCTCCAGCCAAGTCATCACCCACGTCCGCTGTGAAAGCAGACGCATGTAGCGGGCGGTATATGCACAGATCGCACAAGTGCAATACTGCGGACAGAATCAATTGCGCCGGGGTTGCGCAACTTGAATTCGGTCGAACTGTGGCTATTAGAGCCCAGATGAGGCATCTAGGTACTCACCATCTTGTCGGTTGGGGATATACTCAGGCGTGAAGAGTAAGATCGGGGAGGATGCGGTTGGCGTGATCGGAATTGAAGAGGGAAAGCAAAAAGTTAAAGCGTGCAGCGGATATTCGGACGGTGGATGAGAAATTAGGGCTTGGTGCGCCACGACTCTCTTCATCCCCACTCCTCTGTGGCTGGTCAGCCCAAGAGTGGCTAATGCATGTGGCGGCTGCAAATCCCTGCAATTAGTCACGGCTAGGCCTTGGCCTCAACCATGGGGTATAGAACAGCTACATTTCCATATTCTAAAGTTTTACTCGGTCGTTACTTGTGCAAAGTAAACCCGTCAGCAACTGCTGCAAGTTCTGGACTGGGGCCTATGGTCTACGCCTGCTCTTTTCGCCAGCGACGTCAAGTGCTTGATCTGAGTTTGTCGACGACTTAGACACAACACACATCAGAACCGCGATGCCGCCAACCACCTGTATTCGTTGCCAGACAAACAGAGCTGTTGTGAAGCGACCCAAAAATCACCACAAGGTCTGCAAAGAATGTTTTCTGGCTGTTTTTGAGGATGAGGTCCACCACACCATCATATCCTCAAAGTTGTTCCAAAGAGGCGAAAGAATTGCCATTGGTGCATCTGGAGGCAAAGATTCCACGGTGCTCGCTTCAGTGCTTAAGACGCTCAACGAAAGACATGATTACGGTCTAGACTTGGGTCTCTTAAGTGTGGACGAAGGTATCAAGGGGTACCGCGACGACTCACTGGAAACAGTGAAACGGAATGCATCGCAATACGAGATGGATCTCAAGATTGTTGGCTACGACGAACTCTATGGCTGGACCATGGATCAAGTTGTTGAAACAGTCGGGAAGAAGGGGAACTGCACGTACTGCGGAGTATTTCGAAGGCAGGCACTGGATCGAGGGGCCAAAATGTTGAAGATCAAGCATGTGGTGACGGGTCACAACGCAGATGACATTGCGGAAACTGTTCTGATGAATCTTCTGCGTGGCGACTTACCGCGTCTATCAAGAAGCACGAGCATTGTGACCGGACACGCAGCCAGCGAAGTCAAGCGAAGCAAGCCCCTGAAGTATGCGTACGAGAAGGAGATCGTTCTCTACGCCCACCACAAAAAGCTGGATTATTTCAGTACCGAGTGCATATACAGTCCGGAGGCTTTTCGAGGCACAGCACGGAGTTTGATCAAAACTCTCGAGAAAGTCCGACCCAGTGCCATCTTGGACATTGTCCGCAGTGGCGAGGACATGGCTCGGCTAACGCCAGACAAAGATCAAAGCTCATGTGCCTGTGACGAGGGCGAGTCCATGGGGGGTTGCGGTTCAGCCAACGGACGGTCGTCTGGTAATGAACTTGCGGAGATGGAAGCATCACTGAAGACGCAGAGCAATCATGCAAGCCTGGAAACCGACGTGTTCGCTAAAAGCGATGCAACTGTACCAGACACTGTAGAATTGCCACTTCGCACGCATCGGAAGGAGGGTCTCGGAACACCACTGCAGAAGTTGGGCCAGTGTAACAAGTGTGGCTACATGTCAAGTCAGTCAATATGCCAGGCTTGTATGCTCCTTGATGGCCTCAACAAAAACAGAGCTGACATAGCAATATAACACGAGAATTTCGTTGGAACAACCTTTCCGGATTGCTTGAATCTTCTTAGTTGGCTCGCATATCGAAAAAAGAAATCTTGTGATTGACGCTTGGGCATCCAACCAACCATCCTTAGCTGGGTTGATATACCAAGGCTGTTTCCCGGTTTCTCTAGCCTTAGATTATACGCTTTTCCATCTTTCGCGGGTCAGTGTCTTGATAATCGACTAAAACGTTCATAACAAACCTTCCATGCGTTGTTGAGCTCGAATCCTGGAGGCGCTTGTGCTAACCCTGATTGGCCTCGGAATGTCCCTGTGATTCGTGCATCGCGTGTCATCACTAACGCATTGGTCAGTCCGTAGTCCTAGTCGTGTGTGCGTAAGCAGGCGTTCCGTACTTTGCTATAATGTCGTCAGTCTCGGTTCCACAGTCGGCGCAGAGCTTGGTCCACGTACCTTATCCCACTGGTCCAAGTCATATCTTGGGTTCTTGCCCTCGTTCTGCCATGATTTCAAGGCGGCCATTCCGGTACCAGTGATGCCGAACATCTAAAGCGTGTCAGCCCTGGGCGTCCGACCGCTTCTCTATGCAGGTTGTGTCATGAAACCTACAGCTATCATGATGCCATAGGGCAGGAGAGTCTCGAAGGGAACAGGCATTGTTGCTGCGCGCCGCTCAAGCGGATGTCGAGTTATTGAAAAATCGTTCGCTGATCACTTCAGGTACCGCCTAGGGTTGTGCTGTTCCGAACAGCGAATTCGGAAGTTTGTCAATCGGTCGTCGATTAATGTTGTTGCTCTACGTAGGCTGATTGGAGACAAAGCTGCTGTCACGTGGTGCCTCAGGCAGGAACGAGCCAACAAGTGGCATGCGCGGTAGCGGCAGGCTTGCTGCCGTGACCAGTCATGTGTGAGCTAACGACACACACTGTGCTGCTCATGCAGAACTCGGTGTTCCGACCCTCTGCACTGTTCGGCGCACACTGTGCAGCGTTTCGCGACTGCTGCTCGACACCCTAGCCTAGGAGTTGGGAGGCAGGCGCGACGGGGGTTCGCGAGACGCGACGACAAGAGTTAAAGGCTCGGTAGACTTGGCTTTATCATCCACTACACATTATTGACCGAACATACCTTGATCCCTATTACTCACAATTTCATTCCGAAAGCGTGAGCGACACGATCGAACGCCGGTGCTCTGTACACGCCTTCAGCATGCTCGTCGTGCAACGATAGGAGGACTGATTCAGCTTGCGTCTGCCATCATCGCTCCGGAACATGTCGGAAAACCCAGCAACGGAACTGAAGTGAAATTATGGTGACCCGCGCAACCATGAGTAGCGCTCAGGCTATGGAGGAGGAGCTGCAGCAGAGCGTACTACGTTCACAAACCCAGGAATGGGATCAGAGCCCGGCGAATTTGAACGAAGCATCCCACCACAGCAACTCCGACATAGCGATTGCTCATGGCCGGCTAACAAGAAGTGGTGGACGAATTGAGAGTTTCGAGGCTGACCAGGATGCCTCTGGGGAGGAGGTTGAAGAGGACCTCGAGGGTGAAAGAGATGCATCTGGAGAGGAGGACGCTGAAGGCGAGGATGACTACGAAGTGCTTCAGCAGCAGCCGCATGGCCCCACATTGACAGCGCGAGATCGATCACTATCCGAGTTGGACGAATTAGAAGAGGACGAGGTCGAGGACGAATACGCAGGTGGAGAGGATGGCAATACAGAGGACACTGCTTCGAAACTCCGCGCCGCTCGAGCTCATGCACAGATGTCAGACGCCGACATGGAAACAGACAGCGATGCTGCCGAGCAAGCCGGCGTCGACGCAGAATCGGTCGACGATGACGAAGATTCAGATGACGAACTCCCATGGGAAGATGCCCAAGGAGAAATCGAGGATGATGAATCCGACACCGGTGTAGCAAGCAATGCATGTGTTTTCTGCAAGCAAGACGAAGAGAATGATCCCAGCGAGGATTTTGATCCGTACTTGTCGTGCCAAAACTGCGGAGAGCATGGTACGTCCAAGTGATGCTTGTCACGTCCATGTATGCTAACAATTTTAGCGCATCAACAATGCGCCAGAGATGCAGCAGCTCTGAGTGAGTACAATGGTAAGTGCATCTGTGCCCTCTGATCGATTCCGTGAGCGACACTAAAACCTTGCAGATGTAGCTCGCTGGAGATGCCCAGAGTGTTTCGAAGAGCCAGAGGCCGACCATGAGATAAATAGCGACAGCGGAGTCTCGCATGACGAGGCGGATTCACAACGGCGTGAACTCGGGGCACTATCTGATGATGCGCTTCCCGGTATTCAGGCGCAAATGGATTCTGGTAGTCTCACGCCTAATGGAACGTCTATGGGTAGGCAGCGGTCTCTGCGGAAAAGAAAGACTTCCCTCGCAGAATCGGAGGATACTGGGGTGTCTCTGAGAAAAAGGCGGCGAGGTGTCTCGATGGCCGACAACGAAAACGATGACGATGCTGACGATGACGGGCAATCCACTGAAGGCGCGGCACGCTCCGTTCGAACACTGCGTCTCAAAATCAACAAGCCACCTCCAGCCTCAATCGAGAAGAGAACTCGCAATTCTTTGGTCGTCAGGCTCCACGTTAGATCTGGCCCTCTCAAAGACGTGTTGTCGAGGAGGAAGCGGGACAAAAAGTCATCAGCTGGACAGCCCAGATCCACACGGCCTACATCCATTGTCGCCAGCGCGACACAAGCCAATGCGGCTACCATTGAAACTCCCTTCACTGCGGATGCCTACAGTCAGCCCTGGTATTCGTTGCTTGACCGGGATGGTGACGATGGCAAAGGCAAACCTTACGGCGGAATTTTAGATGAGGCCGAAGCGGACACGACGAAGACTTTGCCCGCCGAAGACGACCGAGAACGTTTCAGAGAAGCAATGAGAAAAGCAGATGTCCAATGGCAGGAGAAAGCTTTGCAGGGAGCCCCAGAGATGACTAGCCGTAAAGGCAAGAAGTCGGACAACGGCAGCAAAATTGAGTGCATCGAATTCGGAGGATGGGAAATCGACACCTGGTACGCGGCCCCCTACCCATACGAGTACAGCAAACATCGCGTGCTCTACATTTGCGAGTTCTGCCTCAAGTACATGAACTCGGATTACGTTGCTTGGCGGCACAAGCTCAAGTGTGCCGCCAAGCATCCTCCGGGCGACGAGATTTACAGACACGGCTCCATTTCCTTCTTTGAGGTAGATGGACGAAAGAACCCTATATATTGCCAGAACCTCTGTCTGCTGGCGAAGCTCTTCCTCGGATCAAAGACTCTCTACTACGACGTGGAACCGTTCCTTTTTTACGTCTTATGCGAATACGACGAGACTGGGTATCATTTTGTTGGCTATTTCTCTAAAGAGAAAAGACCAAGCAGCCTGAACAATGTGTCATGCATTCTTACGCTACCGATCCACCAACGAAAGGGGTACGGGAATTTGCTGATTGACTTCTCCTACTTGCTCACCAAGGCGGAGGAGAAGACAGGATCGCCGGAAAAGCCACTATCGGATCTTGGATTGGTGTCTTACCGCAGCTACTGGCGTATAGTGCTTTGTCGATACTTTCTCGATGCAATGCGGGAAGGCGCACATGTGAAAGACGGGTTGAGTGTTAAGCAGATTTCAGACGACACTGCAATGACTCCAGATGACGTCGTAGCTGCTCTCGAAGGTCTTCGAGCTCTGGTACGAGATCCTCAAACCAAAGTATACGCGTTCCGCATCGACATGGACTTTTGCCGAGAATATGTTTCGAAATGGGAAGCTAAAGGACATGTCAAGCTAAAGCCGCAGGCTCTGGCGTGGACGCCCTACGTCATGGGCAAGAACAACATCGCCAATTTCGACCTGGGTCCCATTAGTACTGTGGCGCCTAGAGAAGACGACCAAGCCAAGGTTGACGAAGGTCCGGGCGGTATTTCGGCCATCACTCGGCCTATGGTCGATGACATTCGAGTGCTTCCACAACACGATGCAGCAGAGCCAACGGAGAGTGTTGCTGAGCAAGACGACCCTTCCTCCCAGCTTCAAATCGAAGCTCAGTCGGAGCTTGAGCAGGTCGGTTCTCACGAGGCCGGGGATAACAAGGAGGATAGTCAACCAGGAGCAAGTAACAGCACTGGTAAAAGAGTGGACGTGGCGGAGCATTGGGACCTTGCATACAGGAGTATCCCGGCGAGCCGCTTCGAGATCTTCCCGGTCCCTGTTGGAGGACGAAGGGGAGAACGTAATAAACAACCGGGCCGGCCTCCTGTGCCGCGCAGTATCAGCAGTCTATCGCGGCCCAAGCCAAGACGTTCTGGAGGTAGCGCACGCCGTCCTTCTGCGCCACGGCCTAAAGCATCCTCGGCGAAACGCAAATCCGGTGGGACTGGGCGTGGGCCAGGACGTTGGCCCAAGGGGACTAAGAAAGCTGATTACGGCAATGCTGCCAGTGGTCCAGGGTTCCCGCCAGGCTGGCGCGAGAAAGTTGCCAACGGATCAGCCGTGGTTGGCGAATCGGGTATCTTGATGGTGGACAAGGCTGGAGCCAAATCAGCGGGCTCTACACAAGCCAAAGTTGACTTGGCCGTGGTCCAGAGCGACATTCCTGATGGAACATCTGCAGCACTGGGAGGGCCCAATGGTGTAGGTGAAGCTGGCGAGGATGTTGACGCCGAGGGCGAGGATGTATAATGACATGTACGTATGGTTTACGGGAAACGGGTAGGCAGTTTGGGGCTTTGGGGCTATCAAGATGACCCTCGAATCGACCGGGGGCGGGGAGCTCTATCTTGTATCTAGGATGTCAACATAGATAATGCTTTACTCTTCAAGACAGTTCTGTCGCTGTCACATGGCGAGGCTTTTACGTCGCGGAAGCTTCAATCGCTGGAATAGTTTCACATCACCAAACATGACACATGGGAGGATCAAAAACCAGGACGCTGGCGCAGCCGCGCTTTCTTCAACGACCAGCTACCGCAACAAGCTTAGCCTTATCTTTACACTTGCTACTGAACAAGCATTGTACCCTGATATCTAGTCTGATACCCGTCTGCAAGCTGCCATCTCGAGGCGCCAGTTTGGCACGACGTAGGGTAGTCAGTATTCAATTGCTCTAGTTAACTTAAGTTAACAACTACGTAAGTACGTGGTAACTGCGCCTCCTGGGACATGTCATCGCTTCTTGGTACGCACCGCAAGGTGAGAGCCCCACCCAGCCACTCGCCGCCGCCATTGTCTCCACTTGCGCATGAGCCTGACATGGACTGGAGTTGGTCACTCCGTCCGTCCCCATGGCTGGCATGATCCCGACCAAGCTTCACACTCACCCCCTCCAGACTTGCGAAATTCTGGCTGTTTTTCTCAGACACCGGATCTATTAGGTACTGACCGCGCAAGTAGAAGTGCTGTATCGGTGCACACTGCCCACCAACCAACACACTCTCTGCGTATCCTGACAACCAACGCCTGCACCCACGAGTGGACGACTTCGCCAGAGTGGTCGCCTCGAGTAATCGATTCTTGAGGCCATTTTCTACGCCGCCTGCACGGTCTACGACTCAATCGGCAGCCGAAACTACCCGGTCTACGAAGTGAGGCAGCGTCCTAAACCACAGTTCACTGCCGCATAATCCACGCAAGCGACTACGTCACATTTCGACTTGGCTGGCGCATCGGCCGAATTCCAATATCCTACATTGCTCAATCACACCTAAGCGCATCGTCGCGCAAATAGTTGCCAACTGTAGCCGGGACTTTGACAGTTGGAGAACCAGCCGCCATCATGTCGCGGGTAATGAGGAGCGTTAGGAATGTCACAAAGGGCTATTCCAGCACTCAGATCAAGGTCCGAGAAGGTAGACAGACTAGGATCGCACGCAAGTGGCATCCGCGGCTGACAAGATGTTGCAGCGACGAGCAATGATCCATGGGGTCCGACAGGCACGCAAATGAGCGAGATCGCTCAGATGACTTTCAACACGTGAGTGAGCTACATTTTTGTTGCGAAACAGGCTGACAAGCGATCCAGATCTAGCGATTTCTACGATATCATGGATATGCTCGATAAGCGCCTGAACGACAAGGGCAAGAACTGGCGACACGTCCTGAAAGCTCTAAAGGTGCTCGATTACTGTTTGCATGAGGGATCGGAATTGGTAGTGAGCTGGGCTCGCCAAAGCATCTACATCATCAAAACCCTACGCGAGTTCCAGTACGTGGACGAGGAGGGTCGCGATGTTGGCCAGAATGGTAAGAGCCGCCACCCTCGCATTTCAGGTCACCCTCTGACTTTGAGCAGTCCGCATTGCCGCCAAGGAAATCACTTCTTTAATCCTCGACGAGGAGCGCCTACGTGCGGAGAGAAGTGACCGAAAATCATGGAAGTCACGCGTCACTGGACTCGAAGAATTCCCCCCTGCAGGCATGGAAGATACCGCCTCAGGCCCAAGCCGCGATCGCCGCGGTCAGCGTGAGAGGAGACCGAACAACGAAGAGGAAGACGCAGAGTACAAGCTTGCGCTCGAGGCGAGCAAATACCAGGAAGAAGAAGATCGCAAGAAGAGAGAAGGTCGCACTCAGGTGGGCGACGTTGATGACGATCTGGCCAAAGCTATCAAGCTGAGCAAGGAAGAGGAGGAGCATCGCCGCCGAGAGCTTGAGGCAAGCAATGCAGCCTCCTTGTTTGACGACTCGCCAGCCCAGGCTGCCCAGCCAAGTTATACTGGATTCAACGAGGGTTACCAACAGGGAAACCAAGTTGATTGGTTCGCGAACCCGGTAGACCAGAACCAAAGCCAGAACCAGATGCAGACTCAACCAACTGGTTTTATGTCCAACGCTTATACGGGCTATCAACAACCTCAGGCTACAGGCTTCCAGAATACATTCAGTACTCCATTCGGCACTCAACCTACTGGCGCGAACCCTTATGGCCAGCAGCAGCAGGGCTTCCAGCCCCAGCCTACCGGGTACAATCCCTACGGCCAGCAGCCACAGGCACTCCAGCAGCAGCCGACAATGCTCCAGTCTCCTGTTGATGGAACTGGGCCCTCAGCAGGCACGAACAATCCATGGGCGACAAATAATAGTAACGACCACGCCGCGGCCATGAAGCCGACACCAACTGGTTCTAATAACCCGTTCGCGCAATTCAACCGGCCATCTTCCGCTCAGCCGACCATAAATAGTCTGGGAGCTGTGCCAGAGCAGAAGACTCTGGCGTCTTTCCAATCCCAGCCTGGACAACTGCAACCACAGAGCTCATTTGGCCAGCAACCTCAGCTCCAACAACAGCCCTCCTTTGGCCAGCAGCAGCAGCCCCAATTCAACAATCCGCAGCAGAAGGAGCTCAATGAGCACGAGTCAAAGCTCAACTCTCTGCTCGCTACAGGCGACGGAATGGACACATACGGAAACACTGGACAGATGCGCATTCCGGCACAGCACACCGCCCCCGGAACCTTTGTCAACAGTGCAGGCTCTGGCATCAATCGCCTTCAAGCAGAGCAGACCGGCAACAACCCTTTCTTGCGACAGCAGTTCACTGGCATGCCGTCTGTCAGCTACGGCAACCAGCCTCACCCCCCTATGCCCGCACTTCCCGCTGGCATGAATGGCCAAGGGACTAACAACCCCTTTGGCCAGCAACAGCAGCCTGGACAGCAGCAGAACCAGGACCTCATTCAATTTTAAACAGGCGCGGCAAATGCAGTGGCGTTTCGGGGCTTCGTGGGTTTTAACATTTTACTTCTAGCCCTCGTTCTGAACCGAATTTCCAATTCCCAATTCTAGGCGGAACCCTTTTGATTCATTTGACACCCTGCCTTCTCACGCTTGCTCTTTTCGTCTGATATCAGTACCGCTATGGGAGGCTAAAGTGTGGTTATCTTTGTCGGATACTGGTTACATGGGGCGGGCGGACATTGGCCCTGAGGTAGATAGCGCGTTCTCAGAACCCCAGACTTAGATTTACATTCCACAATTGATGCATGGGGTAGCAGTCATGGGCGCTTTCATACCTTTGTTGTGAAGCTGATGGGTGTGTTGATGGGCGTATACGTAGATCGAATGTTCCCCAGTGTCGAAGCAAGGTACGTCAATGAGTTCAAAGGAGAAACCTCAGCAGCGCTGCTTTGGCGCCGCCTAGCCTTGGTATTTTTTAGCACAACACTGACCTTATTATCCTCCACATGGCGCCTTGATGGCCACAGCTTTGATGAGTGAACACTGAGATGGGTACGGTAGCCTATCCCGCCTTGAGCGACAAGCATGGAAGTCAAATGAGGCTAACTGTTGATTGCCTGGATAGCATCGCTCACGCTACATGATTTTCACCTTACGATTCGCATTACAACACATATAGTCCGTCCCGTGACCCCTCACGAGCTGAAACAGGCCAAGACGATATCAGCCTGCCTCCTCCATCATCTGTATAAACTCCTCCAAGTTGACGCCCCCCTTGCCGTCATGGTCCAAGTGATCAATCATGGTTTGTATCTCTTCGTCTGTCATTGTTCTCTCGTCCTTGATATCCTGCGCGAGGTGGCGCATATCGTCGAACGAGATGACACCATCGCCGTCATAATCAAACATCCCGAAGACCTTGGTCGCCTCGTCGCGTGGATCCCTCATTGCAATCAGCCTGGCGGCACATAAGCGAAACTGGTCGAGATAAACGAGCAGTCGGTTGACAGGACAGTTGTGTGGTTCCGCCCAGTCTTGGGGCGGATGCCCATGCGTTTCTAGTTGTTGGTAATATTCCGGTTTGGACAAGTCGAAGCCCAGGGCGGAGAGTGAGTGCCGGAACTCATAGCTATTCAGCCAGCCCTTTTTTTTGAGATCCATGAGCTCAAACTGGAAGCCGTCAGCTGGCTTGCTCATACAATTGGCGATCAAGGCTCATACCACTTCATCTATGTGCTCGCGGTCCTCTTCAGGTATTGTGTTGTAATCATCGTTGTTTGACTGCGGGATGCCGGATGTTTGCTTCGGTATATGCGACGATGGAGCCGCCATGGACCGTATCGGGAATCCCCGCGGCGTTGTGTGTGAGTTCATCCTGTGTAAAAGACTGCCTTGGGAGCTGATTCCACGGCGGCCGGGGTTTGCCAACAGGGCAGTGATAGAAAGATGGTACCTTTGTTGAGTTGCAGCCGTTGCTTAGTGAGAAGAGACTGTTTGAGACAAACAAATCTGAGGCGAATCTCTTGTCGTGGAGTCTGCCCAGAGAACAAAGAGTCCGCGATTGCTCAAGACAAATGCGACGCGTCCAATGGTGCAATGACCTGGCGCGTGTCTTTGACGGCTTGGGCGCGTTATTGAACTCCAGCAGCCAGCCCAGTGCTCACTCAGGTCTGGTGTCGCTGGCCACCAACCTCAATCAACACATGAGACCACAAAGCTTTCTATCACAGCTCCTGGGCGCTGGATGAGACTCTGAACTTGCCTGTTTGACGAGAAAAACTATGAAATCTTATGAATCTGTACTTTATTCCAGAAGTGGTTGGCGTGTGACAATGGAAGAGCTACAACAGTCTGTCAAACGCAGTCTGCCTTGCTGACAAAAACAGAGCACCATTTGCAGGTCTCGTGACAGGCAGAACAGGCAGCTTGCGCACGCAGTAGGGACTTTGTGGTGATCAGCTTATTGGGGAACTGCGATTGGCGAGCTTATCTTAGTCAGCGACTGCCGCAGCTCTACAACGCGAGTGAAGCCTGCCACTGCTAATCTACGTCCGACGAAAAAAGCTTACCTCACCACTGACCCCATTGCAGAGGCCGACCTAGGTCAACTTCACCTCTTGCTCAGGACAAAAAGGACGCGTTGATTCTCGTACCTTGACCGATCTCATCATCCTGCCTTTCTGTCCCTTCACAATTTTTTAGTTGCGCTGGTTGTCTGACTCTCAGTCAACAAGCTCAATTCCCTGCGCTGGGCGGACGTGTCACCAGCACGATTCCATCCACCTGCTTTGCGCTTCTCACGCGCACACGCCTGTCTACGATTAAGAATCACGAAATTTGGCATTACGAATGCGAATTTAACCTCGTCAACGCGTCTTCGATATCCGCGAATAGACGACCCATCGCCCTAGTCGCAGCCTGAGCTCCATTTCGCTTCGCGCGACCACCCGACAGCGCCATGTCGGCCTTTGGAGGCTTTGGAGGCTTCGGCGCGAACAATAACAACAACAACACTAACAACACCGCCCAATCCAGTGGTTTCGGTGGATTTGGCGCGAGCAATACCAACAACACTACAACTGGTGGTAAGTCGAACGATCCTACCACAGAGCACCAGAAACAAAGGAACTCACATCTGGCTGCAGGCTTTGGTAGTGGGGGCTCAGCTTTTGGCCAGACTGCCAACACCAACACTGGCGGTGGTCTGTTTGGCGGAGGCGCAGCGACGACCAACACAGGCGGAGGCTTTGGTTCCTCAACAGGTATGTCTGCTACATGTTTGCCATGCGATGCCCTACTAACACGTCATGTGGGTGGCGGCTTCGGCGCGAACAGCAACACCGGCAACACGAGCGGGTTCGGTGCCAACAAAGCTTTCGGAGGCGGATCCCTTTTCGGTGGTGGTACACAACAAAACACAGGCAGTGCCTTCGGAGGATTCGGAGCTACCGCAAACAATAGCACGACCAACACGGGTGGCTTTGGCGCCGCTGCCAGCAACACTGGGGGAGGATTGTTCGGCAGCAGCAATGCGTCAAAGCCAGCATTTGGTTCCACCGGTACTACGGGGGGTTTGTTTGGCGCCGGTAACAACGCAACAGCAACCACCAATACTGGCTTTGGAAGTGGCGGCTTCGGCGGTGGCGGCACCTTGGGCGCAAGTACTGACACGCCCCCTGGGACAGCTGGAACCAGTTTCCAGGCGCACACCGAAAAGGAGGCGAATTCTTCCGTGACGAATTCGTTCCAAAATATTCTGTTTCAAGACCCCTACAAGAAGTGGTCCAGCGACGAGCTCCGACTAGCTGATTACGCTCAGGGCCGCCGCCATGGTAACGGAGCAGCTGGCGGAGGCGGCGCTTTCGGCGTGAGCTCTGGGTTTGGAGGAGGAGGCTTCGGCGCAAACACGACGACACAGCCAAGCACTGGCGGGGGTCTCTTCGGCGGTAGCAACAACGCCACCACGAGCAACACCGGAGGTGTCTTTGGATCGGCCAATAACACGAACTCATCCACCTTCGGCCAGTCGAACCAGACTGGGTTCGGTGCTGGCACGAGCAACACCGCTACTGGAGGAGGCCTATTTGGCAGTAAACCAGCAGGTGGCGGTCTTTTCGGCTCAGGCACCGCTTCCCAACCCCAGAGCACTGGATTCGGAGCTGGTAACACTGGTGGCGGTTTTGGCGCGACGAACAATACCAATACTTCGGCTTTCGGCGGCAGTGGAACCACTGGCGGTGGTCTGTTCGGGAACACGAACCAGAACAAACCGGCGGGAGGTCTCTTCGGCAGTTCGTCGACCAACAACACTACAGGCGGCTTCGGAGGTAATACAACAAGCGCCTTTGGCCAAAACACCAACACCACCAATACAGGCGGTGGTTTGTTTGGAGGCAGCAATACCCAACAAAGTAACACGGGCGGCGGCCTCTTTGGGGGTGCGAACAACAACACCCAACAACAGAATACAGGAAGCGCATTTGGTGGTTTCGGACAGAATCAAAACACCTCGCAGCAATCCAGCGGAGGTCTTTTCGGGGGCAACCAGCAAAAGCCCGGAGGGTTATTCGGCAGCACCACGCAGCAGAGCAATACTGGTGCTGGCGGTGGTCTTTTTGGCAACGCCAACAACAACCAACAACAGACAAATGCCTTCGGCGGTGGTGCTAGTAACACTAACACTAGCGGTGGTTTGTTTGGTAACAAGCCTGCTGGTGGCGGTGTCTTCGGACAGCCCGCCCAGCAAAATACCACCGGTGGCGGTCTTTTTGGCAACGCCAATCAGCAGACCAATACGGGTGGAGGGCTCTTTGGCAATGCAAATAACAACCAGAGCAACGAGCAGAAACCCAGCCTGTTTGGCGGTAGCACCGCTCAGAACACTGGAGGAATGTTCGGCGGCCAAACCAACCAAAGTACCGGCGGAGGCATGTTCGGTAGCAGCACGAACCAACAAAATCAGGGCATGGGCAACTCTATGCTGGGCAGCTCTCAGAGTGCTCCGCAAGGTCTGACGGCCAACCTCAACGACGTTTCGGCGTATGGCAGTCCGTCACTATTCACCAATGTTGGTGGCAACGAGATTGCCAACCCTGGTCCGCTTGCGACGCCTCTTAACGCGAGCTCCAAGCCCAAGCGCAGCTCTATCCTGCCAATGTACAAGCTAGCTCCTGCCTCTGCCTCTCGTTCTTCCACACCGCAGAAGCGCGGTTTCGGGTTCTCCTATAGCACGTACGGTACCCCTGGTGGTAGTCCTGCTAGTAGTATAGCCCCCACACCAGGCACGGCCGGTCGCAGCTTGCTCGGAGCGAGCTCCAGTGGGTCGCTGAGCAAGAGCGTGTCAGTGAGCAACCTTCGCCGGAGCTTTGCCAACGAGGAAAGCGCACTGTCACCTGCCGGTATCGGCACCACCACCAATGGGTCACGATGGTACGGTAGCACTGGCTCGAAGAAGCTAGTCATCAACCGCGATCTCCGTACCGATCTTTTTTCAACGCCACAGAAGGAGAGACCAGCCATTGAGGCGGCATCGAACCAGCGCAAGGTCGTTCAGAAGCGGGTCAGCTTCGACACGATGGACGCTGGCGACGAGCAACCTGTGCGCGGAGCTCTTCCAGCGGCCGAGGAGGAACAGGATGCCCAGGCTGACGAAACGCCTCGTCAAAACCGCATCTTCAGTGGCAAATCCTCTTCCACCCCCGATGTCGACTCTTCTATGATTGAGGAGGAGGATAACACGGCTACTCCCGGCCGACGCTCCTCAGCTGGCGTCGATGACCTTGTCCCTGGCGAGTACTGGTCTGTCCCGTCCTTTGACGAGCTGGAGCAGTTGAACCGAGTCCAGCGTGCCAAGGTCCCAGAACTCAAGGTTGGCCGTGTCAACGTCGGCCATGTTCAATTCCTCCAGCCCGTTGATATCAGCGCCTTCTCGGTTGACGAGCTTCGCGGAGGCGTCATTGTATTGGAACCTCGTTCGGCTACCGTCTACCCTCAGAACCATAAGAAGCCACCTGTTGGACACGGTCTCAATGTCCCCTCGCGTATCAAGCTGGAGCAGGCATGGGCCCGGGCTGGTCGCGACAGGAAGATCACCAAAGATGATCGGAAACTGGCAAAGCACATCAGCAAGCTGAAGAGCATGCCCGACACCCATTTTGAGCATTATGACCCGAGGACGGGTGAGTGGACGTTCACTGTCGACCACTTCACAACGTATGGCATGGATGATGACGACGACGACGACGAAGAAGAGTCGACGATGCCACCCCAGGAAGATCCGAACGCATTGACCGAGTCTCAGCACCTTGCTCTGGACGCGTCGATGTCTTCTTCCATTGGAGATGACACCTTTCAGTTCCGGCGATCCCGCGGTTTGCCGGGCGCTTTCGACGAGCCCGACGTGAACATGCTCGTTACGGACAACCAGGCTGCAGCACCGAAGGAGTCTTTTTTAGGGGTTAGCTCCGCGGATCCTGCACAGAATGACGTTTGGCTTTCCCTCGAGGAGGAGCAGGCCGAGCCCATGAGTGAAGGATATGACGTGTCCGATGAAGAGTCGACGAGCTCTATCGCCGGACAGCATCTTGCCGCGGAGCATGACTCTGTTTCGTCAGAGGAGGACTATGACCATGAGGAGCACGCAAAGGGCACCCCTGGCGGCGTCCTCCGTGCGAGGATGAGGGCCCTAAAGGAGTCGGCGGGCCCTGCTAACCTTGAAGTCGCAGACGGCGACGACTGGGCCGAGATGCTGAAGAAAACGGTCAGCCCGGCCAAGAGAGACCGTCGAATGCTCAAAGAACTCAATGACGCCTCGCCCACCCGTCAAACAGGCCTCGACATTTTTACGGAGCAGGAGGCAGGCGACGTCGATCTGAGAAAGTCGTCTATTTGGAAAAGGAACACAACACAGAGGAAGGATGCCTTTGCAGCGAACACTGTCGGCGCTGACAAAGGACGTGGTTTCGCGACAAGCATCGATCTCATGAACTCATTGTTCGAGAGGCCTCAACCCAAGCCGAAGACGGCGGCGCCAAATTTGCGGTCTTCCGTCTCGGTCGCAAAAGGCTTCCCTCAGGTCGGTACCCTCGTCGCACTTTGAAGTTATCATGGGGCTCTAGATTGAATCATGTACCTAATTGTAGTGTGAGAAAAAAATGCTAAACTTTTGTTCTATTCTAGTTCCCGTACGCCCGACACGACAAGGCCATTGTGATCGATGAAGAAGAGCAAGCTTTCCACGACGGTGGCTGCCCGAGATGGGGACCAGGGGAGACTCTCGTGGTCCCTCGGTTCAATGGACCCCAACACATGCGACGGTCCCTGCGCGAAGTCTCCGATATCGTTACGCTTCATAAATCGTCCATCCAAAGCTCCCACCAGACCTTACGACTGGGCAAATTCTCGACCGTTTCCTCGAAGACGCTTCTTCAGAACCAAGACAAGCTAACTGTTGTCACTCTACAAGACGGCGTGCCGTTGGCCCAGCTTCGTGCGTCAAGCGTGCAGGATGTGTTCCACCACCGCAACATGAGCGACTCTTCAAGCTTGCACGAGAAGCGGACTTGGGAGCTTGCCAGTATTCTCTTTGATGAGCAAAGCGAGCCTGGCAGCCTGCGCAAGGCCCGTTTGTCAGTTTTCTGGAAGGATCTGGTTGATCAGGCCTCCTCGGTGCTGGTTGGTCTTGCTGGATCGAAAGAGCAGAAGGCCGTCGCGTCCCTGGCCGGACACCGAATCACAGATGCCTGTAGATACCTTCTCGAGGGGCAGAACTTTCACCTGGCAACCATGGTACCGCTCATTGGCACCGGTGGTTCAGCCAAGGAGAATATGCGAGAGCAGGTCAAGGGGTGGCGTGACTCGAAGATGTTGTCCGAGTTCTCCGAGCCCATTCGGGCCATCTACGAGCTACTCGCCGGCAACCCCAGTGTCTGCGATGGCATGAAGAACGGCCCCGTGGAGGATCGCGTCGAGTCCTTTGTTATCTCGAAGAGGTTTGGCCTCAACTGGAAACAGGCTTTTGGTCTCCGCCTGTGGTACGGCATGTCGCAAAGTCAGAACCCTGCGGAAGCCATCAAGCTATTTGCCGAGGACATCGATCAAGACCGCGAAGACCTACCTAAGCCTTGGTATATGGAGGAGGGCATCGATGCCTTGTGGTACGACTACGATGCCCATCACCGCCAGGACCTCATGTGGGGACTGATGCAAATCTATGCCAACCCCAGTGCCGACCTCGAAGCCGTCCTGCGTCCGGAGAACTCGCAGCTGTCCCCTCTCGATATGAGGCTGACTTGGCAGCTTGGCGTGGCACTCTGTGCCACTGGCAAGGTCAATTTTGGAGAGAACGATGCGGAGAAGGCTGATGCCGCGACCATCTCGTATGCCGCGCAACTGACGAGCGCTGGCGAGTGGCTTGAGGCGACCTTCGTTTTGCTTCACTTGAGCGACGCCTCTGCCCGCAAGAAGGCTATTCAAGACCATCTATGTCGCCACGCTGGTCTGATTGAACCTGATTCCGACACCTTCGCCCTTCTCGCGGACCGTTACCAAATCCCCTCCGCATGGATCTGGGAGGCCCTCGCCATATACATGCGCAGCGTCAAGCAAGATCCCACCGCGGAGGTACAATGTCTTGTCAAGGCAGGCGCTTTCTCCGAGAGCCACCACGTGCTGACGACCAAAGTTGCGCCCCAGGCAATCATCGAGCGGGACTACGCCAGCCTGGCGGCTCTGCTGTCGCAGTTTGATGAGCACCTACACCTGGTTCCCGAGTGGCACCAGGGCGGTAGCATCTACAGCTTGTTCTTGACACTGGTGCAGCACCGCAGCCGAGGTGAAACGGCTCCTCGGTCGGTGATAGAGAAGCTCTTGGCTGGCTTGCAGAACGAGCATGTGTCTGGTGACAATATTATCCGCTATGCCGCTCTGTCAGATATGGCGAACGAGACCGCCAAGGAGATTGTCAAGTTGACTAGAAACCAGCAGGTGAGTACCTCAGGTCTCTCGAGTTCCGAGTATGTGGCTTACGAATCTCAGGATGCCGACTTTCGATCGAGGATACTCAAGCTGCCGTTGACGCAGGATCGTCTGCTGGCGTATTCGGTGGATTTGGGGATGGAGCAATACAGGGAGGTCATGTCGCACTGAGGAGCCGTTCATGTAAGATGTTGTCTTTAGCAGCTAGGGGGAAAAGGAAGGGGTCTGCAGCTCGTTTTTGCTTTTTAAGATTGTATATATTATAATTCGTAGCATGATGATAGATAGCTCGAGGCGAAGGCTATCAGAGAACCTTGTGCTATGTCGCATGATCCCATTTTTGCATGCTGCTGTCGCGACGGATGACTCAGCCTTGTATTCCACTGTACGTGCTCAAGTAGCTTTATGGGTTAGGTCTTTGACTGGCAACAAGTTCAGCATCGCCATGTCCACGCCGAAGAACTGGCCCCCTACCCTGCGCTACGTCTCGGCTCCATCACACGACAAAGGGCTCACAGCGACGCATCAAGTGGTGCTCAAGACTCGGCCGCCCTCGATCCCCACTGTGCCCGCATCAGCAACATCTCTACCTTGCCCTCTAGTCAAGGTACAAGCCATCACCACAGGGACACATCCCGCCTGCGGGCAATGCGGTCTCTTCGCCACGCGTGATCTCAGACCAGGCACCTTCATCGTGCCGTATCTCGGGCGGACGCACACGTCGTCCACGACTGATCCCCACTCGGACTACGATCTGTGGCTCGACCGTGAGGCGGACCTGGCCGTCGATGCGAGCCTGCAGGGCAACGAGGCTAGATTTGTTAATGACTACCGAGGCGTGAAAGACAAGCCAAACGCAGAGTTTGGTGTAGGCTGGAGCGAGAAGTGGGGACAATTGATTGTGGGCTTCTGGGTGCTTGGGAAAGCGGACGAGAAGAAGGGGGCTATCAGGAAGGGGGAAGAGATCTTGGTGAGCTACGGGAAGGGGTTCTGGGGTGGGCGTCGGGAGGAGGGGGGACAATAGGAGTACAATCACCACGTCGTGGCGGTCCAAGTGTCCAAGTGTCCAAGTGTCCAAGTGTCCAAGTGTCCAAGTGTCCAAGTGTCCAAGTGTCCAAGTGTCCAAGTGTCGATGCTCTTGGTCTGCTTACAATCCGTGTATCCGTACATTAGGTAAAAAGGCAAACACCCGGACTCGCTTGCGTAACAGCTTGGAATGAATTGGAGCTGACACCCGCTGTTGGGTTGCTCCAGCCGAGGAGACGAGTCAGCGCCATGTGAGCATCCGCGTCTGCCTCACTGTCTGCCTGGCAGGGCTGCGTCTGACCCGGTCTGCCTGCCTAAATAAGCGGACCACGTACGTGTATTTGGCCAGAAATCACACCACGCTAGTCGGAGAACGATTGGGTCACCCGGCATTCAGCGGTTGCCTCGCTTGGAGCCAATGTCAGCTCCCCGCCATCACGGACGGCGTCCCAATGACTGACACTTCTGGCGTCTTGGCCAACTTTCTTCATCATCCACACAAGGCCTAATTGGCTTGCGGCACGAGCTGCATCGGGCTACCTACTATGTAGTCCCCAAGGTGGCTGTCTGGGCTTCAGCTCGCAGCCCAGTGTCTCATCCTCTGCCGCTGTGTCACGCTGACATAGACTCACCGACGACCGTCACGCCGATGCTGACATACATGTATATAGTCCAGCATTGGTCGCCAGAGCTGACCGCAGGCGCTCGTTTTGTTGTTCTCTCGGATATCTATGAAATTTGCACGACGGAAAACTAGACATATGTCGCGATGGTGAGCTGCTGGTCTCTGAATGGTGACCATGAAAATGACTGACTAGCCTCAGAGAATCCTCTTTACCAACAACGCGGAGGTGGAACTCCCCGTCAGAGAAAAGCACAGCCCCGACAAAGATGATGCTCTTCAAATACATGCGTTGCCATCGCGCGATGCCTTGCTCGTCAAGGTTCAGCCGCCCAAAGCGCCAGCCCAACAAGTCAAGCATGTACCATGCGACATTGTTCTGGTCATCGACGTGTCGGGGAGTATGGGTGTTGAGGCGAATGTCCCGGGGGAAACCGAGGGTACGGGTCTCAACGTTCTGGACCTGGTCAAACACGCGGCTCGGACAATCATCGAAACCTTGGATGAAGGTGATCGCCTGGGGTTGGTCACCTTCCATTCCCGCGCACAAACGATCCAAGGTCTCACTGTCATGACAGAGGACAACAAGAAGCTCACGTGGGACCGCATCCAGAACATCGTCCACCCCATATTGTCCACGAATCTCTGGCACGGATTGCTCCACGGCTTAGATGTCTTCAAGCACGCTGAGGCCAGTTCAAGGGTGCCGTCCATGATGGTGCTGACCGACGGCATGCCGAATCAGATGAACCCTGCCGCGGGATTCGTGCCCAAGCTACGGGAAATGCTACCGCTGCCCGCCTCCATCTCCACGTTCGGTTTCGGTTACGACCTCGACTCTGGACTGCTCAAGTCGATTGCCGAGATCGGCGGCGGCAGCTACGCCTTTATCCCCGACGCCGGCATGATTGGGACTGTCTTTGTGCACGCCATCGCCAACATGCAGTCCACCTACGCCATCAATGCCGTGCTGGAACTGGACTATACGTATCCTCTGGCCGTCAACGTCTCGACAGGTCCAACAGTGGATCAGCAGGCGCCTTGTGAACAAGAATCACACATGCGCCTCCGGGTTCCCCTTGGCAGCTTATTGTACGGGCAGTCAAAGGACGTCTTTCTGAACGTGGAAAATGCGCGGAAGAAGGATGCCCTTGTCTCTGAAGACAATGCCGTCATCAAGGCCAAGCTTCTGTACGAGGCTGTCCACCCGACCCCAAAGGCCACCGGGGCCAATGAGCAAGTGACCCTCGCGGCAGAGTGCAGTATGATGGCCGAGTCTGAGATCGCCGCCGACATTGTGGCATACCACGAGTCTCGCGCGCGGATATGCGAATTTCTGAGCTCCCTGTTCCACTTGAATAAGATCGAGGAACACCGTGTGATCTCGCCCGACGATCTGCCCGCTAAGCAGCAGGAGCTCGAGCAATTACTCGAGGTGCTGCCAGCAAAGCAGTACTCTGATGAGAAGAACAGTTCGCTCATAACGGATCTTGTAGGAGAGAGTCCGCACGGTCAAGTTTCCTTGGCCCTCAAGAATGCAGAATACTTCCAAAGATGGGGTCAGCACTACATCCCCTCCCTGATGAACGCCCACGTGCGCCAGGAGTGCAACTCGTTCAAAGACCCAGGACCGCTCCAGTACGGCACCGAGAGCGCACTCTTTATCGAATGCAGGAAGCACCTCGACTCTGCATTTGACCGATTGCCTCCACCCGAGCCAGCAATACAGGAGCAGGGCGGTAGCACACGAAGTCGCAGTGGCTACGGGTCAATTTTGAGGAGCAAGAAAGGGGGCCCGAAAGCAGCCTCATTTTCAATGTCGTCGTACAATAACCCTCGTGGAGTGTGTTTTGCAGCTTCGACGCCAGTTGAACTCGCCTCGGGACGCACCGTGCCTATCAGGAAGCTCCAACGAGGCGTCAAAGTGCAGACGCCAGCGGGGCCGCGCAAGGTGTCTGTCGTCCTCAAGACGCGAGTACAAGGGGAAACTCTCTGCCTGGTGAATGGTGTCCTGGTCACGCCGTGGCATCCCATCTCAAAGGACGAGAAGACATGGGTTTTCCCGGCGTCCTGCGCCGAGGGCGCGGTCCGATACACTGGCTCCATCTACTCGATCATGCTACAGAGAGATGACAACGTGAGGGCTCATGGCATTCGCGTTGGCGGTATGTGGGGTGTCACATTGGGCCACGGGCTGATCGAGGGCTCGGACATCAGAGCACATGCTTTCTTTGGAGACTATCATAGGGTTGTCAAGGCGATGGTGCAGTTGCGTCGCGAGAACAGCGGCCTGCCAGAGTTGAAGTCGGTCTTGCGCAAAAAGGGGGTTGTTGTTGGCAGTGGAGTCCATAGGGATGGTCGGACTGGACTGGTCACGGGGTTCAGTGCTGCGTGACAGGGGTCCTTGAACGCTAAAGAATGAGAATGCGTAACATGGATGGTCATGTACACGGACTTGGTGTCTTGGGCAATGTATTTAATGGCAGCACTGAGGCCACTCAGGGCGGGTTGCTGTCCAAGTTTCTTCCTGCGGTTGGCGACAGCGGTGAGTCTTTGATCCGATGCAATAGGCGCGCTACAAGACAGCGAGGTTTCTGTGATTTTGAGTACACAGTTCACGCAATCTCCTTTCATCTGATGTTGAAACTCCTGATGAACTTCATTAGCAGTCCCTGCATCAGTTCTCGCAGCTTACACATTTCGCTGAAGCCTGCCGGGCAGGTATATAACTGTGCCCTGCAGTTGATGTTCTCCTCCCACTCCAACATAGAGAAAACTCTTCTTCATCCCTAGAATCTCACAGCAGATTTCGTTTGCTTTTTCTCTATCTCTTCAAAGCTCCAAAAGCCCTTCAACAGATTGAGCTAAGTTACGATTGACAGCCATGGCTGAAACGTCGAACAACGGCACCATGCCGCCACAAGGACGTGCCAAGAAACAGAAGCACGACACGTCCAGGGATTCCGCAGAGACAACATCTTTTGCTTGGGATATTGCGGAAGACAAATCGATTGCCGAAAGAATTGCTCTCAAGGAGACCGCAGTTGAGAATGCCGTGGCTCATGTGGACCAGCTTACTGACCTCTTGGAACAACACGCGGATGATGCCGGCGCGCCTCCCCCCCTCAAGGCAGCACTTAAATCATGGATAGCGGAGGCTGGTGAGTTGAATACTGGAGGCAACGTCGATCGTCGTACCACGACTGACCTTGGATAGACGAGACACTGCAGAGTCACCGGAATTTTCAAGTACTTGTAGGCGTCGTGGGCCAGACTGGCGTTGGCAAAACTTCCTTGCTCAATGCCATGCTCGGCGAGTACGAGCTGTTGCCTTCGGGACACGAAAGAGCCGCAACGGCAGTGTGCTGCAAGGTTGCATGGAACTACGACATGGAGCCCGGCCATGAGTGTCGCGCCGAAGTCTTCTTCCAGGACCTGAGCGAGATCAAACTGCAGATCCTCGGCACTCTACAGGCAATCAAGAGCATGGTCTCGATAGCTAACGACACCAGCTACTTAAAGGAGGACGAGCGAATCAATGATACAGCAGTGGCCGCAGCCGAGGCCAAGCACGGCATGGACAAAATCCGCGCAGTATGGAACCTGGATGAGGCCGATATTCGACGCTCTGTCCTGGCTTGCGGCAACGAGGAGAAGCTCGCCGACATGGCTCAGACGATCCTACAAACAAACCCAAGCCTCATCAATGTCCTCAAGACACGACAAATCGAGTTGAGAGGTGCGACTGGTGAGGACTTGGCCAAACAGATCAAACCGTACCTCGACGCGACTACGTCGGTCCTGGGCGGCAGCGATATAGCCATGTGGCCGCTCATCTGCAATGTCAACGTCTATATACGGAGCGAGATCTTACGCCACGGAATCTGTCTTGTTGACCTTCCTGGAGTCGGCGATGCGGTAGAGAGCCGCGTCAAAGTTGCCAGTGACTTCCACAAAAAGCTCGAGGTCACAATGATTGTCGCTGCTATCCAGCGAGCGGCCGACGAGAGAACAACGCTGAGGCTTTTGAATGACTCTCAAGAGATGCGAGCGCGTCTGACGGCTGGAACAAACCAGCATGCGTTCGGTGTTGTGCTGACCAAGATGGACGACCTGGACATCAATTCATACGTCAAGAGGTCAAGGGCAGCCGAGCACGACCACTATGTCCAAAAGCACATGGCAGACATGAAAGCTGCCCAAGAAAAGATTGCCAGTATTATAGGGAGCGAGAAGTTCATCGAGAAGGCAAACAAAAGGCTCGCATCTCAGCTCAAGAAGCTGAAAAGGAAGCTCAAGACAGACGCAGGCACGGCCAATGGCGGTGCCACCGACAAGGAGATCAAGGGGGTCAAGTCTACAATCGAATCTGGAGAGCACCAAATTGGGAGTCTTCGAGAGGACGCAAAACCCTTTCAGGGTATCGTTGACAATGCGATGCTGCATCTGCGCCATTGGGCGACAGTAACGCGAAACACCGCCGTCGCTGAGAGAATGCAGGAAGGCTTTGTGCGTCGACAACGCCGGACCACGGTGGACGGCGACCTTGAAGAGCCAGAACACGTGAGCACCCTGGCCGTTCACGCCACAAGTTCCCAGGCGTTCTGGAGACTGCGCAACGGCAATGACAGCAACCTGTCTTTTCCGACGGAGAGGTACACAGGCGTCCCCCAGATGATCCAGTGGATCTGTAAAGCGACGGCGGAGCGCCGAGAGAAGCATCTGGACGTGACAATTCAGCGCCTGCTCCAGTGCATGAATAGCATTGACAATTGGTCCAAGACTTGCCAATCGGACTTGCGCATCAACGTCGACTACAAAGGACTCCAAGAAGCTCTGAAGCAAGAGGGCAAGCAACTGCTGGCTGTACGTATCACCACCAAGCCGCCGCTGTGTTGATTGTCTAATACTCTCCAGGATAGTGCCAAGGAACTGCGCGAACTCTTTGCAGAGATAACAAGTGTTGATCCCTTTGAGAATTTGGCAACAGCCAAGAGGAAGTTCCGACCCCGTGCGAAGATCATCGCAAGCCGATGGCACCTGAAGTTTCCTGAAGACGAGACATCTAAAGTGACACTGCGCTGGAACTCATATCTGGCGGTGGTGAAGCGGAAGGGGGGTCCATACTCCCCAGCCGCGAACCCAGACATTGAGTACGACTGGATACCCAAGCTGTAAGAACGCCCCCCTGCGTGGGTGTATCGCCTTGCTGACTTCTCCTAGGTATCGACCCATCATTCTTGACATGTCAGCCAGTATCAACCACAGTGTCAACACCAAGATCCCCGCCCTCTGGGATAAGCGCAAAGCCAACGTCAAGCAGGCCCTCGAAGCACACTTCAAAAAGCTGACAGAGGTTGCGCAGTCATTTGACGCGACACTCTCGCATCACCTAGACGAGCGAAAGTCGGACGTCGTGACAAACCGCAAGTTGATCTTCTCACAGATCACCCAGAGACTCGATGCATTCCGGCAGAGCGTGGATGTGCTGGGTGCTGCGCATGCTTACATTTTCGGACTTCTGAGAAAGTGCTTCGAGTACATGGAAACGGAGATTACAGGTGAGACAAACCAACCCATCTGCTGAGAGGACGTACTAATGTGCTGCAGGGCAAAAATCCTATCTGCGCCGTCGTGAGTATGTCGAGCAATTTGTCGGTAGACGCGCGACCGACATCTTCAATGGCACCGTCAAGGCCATGAGCGACGACTACAAGAAGAAGAAGAAGGTGCTGAAGAGCGACTTGGAGCAACTCGCCGATGAATTGGTCAAGCGAGTCTCCACGGGCGTCTTCCTGTTCATCGACAACCTTCTCGGCGACTGCACGACCTCGGACAAGCTCACCGTGCAGTCTCGTGTCCAGGACACACTCGCCGCCTGGAGGAAGGACTGGCAATCTCCCAAAGTCGCCGAGCACATGCTTTTGAAAGATGTCAGAATCCCCCCTGAGCTTCTCGAGGAGGACTTGAAAGCGCGAAAGGCCGCAGCCAGGAAGAAGAAGAATGACGAGGATGACTCGGACGATGATGACAGCAGTGACGAAAGCAGTGACGAAAGCAGTGACGATGAGTCAGACGAGACAGCCAAAGTCAAGACGGAAGGGGATACGAATAATGAGTGAGGTAGAGCACATCTTTTCGTCCTTTGACGTTGCCGTCTCGCATGGGTTCCGGGTGGTGCGGTTTTTCTTCAGGGGCTACGGACCATCGGATTTCAAAAGGGCATTGCTTGTACCCGGGGTTGTTTACAGCGACATATTTCAGGACTCGCAGTCAAGATTGGCTTGAGGCTCCGCATCTCGCGGCGCAGATACATCCAGCTTGGTCTGTATGTCTCGACAGGCAGAAGTTCGCGGTAGCAAGGAGTGGAGTTCTTTTTATGAGACCTTTTGCTTGGAACACAAGAAGGATAGTAGCAGCAGATGAGACACAATGAGAATGACTACTTCGAATCCCATGCTTAAATTTCAAAGTTCTCTTTTATAATTGGGTGTTTCTTCGCGCCGTGTGCGATAAGACATACAACATAATTGAAATCTTCAGGGCAGTCAACGTCATGGCAGACAATCCCACCAGCGCGACTGACTACATGTAATGTACAATGCATACAAAGCAAATGGAATTGGATTTCAGGCCTACATTAAGGCTCACTATACTTTATGGACGCTTGCAGCCTTGATCTTCTCCCAACCTGAAATTATGGCTAAAAGGGCCTAGGGTAGCCAGATACATTAATGTTTAGCATCACCAGATCCGTCGCGCTACGGCCATTCTCATCGCTGTCGCAAACTGATACCTGGCACTCCTCCTGGCTGACCACTATCGAGGAACGACATCACCACGTATCATTATACCATGTCCCGAATGAAGGCAGCCGAGCAATGCCGTGATCGAGTGCCGAGTGGGTCTAGGACTCCAGGCTGGAAGCTGGGGTAGCGCACAGTACGTGCATGCGCCAGGCTGCGGCATTCTTCGACGCAACATAGCCCAGAAGCATCATTCAATTCGTAAAGAGCTCAGACATTGGTACAAAAGTCGATTCGCATCTTTGAAATCTCATCCACAGACTGTTCAGCGTATCTGTGGCCTACAAGCTCAGCACGACGACGGTGTCCGCCACAGTATCCGCCGCCGGACGACTCTCGATTTGGTGCGGGTGATTCCTTAACCGGCCGCCGCCCAACCATACCGGCACATACATAATCGTGCTCTTGTACCTCATCACAGAAGGTTCGTTCTCACCTCACCTCAAGTCAATCCACCCCCACAGACCGTCGCCATGTCATCCTTACCCAACGGCATCAAGGCCGTCCTCACAAAGGCGCCTTCCGACGTCGTCGTCCTCTCCTCCCTGCGCACGCCCATTACCCGCTCCTACAAGGGCCAGCTGAAAGATGCCTACCCGGAAGAGCTCCTCTCCACCGTCCTGCGCGCCACACTCGACACCCACGGCACAGATTGGATCGATCCGGCCGTCATCGAGGATGTCGCCGTGGGCGTCGTGCTCTCGGAGCTGGGCGGTTCCAAGGCCAGTCGCATGGCCATGAACCACGTCGGCTACCCGCACACCACGTCGCTCTACACCGTCAACCGGGCGTGTTCCTCGTCGCTGCAGGCGATTGCCAATGTCGCGGCGCAGATCCGCACGGGCATGATCAGCGTGGGCATCGGGGCTGGTATGGAGAGCATGACCAGGAACTATGGGAGTCGCGCCATCCCGGAGCACTACTGGCCTGCCCTCAAGGAGTCCCCCGTCAAGGACGCGAGAGACTGCGTCATGTCCATGGGCATCACCTCGGAGAACGTGGCAGAGCGGTACGGCGTGTCGCGCGGTGATCAGGATGCGTTTGCCGTCGAGTCGCACCGTCGCGCAGCCAAGGCACGCGCTGACGGTAGCTTTGCGCAGGAGATTGTCCCCGTGACAACTCGGTTCCAGGAGATGGACAAGCAAGGGAACCAGGTCGGCGACGAGAAGACCATTACAGCGCAAAACGACGACGGCATCCGAGACTCGATCAGCCTCGAGGCGCTCGCAAAGTTGAAGCCCGCGTTCAGGCCGGACGGTGCCTCGACAGCTGGCAATTCGAGTCAGGTATCAGACGGCGCGGCGGCGACGCTGCTCATGCGACGTAGCACGGCGACGGAGCTGGGGCTGAGCCAGCACATTATCGGCAAGTTTGTCAACGCTGTGACGGTGGGGTGTGCCCCTGACGAGATGGGTATCGGACCGGCTCTCGCCATCCCCAAACTGTTGAAGCAGGTTGGGCTTGACAATGGCGATGTGCAGCGCTGGGAGATCAACGAGGCCTTTGCCAGCCAGGCCATTCACTGCGTGAGGGAGCTGGGTCTCGAAGAGGAGTGGGCAAAGGGCAGGGTGAACCCTGACGGCGGGGCGATTGCGCTTGGTCACCCTCTGGGCGCTACGGGTGCGCGAATGACGAGTACTCTGCTGCATGGGCTGGAGAGGGACGGTGGTGAGGTCGGTGTGGCGAGCATGTGTGTTGGCACTGGGATGGGCATGGCCGGCTTGTACGTGCGCGAGTAAGGAAAGAGAGGTGAGCACGTCCGAGCTGTAATTTATACAAAGATGGCTAGAATAGCTCCGATCTTCATGGATGCATGTGTACATGGGGCAGCGTGGACCCCTTTATCTTGCGCTGCTTGGTGGGACAGCCTCGGAGAGCGAAATAAAGACTGTCAAATTCATCAAATCATTACAATGTCATGGCAACTTCCACCCATTCCGTGCATCGCCCTTCGCCCTCAGACGCGGGCAGCCACCCAGGCGGCAGCGTCCGCAGCGTTCTCCTGGTACCGCGTGTGCGCCCCGTTGGGAATGATGCTGCCGGCACAGATCGTGTCTCCAGCGCGGCAGATGACGCGCGTGCGCGACGAAGGGATGGAGCCAAAGGGCTGGTTCTGCTTGGGGTCGCCAAAGGTGAGGACTATAACGTGTCAGTCCGTGTGTCTTTTTCGATACATGAGCCTGGCCTGAACTAGACGTACCAGCAGTGATGCGGTTGGTCACAGCAGACGAGAGCTGCGCGGCAGCGTTGTGCACAAGCTGAGCGCCCTGGCTGTAGCCGCTGAGAACAATCTGGGTCCTGGGACACTGGGTCGCAGCCTGCTAAGGAGTCAGTCAAGTCCATGGAATGGGAGACTTGGAATCATACCCTCTGCGCGAGAGAGGCGAGGGTCCTGCTGCCAGCCGCGTCGCCGCCGGCAAGGAAGCCAGCGACGTTGGCCGGGTACGTCACGCCTTGGACGGCCAGATTGGTGCGGCCGATGCGCGAGGCCAGGCTGTTGAAGAACAGGGGGCCGACAGCGGCTGGGTCGCCAATGTTGCCGGCTTGGCCGGTGCCGCGGGCGTAGATCAGGGTGACGGCGCGGCAGGCTGTGCCGTCGATGAGCTCGTTGGAGGTGCTGCCGGTGTACTGGCGGGCCTGGAGACCCGAGACATTCTCATTGCGCTTCTTCTCGTAGTAGCTTTCTAGCTCGGCGAGGGGGAAGTCTGCGTCAGCCTCGATGAGGGAGGCAATGTCAAGCTCCGCCTCGACGGGGGCGGCAGCGGCGCAGCCAGCAGCGCAGAGAGCAAGGATGACCTGGGTGACCTTCATGATCAGAGAGTGTGTACAAGAGAGTGGTACTTGCGCGGGAACTGGTCGAGGGTGAGCGAGTTGGGTTCTGTAGCATCAGAGGGCGCGTTTGGTCGTTATATAGATGGTTCCAAGAAAGACCAATCGTGATGTACAAATCACATGCCCGGGAAGCACATGAGCATGTGTCCCTGAGCAATCAAATAGTTGACCTTTCCCACGATGCCTTCGGCCCAAGATGTCGGATTCGGACATTATTTGTACCTGGAGTGTGCGACTGCGACATTGTCCAGCGGACGCACGAGGAACTATTGTTTTGTCCACGAACCTGCATAGATGGATCTCATCGTGGCCTACAGTAGGAATACTACCCACGAGCGGCAACAGATTTCCGCTCGTCGATGATGCGTCGCATACATACATACACGCACGGCCTACGACCCCGTTTGGGGAGGTCACGTCTCAGTGCATGAAGATGGTGTCAAACGCATCGAAGCCCTTCCCCATGCCAAGACAGCCAAGAAACGCTCAATACGGCACTCCTGAGCGATCTAGAACTTGCCAATGCCGTCCACGCGGGGGAACTGGAGCGTAGCATGGAGCTGCCTATTTGGGTGTCGACAAACCCCTTGCGTCCGGTTTTGATTCCAATGGATGACAGGGGTTGCCAGTTTTGTTGAGATTACGACAGGCGCAAGGCAGATCAGAGTCGAGGCTTCTTCTAACATGAAGTCGACGGCACTCCAGCCTGTCGGGGCACACGTGTGCTGGCTCCTGGCCCAAACATTCTGAAAGCATTTGGTGTTGAGTGTGTTCATATATCGTCATTACATCGTACTATAGCAAAATGCATACTTTCGTAACCCCCTTCGACGTCTAATGCAACGTCGTTTCTACAGCCGTGCCTCTCTGACCCCATGTTGAACGTTTGTGTCAACCACAGGCTCTGGCCGCACCCCTTTGCCCACAGTCGCAGCATACCTTCTCCCAAAATACGCAATCTCGACTCTCGACCCTTCTCTGACTTCATTCGGCAGGTAGGCAAACGCAATCGGCCTGCCGACCGTGTACGCAAAGGCTGCACTTGTCACGTACCCGACCGCCTGTCCGTCAAGGTAGACCGGTTCCTTGCCCATCATCACCGTCCCCGCGGTCTCCAGTGTCAAACAGCGAATACGTCTGGTCAGAGGCGCCTTGGACAGCCGCACCAGCGCAGCACGACCGACAAAGTCTGCCTTGGAGGTGTCCACCGCATCAGCGAACCCAGCCTCGAACGGGTTGTGTTCGGTGGTCACATCGGCGCCCCATGAACGGAAGCCATTCTCCATGCGCAGAGCGTTGAACGCACCTCGTCCTGCAGCGACGATGCCATGACCTTGACCAGCCTGGAACACTGCATCCCACAACCGCAGACCGTTCTCGGCGCTGGTCTGAATCTCCCACCCAGCTTCACCCAGGAAAGAGATGCTCTGCATCAAGACAGGCAGTCCCGCAATGTGTGTCCGCGTGACCCTCATGGGTGAAAGGTCAGCGAGCTGCTTGTCCGAGCTCAACGACCCCATGACCTCCCGGGCGCGAGGTCCCCAGAGTCCAATGGAGGAAGTGGCACCGGTGATATCACGCACTTGCGCGAAGCGTCGGGGATCGGTCGACGATTGCAAGCGAGCTTCCCGTGTCAAGTAGGCCACATCCGTAGGGCCGTTCGCGCCCAGCTGATACAGGTTCTTTGCGAGCCGCGCGACAAACACGTCGCTGCGAACACCACCGTGGTCATCCAGCATCAACGCGAAAGTGATCGTACCAGCATCCCTGGACACATCGCCCGTCGCGAGGCGCTGCAGCAAGCTCTCTGCGCCCGGTCCAGACACCTCGATGCGGCGGATGGGGCTCTGGTCGTACATTGCGACGGCCGTGCGCGTCTTCCACGCCTCGACGGCCGTGGTGGGCGAGTAGAACCTATTCGACCAGGCGTCGCGCTCGCGTGGCTGCCACCGGGGCGGGAGGTCTCGGAGAAGCTTGGCGTTAACATCGTACCACTGCGGCCGTTCCCAGCCACCCGCCTCCAGGAAGAAGGCACCCAGTTCCTTCTGTCGAGCGTGAAAGGGCGTCACCCGCAGGTCGCGCGGAGACTCCCTGGGTTGCAGGGGGTGGATAATGTCGTAGACCTCGACAAAGTCCTGCGAGGAGGTCTCGGTCACGTAATCGGGCGCGAGCTGAATGTCCTCGAACCGAGACAGCTCGGCGCCCGACAGGTCGATCGTGGACTTGCCCGTCGTCAGGACCTCGGCGAGGGAGCGGGCGACACCGGCCGAGTGGGTGACCCAGACGGCCTCGGCGACATAGAAGCCCTCCAGGTTGGGGGCGCGTCCCACGAGGGGCCCGCCGTCCGGGGTGAAGGACAGGATGCCGTTGAAGCCCTCTGCGACCTCGCTGTCGCGCAGCGCGGGGAGCATCTCCTGTGTGAGCTTCCATGCTGGCTCGAAATCTTGCGGGGTGAATGCTAGTCGTGAGGGCATGTTGCTCTCACTCACGTTCTCTGCCGTCGGGCCCAGAGACGCTGCGGTGACGGGCATGGGTTTGTGACCATAGTACCCGATTCCATACCGGTCTCCGTGCTCTCGATAGTACAAGTCCTGGTCTTGGTAGCGCAGAATGGGTAGTGTGGCGCCGTTGGGCTCTGGGTTGCGCCCCTTTTGCTTGGGCACGGCAGTCGTCTTGACGTACTGATGGGCCATGGGCTGAAGAGGGATGGGCACGCCTGCCAGTGCGCCCACTTCGACGCCCCAGAAGCCAGCGCAAGAGCAGACAATGTCTGCCTGAATCGTCCCATTGGGTGTGATCACCCCTGTGATGGTGTCGTCGTCCTTGACAAAGCCAGTGACAGGCGTGTGCTCGAGATACTGAACGCCCACCTTGCGAGTGCGCTCAATCAGGCGCTGGACAGCCTGCGCTGCGAGCGCGAGACCATCACTCGGGATGTGGAAACCGCCCAAGACGACGTCTTCGCTCAGGTGCGGATAGAGCGCGACGCATTCGTCCGTGGTCAGGAGCTGCGTCTCAACGCCCCAGGACGTGGCGTAGCCGTGCTTGCGCTGAAGTTCCTCCATTCTCTCCGCCGTCGTTGCGACCTCGAGGCCGCCCACCTGGTTGAAGCAGTCAATGGACAGGAGCTTCTGGACGGTGTATTTGGCGAACTCGGTCATGCTCTTGGAAGCATTGGTCTGAAACACCAGACCAGGAGCATGTGAAGTCGAGCCACCGGGCATGCGAAGCGGTCCTTGCTCCACGACAGTGATGTTCGTCCACCCCCGCGAGACGAGCTCGTCAGCCAGGTTTGTGCCCACGATGCCGGCACCGATAATCACCACGCGCTTGTCCATCGTCATTGTGAGGTGTGTCTGTGTGTGTGAAAGACAAAGGCAAGCAGCCAAACCAGGCTGGATGTCAGGGGGATGGCAATGACTAACTAGTGCACCATGTTGAACGGCTTCTTAAGATCAATGATACCAACAACATATCATCTCCTTATCCTTGATCACGATGTCTATCTGATCAGCATGAGATTATAGAGGCGATGCGCTCACGTGATCGGCATCTGCGCACCGGCGCCGTGCGCGCGCGAGGGCCGCCTGATTGTGGTCCAGGACGTGTCGTTGCTTCAGGGCAGGGGGGCTGCATACCTGTAGGTATGATATCAGAGAAGGGGTCTAGACTAGAATGCGGGGTAGAAGTTCTCCAAATTCAGGTGAAGATCCCCATGAGAAGTGCATGCTGGCTTCGTGCTGGACGGAGGATGGAGGACACGGGAGGGTGGCTGATGAACGACGGGGTGTAGCAGCACAGGTCTTGGTTCGTCGGTAGCGGTCAGGCGTCATGCTGTAAGGTGGCCAAATTTGTATTCGGCGACAATGTGAAGGTGTTGAGGCAGTCGACCCCGTCCATTCATGTTGGACGGATTACACAACACGCGCTGCTGGAACTTAAGCCTAGGAGGTCCGATCTCGGCCATCCTCCCCAATGCGCTTGCTCGTACTCGACTAACACGAATTCCCCCAACACTGGTGTCATGTCTGTTAATCAAAGAATGTGGCTACGTTTGTGACAATGCTCGTCCAGGGACGTACGTCCTTTTAACCTGGTCTACAGTGCATATATGTATCATGTCCAACATACAAGAAACTCCAAAATGCCAACGCTTCTACTCTACACGCGCTCTCCCCCTCAGAAATGATTGAACATGATATTGCTAAAGTTCTCGCCTTGCCACCACGCAGAGCCCCTGTCCTCGGGCATCGCAGGCTGCGGGTCGGCTAATCCCATGTCGCCCATGTTGGCAAACTGCGCCGAGTCGGCGTACAGCCAGGGCGTAAAGTTGAAGCTCAGAAAGTCCATCTGCTCCCCGTGCTTTTCACCACCGCCACCGCCGCTGCTGCTTCCGCCGCCTGCTCCGCGGTGCTGTGGCTGTTGATTGCTTCCCGAGTTGACAATGTTCTGGCTGTTCCATGCCGCACTCCTCGAGGACTGCCCCGGTCCGCGGTGCGAGAAGGAGGGCGCCTCTTGCCCGCCCTCGGCCGTGTTGATGATGATCTCTGGCGATGTGGCGACGATGATCTCAATGGTCGAGTCCTCGTCTGTGTCCTCGTGGGACATGGGGGGAATCAGTGAGCCGTCCAGGATGCCTCCACTCTGGTTCGGGAGCGATCCTTGTTCTGTGGTGAAACGTAGCGTTTCCCACATGAGGGGGATGCTGAGGTAGATTTTGGAAGGCATCCAGTCCTCGACATCCATGCTTTCAGGGCCGACCGCCATGCGCGTCATCTTGTCGAGGTTCCTGTCCTGTAGTCATTGTCAGCGTTTCATTCTCCCATCATACGCTTGTCGGATGTCCATACCAGTCCAGCACACGCTGCCGAGTAAGGGATAAAGTTCTTGAGAAACCTCCTGCATTTCGTAAAGTCGGCATTCGACTTGTGCTTTAATCGTGCGGCCGCGGCGCAGCAGTAGTATAGATGCACCGTCGCCGCGATCGCCGCGACGTGTCCGAAGAATGGATCGGCCAGCGGCACCTGCTTGTCCACCACCATGTCAATCATGCGGACGATCCATGTTGCGTGCAGCAGCGCCAGCTCGGACGATCGCTTCCAAAAGGTGTTGGGTATCGCGAGATTGGGGTTGTGCTGTGCCCCTATGATGTAGATGAACGGGTGGTTCATGACCGTGTGGATGGCGTGGTACGTGAACTGCTCCCTCAGCCACGGTGCCCAGTAGTCCCGGTTGACCTTGATCTCCTCGACCTTCCGCTTGTAGAACTTGGCCGTGTCGTACCGGTGGGACACTGGTATCCTGTTCTCAATCTCCATAAAGTCGGAGATGACCCTGGCATAGGGCGAGTCGCGCCGCCAGGGCTCGCGCAGGACGTTGTGCGCGCAGTCCGTGACATACTTCCTCACCTGGCTCCAGACCCACGCGAGATGCACGCCAGTGTTCCATATACCACTCTCGTGCGGTCCCGCGCAGCCGAGCTCATCTCGCGGCAACGGTGGCACGGTGGGATCCAGCTCTGTGCTGCCGCCGTTGCTCGGCGCGTACAGGGGGCCCCATATGTCGCTAGGCAGGCTCAACACCCCATCCTGGCGACCGTAGCACTGCTGCAAGAGCTGGAGGCTCCAGAAGCACCGCTTCTTCCTCTCCTGTAGCGGGTCGTCCATCCGGTAGGACGACTCAAGGTCCAGCATGGCGGAGCGGCAGACCTGGAACGCAAGGCCCAGATGGAACTGGCCGAGATGGTGGTTGCCATCTTCCACATGGTAAGCCAACGGGTCACGGACATGGGACGTGCATGTGCATGGGAGCGAGAACATACCTACGAAAGACGAGTAAGACAACAGACACAAGCTCTCAACGGTTCCGAGGCCTACCGTGCCGTTTGCTATGCGTAGCATGATGAGGGTCTTGGCCGTCTCCCCGTGGAACTGCAGCTGGCTGCGGTTGTCCAGGAAGCGCGACGTCAGCGCGAGGATGCTGCAGGCCAGCTCTTCCGGTATGGCGCCGCAGTCATGGACATCCTCGTGGTCAAAGCACCAGATGGGCTGTCTGTGACAGTACTGAAAGTAGAGTCTCACCCCAATGGCAATGTCGGACAGACTGGGCCGCAAGCTCGAGTCGTCCGACTCGAACGTGATGGCGGACGAGTGGTTGAGCGGCTCGCTCTGTTCGCGGGCGGGCGGCGTGACAGACTGTGACTTTTCTTCGGAGGTGTCGCGATGGATGCTTTCTGATGTATGGCGACGGGTGTGTGGGGGGCGGCGTTGCCTGAGCATCCTGTTAGATTGTCTGCACGGGGCTGCGCTACGGAGCGTGGATACGACCTGCCACTGAGGAGGAGATCGAGCTTCTCTTCCAAGTGCGCTAGTCTTTCATCCTGCGTGCTTTGTCAGTCATTGTCATTGCGCCATCTGTGTTGTTTGATGTGGTCTCTCGTACCGAATGACTTCCTCGTGCTTGTCTTGGCGCTGGTGGATAGGAGCATTGCTGTCCGAGACGGGAGCAGCTGGAGCAAGCGGGCCTCTCGCCGGGGCATCTTGTCTTTTTGCGACTATCCGAGAGTCAGTGGATTCCTTTCATTTGCTCTTCTCTTTGTGGCGACAGCCAGCGCCCTTGGCACGTACCGGCAAGGCAGACAGGCGTGATGCGATCTCCTTCGTCTGCGACCCGCCCCGTTATCTTCAACGCTGGGTGTCATCCTTCATCGAGTCTCGTACGTATGGGATCAGCCTGGGCGCCCGAGCGCCGTGCAGGTGTCGGTGAATGGACGATGAGCCGGCACTGATGAGGGATGAATGAGCCTTGGAGGTGAGATTCGGTGATGATAATATAATAAGTACGTAACCTGATTGTCAAGTCAAGTCACGGGTGCTGCTTTAATTCGGCGCGGGGGGGGTCTCGCAGGCAGCCAGGTTTTACCGCATCCAGCTAGCCGTCGAGATAAGACGCGTTTCGCGATACAGACATTCGTCTTGCTTATCTTGTCCTTGTTGACTTTTACTCGTCTCGTCTCGTCTCGTTCACTTTTCACACGTCCTTGGGCACTCAGCCAGCGAGTGAGCCTTGCGACGCAGGGGCCCCAGTGAGGCCAGGCCCTAGCTTAGTCCTCAACTGACTCCTGCACCTCCACGACGATGGCTGCAGTGCCGTCTGGTGCCATCAATAACCAGCCAGCAGCGATGCCCAACGCCTCCATCCACTCCAGATGCATTGAACAAAGGAGATACAAACCAACTTGCCCAAGTTCCTTGCAGCCAATGGCAAGTGCGCAAGAGGGAGGGGTGATGCTACTGCCTGCAACCAGACACAACGTGACACGCGCACCATCTTCCCCAACTTGCCTGCGCGGACATGTTACTCCGCATATCGAAGCGATGCCGCCGATGCGCACCTCGCCGGCTGTGTGTCTGTCTGTGTTCAGACAGCACTCGCATCAGAAAGACGGACTAAAAGCGGCCTCTAATGCAGTTCATGTTCGCCAGTTCCCGAAACAGTCATGCGCATGCATCATACGTACACATCCAAGGTCGCTCGCCACGAAACGTCATATGGAGCACTACAAGCTCTCATGTATTACTTACTTCACATGTTCTATACCGGACGAGTAAATGGCGTCCCAAACAACTACTACAGCTTGGCCTGTATCGGGTCGCGGAGGTCCTCCATCTCCGCGCGTGGCCACTCTGGATTGTACTTTGGGTCAGGCCTCTCCCTATCCCATGCCCACCGCCCAGCCAGCTCAGGGGAGAGCGCCTCCTCGAGCATCTGGACGACATACTTGCCCAGCACCGGGAAGAACTTGAAACCGTGGAATGAGCCACAGGTCGCGACATACAGCCCTTTGGCTGCTGGATGCGGCGAGATGATAAAGTCACCACTCGTTGTGAAAGCGTCCCTGGGAGTTGTCAGTCTTTCGCTGCAGAAAGCTCGCGCGAGATGGCCTACCAGCAGATGCGGTGTTTCTCCATGGTCCAGTTGGCGCCCCTTTTACCATAAAAGGATCTGTTGGCGTGATTAATGTCCTCCTTCAGCTGGCCAGACACTTTCCACTGAGCATAGTCGGGCTCTGCTGGAGGCGCGGACAGATATCGACCGGGGAGAACCTCTTGCGTATTCTTGAAGATGGTCCATCCCCACCACTTGAGCTGTCTGTCCTTTGTGGGCGGCAGAGAGCCCAGGAAAGGTCCAACGTCCGCAGGGTATCCCTGGAACCCGACTGGCATGTCGGCGAACCTCTTGAGAGACTCCGCGTCAAGCTTCGCCATACCCGTGGTGATGCCACCGGCGACGATCCTGTCACCAGCGGACAGCTTGTCTCTCCCAGACTTGGCGGCGCACAGCTCCAGGAGCTTGGGTGTGTATGCGCCCGTGCTCAAGACAACGTGGTCGGCTCGCAGTGTTTTGCCTGTGGACGTTGTGATCCCGCGACAGTTGCTTTGCGCGTCGATTTCAAGACCTGCCACATCGGCAACCTCGTACTTGACGCCCAGATCCATCGCCTTGCGGGTCACGGCACGCAGGCAGTCGCCAGCCGCCGCCCAGCCACTGGTCTTGTTGACGAGCACCTCCTTCACATCTGTATAGTCCGCGTCCTCAAAGAGGCCTCCGTACAGCTTGCGCGCGTCGTCCACCGAGACAACCTCCAGCGCCGCCTTGCGGCCCAGCTTTCTGTAGTTGTCAATCACCTTGCGGCCATAGTCACTGCGGCACATCCAGTACACGCCCGTCTCGTGGAAGTAGGGTTTCCACAGGGGGTCGTTGTTGAAGATGTCTTGGGCCTCGAGCGCGAGCTGGCAGTAGACGATATCGTCATAGTCGGCCCTGACGGCCTTGTTCCAGTCCCACGAGGCGGCGACGCGGCTGTCTGCGTCAAATGCGTCGCGGTCGACCAAGGTGACGCTGGCGCCGGGATACTTTTGGATGAGATGGTATGCTGTAGAGACACCGAAGACGCCTGCGCCTACTATGAGGTATGATCTGGGGCGGGACATTGTGAGGGTGCGGCCAGATATTGATCAAGGGGTGACGCGAAAAGGGTGAGTGTCCGAGATGTCTATAGTTTGAGTCGAGTGAGCAATATGAATCACTTGGACTGAACATGCAGTGCGTGGTTGATACACCCCGCCCGTCAGCTACAGCACGATCGCTCAAACGAACCACTGAAGCCCACTTGGCTTGCTGATATCGAACATCGATGCGCATCTGATTAGACGCGGGCGCTCAAGAGGGCCGATGTCGGCTGCGATAGTGGACGCCGATCACGTGCGGTATCTGGTGTTCCCAAAGGACCCCCAACGCCAGGTTATCTTCCATGATATAAGTTGCAGGGTGTGGTTCTAATCGGAGATGGGCAGCAGTGCAGACGCCAGGATCAACTCGAAGGCTGAAACCCATGGTTGTCTGTTGCACGGGGGCGCTTCTCGCCAGAGTCCAGACTTGAAAGTTGACGCGGGAACATGACACGGCAACGGCGACTGACTCTTCTCCGCACGAGCTGTGATCTACGCTAATGCAGCATATGCTATCGCCTATCCTAACGTGGTCTCTATGCATGCCGTCAGCGTGTCCGAGCTCAGGTCTAGACATGCCGGTCCCTCTCCCGTGGCCGTGGCTGTTGCCAACCAACTCCACAATCCCCGGATTGCTAGTCCGTCCAGTCCAACGTACCTATTCTGATGACAGTGCTGATACGTAAGCATCACATATCCCCGCATGGATGGTCCGTACATGAGACTCCATCAAAGCCGGGCTCTCCGTACCAGTGGCACATCAGTATGCAGGTCTTTGTACGTGCATCAAGACCAGGCAAGCTAGAAGCAGAAGCTGGACTCGCGGATGCCGGGCCCTCCCTGTCTTTCTCGCACAATGGACCGATAGCAGACAGAATCTGGGGACACGGAATTGGAGAACATGACAAGATCCAGGAGTGCGCCTAACTTAAAGCGGCGCGCCACAGCGGGATTCTGGAACTTTGAAAGCTTGTCTGCCATCGCGGGAGATGGATGTGTGGCTGCCACATGCAGATCTATTTCTGGGAATCGATCTTCCTTTGTGCCACAATGGCATCTCGGGACATGAGAATCGTCATTGGGACAGGCTCTCTGACCTCAGTCCGCAGCAATTGAAGTGGTTGACGGATATCGCCGGAGACAGTCTTCACCCAGGTCATACGACCGGTACCTGTGCTAACTGACTCCATGTCTCGTCCGCGTACGTCGCGATACGGCCCGTGATGGAAGCGACGATACTACATATCTCCAGTGGTCTCCCACCATCACCGGTGTCAGGCCCTGCGTCCGCCGACTGCACTGCCGGTCCCACGTCAAATGACCTACCGGGGCGACATCGCGCGTGCATCGCAATCTATCCGTGTCACTCCCGTATCAACGCCACGCACGCCTTTCGTGGTATTGTCCGGCGCCTGCGGTTGGCTTCTCCGATCATGTGACCGGCCCCCGTGGCCGCCATATCAGTGACCGACGGCTTGTCAACATCACCGCACCACGAGGTGTGTACCGAAACAGGGTGTCCAAGTGATGATGAGGCAATCAGAGGACTGGCTACGAGATATTAAAGAGACTTGAGTCTATGGGCTCTAGAAGATAAGACTCATCTACATGTACAAAGCAGAGAGATACGCACCAAGTGTCACTTCCCCCTGGATTGAATTCTTTATTATACCACATTACCAATCAGTCTTCCATCACTAGAAATCACAATCAACCATACCAGATGTCTTCATTATTCAGCTACATTGGCCTAAGCAAGGCAGCACCGGCCGCCCAAGACGACAATGCTCCAGTGCGCGCCCTGCCCGCTCCTTGGTACACCTCTCAGGAGATGTACGAGCTCGAACGACGAGCCATCTTTAGCAAGAAGTGGCTCCTCACAACACACAAGCTCCGTTTCCAGGAGAATGGCGAGTGGCTGCGTTATGACATTGCCGGCTTCGAGTTCATCATCTGCCGTGACCGGGAGGGCAACATCAACGCCTTCCACAACGTCTGCCGCCACAGAGCGTTCCCCATTGTCACCGCCGACTCGGGGCGCAACCACGTCTTCTCGTGCAAGTACCACGGCTGGTCGTACGGCCTGAACGGCAAGCTCGCCAAGGCCCCCGGCTATCAGGAGCTCGAGGGCTTTGACAAGTCCCAGAACAGCCTGCTCCCCATCCACGTGCACATTGACGACAAGGGCTTCATCTGGGTGAACCTCGACGGCGGCGCGCGGCCCGAGGTGGCCTGGAAGGACGACCTCGAGGGCGTCGACACCCAGGAGCGCTTCGACTTTTACAACTGGGACGACTACCAATTCGACCACACTTGGGAGATGGAGGGCGAGTACAACTGGAAGATCCTGGCCGACAACTACAACGAGTGCTACCACTGCAAGACATCCCACCCGGACATCCCCTCCATCGCCGACCTCGAGAGCTACGGCGTTGAGACAAAGGGGGCGCACATTCAGCACTTTGGCAACCCGACGCCCGAGCAGATTGCCAAGGGGTTCCGGGTGGCCGCCTCCTACTACTTCCCCAACGCCTCCATGAACGTCACGTAAGTCCTCCTTCTACCATCGTACTACCTTGATGGACAAGAAGCTGACCATCCACCCAGACCACACTTCTTCATGATCCAGCGCTTCGTCCCCAGCGGGCCCAACAACTCGGTCATGCGCTACGAGGTCTTCCGCAACAAGAACTCGACCGACGAGGACTTTGAGCTCATCACGTCCATGTACAAGCGCATCATGTCCGAGGACAAGTACCTCTGCGCCAACGCCCAAAAGAATCTCAACAAGGGCGTCTTTGTCAACGGCGAGATGCACCCGCGCATGGAAAAGGGGCCTCTCTACTTCCAGCGCCTTGTCCGCGAGCACATGGTCGCCCACCACAAGCGCGAGCAGGACGCCGGCCGCGAGATCTGGCCGTCGCGCCAGCAGATCCCCTCGTCCGCGACCGCGAGCAACAATGATATGAAGTTGTGCAGTTCCCTAGAATGCCCGGTCGCGAACAAGGAGGCCCTTGCGTTCTGAGGGACCAGGGGGGGCTATATGTGTTTTGATGATTAATGATGGATATCTACTTTCCTTGACGAGACTGATACAGAGCTTAGCGATCTTTGACTACTATATTGTACATGCTCATAATATTGCACACACTTGCGGTTGTTCAACACACCTTGTTCAGAAGTAGACATTAGTCTGTGTAAATTAAAAAGCAGTATACACAATGCTCGCTTAAATGGACTGTTCCTCTAGGTATCCCGTTCTAGACCGGCCCAAACGCCAAATATCATCACAAATCCAGCTCCCGTTGTCCATCTTCCACAACGAGTCGGGTATCATGTCAAATCGCGAACTCCACGTCGCCACCAGCTTGAAGCGCATCATCAGGTCCCACCACCGCACGCGGAACGGGGGCTCCCGCTCGGGCCCCGACGTCGGGACCTGCTTCACCCCGCGCTCGTCGAAGCAGTCGGCCACCTTGAGAAACAGCTTCTCGTCCTTGAGCTGGTGTACGGCGAGCGCGTCCTGGCCGGCGATGGCGTGCCGCGTCGCGTTGGGATGCGTCAGCCGGCGGGCCCACGCCGTCCCGTCGCCTCTCGAGTCGCCGTCCTCGTAGTCGAACTTTTCCGTGCCCTTAAAGTTGATCATGTTGGCCACCTCACGGCCCCGTAGCATGAGCATGGCCACCGCCATGTCCTCGCCGGTGATCACGTTGTGCTCGTCCTGCAGCTTGGACAGGAGCTCCACCATGTCCCAGGTGGCCGTGTACATGGCGCCGTGCGGAAAGACGAGGTCGTGTCGCTTGGAAAAGTACAGCTCGCCGATGATGGTGCGCTTGACGAGCGCCCTCGGTCGCCCCGCGTCGTCGTCCCGGAGCAGAGGCGTCAGGTATCGCTCCCAGAACCCCCGCGCGTTGAACCACAGGTCCGTGTCCATCTTGGACACGAATTCGTAGTGGTGCCCCCGCGCAATGAGCCACTTGTACAGCTCAATGGTTTTGATGGTGTTGGCGGTCACGTCGTCCTCGGGGATGTGGTCGAGCACAATCATGTCGCCAAAGGTTCGGTTCTCAATGCGAATGTTTTCCATCCATTGCGGACCAGGGTTCGAGATGACGAAGCGCGCGTCAAAGGGCACGTCGCGGTACAGATGCATCCAGGTTGAGCGTATGAGCATGCGACGCGCCGCATCGGTGGCCGGGCTGATGACGGTCACGAGCCAGGGCGACGGGGCCTTCTGCTCGTCCAGCAACGAGTGCATTGGCGATTCGGGAAAGGGCGCCAGTGGGTATCGGGGCACTGGCAGGAACTTGACCGGCTCACCGTGGACGATCAAGTCGGATGCAGGCGTCTCGAACGGTGCATGGTGGGGGCGGTCCTGGGAGAGGGTGAACATGAGTTTGATGAGGAGCAAGGCGAGAAGGCCCGTGATCAACGCGACGCGTCGAAACCGCTTGTTCGGGGTCTGTCGCGGGACTTGGATGTAGTAGGACGGCGGAGAGTACATGTACCATGGCTTCTTTTGAGACGTGAACGGAAGCCAGGACCATATTGAACGACGGACGCGCGCTGCTGGATGGTCCTTTAGAGCGACCATGCTGGCGTTGACAGGCTCGGGGACAAGAAAGAGGAGCTCGTCGACCCCATTGAGATCCCGATCATAGGCGAAAGGGTCTTTGAGAGTCCCGTGCATCAAACCGGGTACCGAGACGAGGTTGGAACGAGGGGACGAAGCGCGCTGCGCTGCTTCTGTGCGGCCCTGTGATTGTGTCGTCGGATTCGAGCCTCAGGAGAAAAAGAGGGATGGTTCCAGGCAGGTCAGGTCGCAAGAAACAGTCAATGCCTGGAGATCGAGGCCATGCAATCGACAATTAGCAGATGGGATGGGAAAAGGGACGAGCAGGAGAAAAATCGAGCCTGTTGGTACTGTAGCCGGCTGACGGGCCGGTTGGGAAACAGGCAAAGGTAATCAGAAGGGAGATGACAGCTGACAGTGACTGGAGATGAGTTTGCGCCCGGTGGTGGAGCGGCTGGAACTGATCCCTGGACGCGCATGCACAATCGTAATTACCGTCTTCTTTTTTGTGCGGGCCTTGTGCGGGACCGTCCATGCAGGGGCGGGGGACGCGCCTGCCGCCTATTCGTGCTAGCGTTGAGAAGCACTAGACCACTAACGCTCCGCCGTGGGCTCGCCAAAGCGATCTGTTAGGCGAGCTGTGCTGAAACCAGGCGCGGGGGCGGTGGCATTTTAGCGAGTGTCTCACGCCTGGCGTTGTGAGCCTGCGACAGAGCGCTCCATCGCCCGGGGCTTGCTGTTGGGCTGACTGGAGGCTGTGCAGGGATGCATCCTGAAAGACTGGAGATGTGCAGGATTTCACAGAGGGACTATGCAGCTCCTCCAGTTATCGCTTGCTGTGCCTCACCTGTGCCTGTTGAAAGCTTGCCCGAAAGTAGCCTACTGTAACATGACGTGGGGTGCGTGCCCACTGGTTCATGTCCTCGGCGACTTCCCCGTTTGTTCGTCAACAAATGTCCATGGGGACTACGGAGTAGAATAGATCTCGTCAATTGATGCGAGGGCCAAATTGGCACCCATGGAAAACAATGGGCATAGTTCTTGTGCAGACTAGTCTTTGGGCTTGACTCACATTGGCCTCCCTAATTACCTGTTGAGAGGTGCGTGGTCAACTTGCAAAAGGACCGCTCGAGGCTGGCTGTCGCTCCAGTCGCTGGCGTGAAGTTTCCACCAAGTGGCACTGATAGAGCAAGCTAGAAGCACCAGGCTCCAGTCTGTGCCGCCACCAGCCACCTCCGCCTCCACACACTGCTCAGGGGTCGAACAGAGCGCGAGCTATTGATTGGCCCCTTTGCGGCGCTGGGCAACCTGATTGGGACTTTGTGTGGCTGGTGTCCAATCGTCGGACCGGAGCCGTGGAATCTATGAAGAAGCGGCTGGACAACCCTCTGGGCTCCGTACAGACACAATTTGTCAATTCTTCACTCACAAGTTCACAACGACTCCCCCACTTGATGGCTTTTTGACCGCAAGTCGTTGATCAACCTCACCGATGGATACATGGTCGGCGGTCCCCAGTGAAAGGATTCACTTCTGAATGCGCCAGGCCCCCTTTCATCATTTCTCTTCTCCAATGCTGCCTCCACCCAGCAGATCCTGCTCTAACCGCTTCAGCGCAGCTTGATCATGCTCTAGTTCGGTAGTATCTGGGAATCCATCAGAACACCATGCCCACGTTTCCCCCTTCCGCTCCATCGGCTTGCCTGCCGGCCGGCATAGTCGAAATCAATGAGCACGGCGCGGTTGTTATGGGCTACCATAATATTAGAGGGATTCAAATCGCCGTGGACAAGCCCCAAGCCATGTAAATGCGCAATGGCCCGTTTGATATCTTCCAAGTGGCCCGTACTCGGCTCCTCCTCCTTCACAACATATTTGAGGGTGCGTTGATAACGGCGAAGGCTGAGACCTCGTATGCGGTTGTGCTCGACGATACACCCATGGTAGAGACCGATGTTGGGATGCGGTCTCAACCGTAGAAGCTCGTAAAGACGAATCTCCTAGAGCTAGGGTTCATAAAAATTTAAGTTCTCGGCTAACGAACGCATGCCGTAGTCTTTCAGCTGCGTCTCCCTCACGTAGACTTGCTCATCGCATTTCTGGCGCCAGTGTGCAGTCCGCCGTGAAAGGTGCCCGAAAGTGAGCAACGGGAATCGGCTCGGGGTGCAATTGACTCTGGTCGATCCCTCGATGGGCCCTTGACGCTGGGGATCACGTGCTGAGAAGAACTATCCATCGCGGCGTAGGACAATAGCCCGATGACTGAAACTATCCGTGACGCCATTTCATATCTCGTTGCAGGTCAAGATCTCGTAGGTGGAGTTGCTTGCCATGGTGCAATACTTACTCGGTAGTTACAAAGGCAGTCGCGAGCCTGAAGTGCGAAGGGTGGGGAAAGGTTAACAAGTGAACTGCCCTGGATTACTTCTGAAGCTCGCGATGACTTGAATCTGCCCGCGTTCTTAGCGCTCAGTTCCTTATGAACGGTTACGACTCTTGTATAGCTTAATGATAATTAAATCTTCCTCTCACCGAAATCAGTTGAGGCTTGACAAATTCAGTCAAGGCCAATTGAGGTATATTCAGAACACTGCTCTTCAGCGCCCCGCCAGCCCCCAAGGTACCGTACCCGCGCCCCAAATCCATCCACTCCAGCAGCCTTGCGCCAATCTTCAGCCTTAGGACCTCTAAACAACAAAATACATTCGGGTACTGCACGCCCGCGTGCTTTATTTGCGACTCGGTGCCAAGTTAGCCGTCGGGTACCCGTCGTCTCCGCCAGACTCGAGTGAGCCCCGGCGCAACAGTCGCATCCTACGACGTCATTTTGCTCGACATCGACGATCGCGGTCGTGTAGCCTGCAGCCTCTGCATCGTGTTGTGCCTCAGAAGCGCAGCTTGTTCGATTGGAGCGTCTATCACACATGAGCCTCTCCACAAGTGAACACAGACCCAGTTCTTGACTTTACCACTGCCAACAGGCCGTCCGCCGCGCGACACGGCAGCCTCGTACAGGCTCTGGATATCCTCTTGCCACTGCTCGAGATCCGGCCGCATGAAGCGACGATCGTACGTCAGGAGTCCGTTGACCTCGCCCTCCACGTCCGTCGTCTGCGTGTAGACGGCACCGCTGCAGGCATAGCGCTCCGTCTGCTCACGAAGGTCGCGGAACAACACCATGGAGCGGTAACTGTAGGACGCGAGGTCCTCGTTGATCTCGTACGTCTCGGGAATGGTGTTAATAGCGGCCTGGACGTTCCACATGCTGTACGCACAGCGAGTTAGCCATCGGGTCAGCTGTTTGTGTTGGTTGTGTGATACTTACTGCTCGATGGACACGTTGTGGCCGATACCACCGTACTCGCCCTGGAAACCAATCCGCTCAGGGTCATAGGGTGTTTTCGGCCGCGAGTAGAATGGGGTTCCACACTGCGGGTGCGCGTAGTTGTGGTTGTCCTACCAAAATGTCAGTCAGCCTGTCGTGCACCTCTGACCACGCCTCCTGCGCCGCTCTGCTCTGCTCACATGGTAATCACCGTAGCCATGGTCGTCCCAGCCGCTGATGGAATTGATGAGCCGCGTGGGATCGAGTTTTCGGATGACCTCGGTGAGACCTCCCTCGGGAGCTGGGTCCGAATGGCGCTGGCCCCAGCCCTCGTTGTAGATGACCCAGGAGTAGATGGATGGGTAGCTCTTGTGCTCGTTGATCATCAACTCGAGCTGACGTTGGAACTCGGCCTGCTCCTCATCGTTGGGGGTTTTGGATGCCGACAAGGCCGGCATGTCCTGGATCACGAGGAGGCCCATGCGGTCGCAGGCCTCGTAGAACAAATCTGGCTCGATCTTGATCTACGCCAATGGTCAGTCTCGACGTGGTGTCGAGGGGCAAAGCTGGACTCACGTGCTTGCGGAGCATGTTCATGCCGAAATTCTTGAGGACCTGAAGATCGTACACCATAGCCTCGCGGCTGGGCGGGGTGTGCAGGCCATCGGGCCAGTATCCTTGGTCGAGGGTACCGAATTGGAAGACAAACTCGCCATTGAGTAGGTGTCGCATGACACCCTCAACTTTGCCCTTGAAGACTGTGCGGAAGCCCGTGTAACTGTTGACCTCGTCGTCGCCCAGGGTCACGGTCAGGTTGTACAGGGTGGGAGAGTCGGGCCACCACAGGTCAGGGTTCTCTACAGTGAAGGCGAACTGCTCATCAGCTGAGCCGGTCTGCGATGCAATCTCCGAGCCATTTTGACCAAACACCTTGACCTCGACTTTGGCGCCCTTGTGCACAGAGGACAGGACGTTGACAGTCACTGTGAAGGATACACATCAGCACATGCTCTCGCTTTTTGCAGATCGTGAAAAGGTCATACTCAGGCCATCCATGTCAGCCGCGACATCGAGACGGCTGATGTGATCTTCAGGGGCGGACTCGATCCACACTTGCTGCCAGATGCCCGAGCAAGAGCGGTAAAAGATATGGCTAGGGTTTAGGGTCTGCTTGCCAACGGGGATCACGATCGCGTCAGTCGGATCAGACACAAAGACAAGCCTGCGTGGTCTTTAGTCAAGGCCACGTACTCGAGTCCTCTTGAGACTTACAAGTCGTTGGTGCCGCCAAACTTGACAATATCAGTCACATTGATGGTGAATCGCGCATACCCGCCAACATGGCTCGTCTTCTCAACGCCATTGACAAAGACGGTGGCCTCATAGTCGACGGCCTCGAAATTGAGCAGGACTTGCTGGCCCTTCCAGTCACTGGGCACGTCGAACGTGGTCTCGTACCACATGTCGCGGACATTGAGAATCTGCAGACCAGAGAGGCCACTCTCAATACAGGATGGCACCATGACCTCGCGGTCAAGAGGGCCTGCTTTTGGGGGACTGCCAACATCGTCAGGGCTGGCAGCAGCTCTCCACGTCCAGAGGCCATTGAGGCTCTGCCAGGCCTCGCGGCGGAGCTGAGGTCGAGGATGCTCAGGCCATGGGTCAGTGCCGACCGTGTAGGTCCAGTCGGTGTCGAGAGGCGGCGTCTGGACCTTGTAAGGCATCCGCGCGAAGACGAAGCGCGAAGCCCAGAGGGCAGCCACTGCGAGTGATGACGGCCAAGCTGAGCGCATGGTTAACAATATTTTTCAAAGAGAATGACGGTGAGCCGTGCGGCTGATGTGTGGTGTTGTGTATAGTGAAAACAGGAGCAGGTCAGAAGAATACACAAGCCAGGTCGAGCTGGGTTGACAAACAACTTCTCTGGGAAGCGACGCCCCAGAACGCGTCGCGAGATGTCGCGAGGTTATATACTTTGACATTAAAATCGCAGATCAACACGAGCAACATGAACTCTACCGCGATTCACCGCTGGGAAACCCAATTGCCATGACGGATCGCCTTCGCTGCAAGTTGAGATGCCCCACTCGAGCTGCGCAGTTCGGGATCCGCAGACGCTGAAGCCGTTGCTTCGCAGAGATCGAGGATCGTCGCAGAAGTACAGTGTCTGCGCATGCTCTCGTCATGTGGTCGAGTTGGGGTCGGCCTCGAGGCGGTGTCAGCTGGCCTCGACCGAGCTCTTGGGGTAGCAATGTTGGAGTGATTCGACTGTGTGCGTGCGATCCGACGCTGCGTTGGTTGTACGCTTCATTCGTTCGCGGCAGACATCGAGGGCCTGCAGCCAACATGAACGTGCGGGAAGTTGGACATCCTTTCTCGGGGGCCACTGCTTGCACTGCTTGGTCGGATACAACACAGTGAGGCGGGGGGAGGTTGCATTCAGCACTGTCGATCACATCAATCTGCATTTGGGGCGACTTCTCCTTTGGCGCCACAATGATTGCCATGGATACACTTACTATGGCCCGTGCGACGCAAAGCATTCTTGATGCGACCTTTGTCAAGCCTTGGAATCGAACATGAAATTTCATTGCTAAGGCTGTTGGCTCAAACAGGAGAGTATAGGGTAAGTCAAAGAAAGCACCGCTTCATACTGTCCAGACCACGTGAATATCATCAGATCATCATCATCATCTTCATCTTCGTCAACGGGCATCACAGCACATTCGACCTCCCACTCAGCCCGAGCATCCTCCCCACTGCCACGATGCGCATCACCGTCTCGGCGCTCTCTCTGGTGAGCATCTCTGCCTCGGTGACCGCGTCGTCCAGCGTCGTGGGCCTCTGCAGGATGCACGTGAACGCATCAATGCCCACGTCGTAGTTGACCCGCGCGCCCGGTCCAATGGTGCCGGCAATGGCAATCACAGGCAGGCCATGGTTCTTGGCGCGGCGCGCAATCTCACCGGGGATCTTGCCCCAGGGCGTCTGGTCGTCGATCCCCCCCTCGGCCGTCAGGACGAGGTCGCAGTCGTCAAACAGCCCGTCGAGGGCAATGTACTCCATCACCACCTCGTACCGAGGGCGGAGGAGGCCGTCCCGGTCGAGCAGGCGGGCCCCCAGCGCCTGGAGCATGCCTGCGCCGCCGTCACACGTGCCCGAGTCGCCGCACCCGATGAGGATGCGCTCGGCGCCGGCGCCCAGGGCGGCCAGGATGAGCTGGCCGACGCCAAACGTGGTGGTGACGCCGGGGTTGCGGCACGACGCGGGCACGAGACTCAAGCCAGCCGCCGCTGCCATCTCGATGACGGCCGTTTTGGGCTTGGGCTTGGGCTTGGGCGTGGGCGTGGTCGTGAACGCGTCCTGTGACTGTCCCAGCATGCCAAAGAAGGACAGGATGGGCTCGCCGACCGGGCCCATGACAGGGGTGGGGTGGAGGGTACCGTTTGTGCTGGCGACGAGGGCGCGCGTGAAGCCCTCGCCGCCGTCGACGAGGGGCACCTTGCGCACCTTGGCGTCGGGCTCCACGGCCAGGATGCCGGCCTCGATGCAGTCGGCGGCCGTGTCGGGCTGCAGGCTGCCCTTGAAGCCCGAGGGACAGACAAGGACGCGCATGCTGGGTTCAGGGACGGGTGCAGTGGCAGCCATGCTGTAGAGCATTGTGGAATGGATGTTGTTTTTCAATTTTGTTTCTTTTCAACGAGTGTTGCTAGCGAGCGTTCGGATCGTGGAAAGCGACTGACTGGAGAAGCGAGTGAACGGGGGCGAGAAGGCGATGGAGTGCTGGAGTGACACCAACCATGGACGAGCGGGACGTCAGGCGTCCTATATACCCGGTGAAGCTGAGGCTGGGGCTCAAGCTCAAGATCAAATGGCGGTCGATTTGAACAGACCTTGATCGTGCCAGATATTGTCCCGGCCAGCCTGGAGCGGCTCTTCGCCTACGGGTTGACCTCATCGCCTCCCTTTGTCGACAACGATGAGTGCTCGTCGACCGGCGCGGACAATCAGGGACTACGTAAGCCTCGACGCCCAACGTGCCCAGCTGTCTTGGACCGATGCGGCTATCCTCCTGAGCTGACCTCCGCGCGAGGGCTCGCTACATCCACGCTACGGACCGAAATAGCAACAGATCGCGTGTCCGATCTCTTGACGGCCTGGCTAACTTGGGGACCGGTTTGTGTCGTCGATGCGACGATTCAATGCCCTCTCCGCTTCACTAGTCCCGATGACGACGCAAGCACTGCTTAGCCACGCCTTGTGATGCTGGTCAAGTGCCATGATCCGTCGCCATTCGATCAAATGTTGGGCCCTGTCCGCCAAGTGACCAATCCGGCCACCCAGATTAAGGTTCCAATTAAGCTTAGATCTCGGGCCAGTGGGGGCGGGGCCGCCTCCTCCTCCGCCTCCTCCTCCTCCTCCTCTTCTGTATTTCTTCTTCTTCCTCTTGGTCCCGCCTGCGCTGATTCTATTCTTATACACACCCGGCCGCCACTGATCTGCTTCAGATCCTGAGGACCAATCGGCTCGTTCCACGCCGTCATGATGCCTATAAATAATTGATCCGAGTCCCCCCATCCCCATACTGCCCACACGCACCATACCGAGAGTGGTTTGGCGACAGGCACCAGGCCGTGTTGCCGTAGGTGCCAGGCGACGCACACAGCCACCTCTCTCTGTGACGACAGAGAGGAATCGCGAGGCAGAATCTTGATATCAAGGCAGGGCAACAGTCAGCCCTGGCTTGTCTGGCACCCGAGCCCGAGGTGAAGGCGATGGCGGTGTGGATGGAGTCATGAGCAGCAGCGGATGAGCCACTGACCTGACGAGATCGTACTTACGTAGTCCTCTCGCGCACATCGACCAAGCCCCAGCCAGTCCTGTGGATACCATACCCGCAATCAATAGCTGCGCCCACTTCGCGATGGTCCTCTGGGATTGGTGATGCGACTGGTGTCGCTGCTGGCAGTGGCACCAGACCCTGTCGCTCGTTCATAAGTCTGACCCGAGCACGCGACATGACTTTGGATGGCGGTGATCATCAAACAAACAAAGCACGCTCGCTAAGCACGCTCGCTCGCTCACCCACACTGTCGCTCGCTCACTCCACCTCAGTATGCTCACCCGCTCCCTGTCGCGGATGACGTCCAAGTCGTCGCTCTGGCGATCCTGGACGTCGAACCCGGTCGCGGACTACGAGAACACCATGGACAAGTATCCCTGGCTGGCCAAAGACGCGACCCAACCGAGTGACTGCCACAATCACACTTGCATGCGGAGGACCGGACAGATATCGGCGTGGGAGCTCGACATGGACTCGCTGCTGCAGACGCCGGAGGAATCTCTGTACGGGCACGAGCAAAGGCAGCCGTACGAGCCGTCCGTTTCGTCGTCCGCCAGCGTGGCGTCGCAGGCGGCCGTGCTGGAGGACCCTAATCTTGTAAGGCAGTCCGTCCCCCGGGAAGGCAGAGGCCAGGCGTCGACCAAGAGCACCACCCTTCTGACGGACAGACACTCACACAGGTCACATGGACGGGCCCCGACGACCCCATGAACCCGCACAACTGGCCCCGGTCGCGCAAGTGGTCCTCGACCCTCCTCGTGTCGTGCTTCACCTTCATCTCCCCCATCGCGTCGACCATGCTTGCGCCCGCGCTGCCGACCATGGCCGACGAGCTCGACACGTCCTCCGGCCTGGAGACGTACCTCCTCATGTCCATCTTCCTGCTGGCGTATGCCGTGGGGCCCTTTGTCCTGGCGCCCCTGTCGGAGATGTACGGCCGCGTCGTCGTCCTGCAGTCGGCCAACCTGGTGTTCCTGCTCTTCAACACGGTCTGCGGGTTCGCCACGACCAAGCAGCAGATGCTCGCCTTTCGGTTCCTCAGTGGTCTGGGCGGTGCTGCCCCCCAAGCGGTGCGTTGAGTTCCTCTACAATTGTCCTCGTCTTGCCATGGTCTCGTGCCGAGTCTGACCCCATCAACGCAGCTGGGCGGCGGCGTGCTGAGCGACTGCTGGAAGGCCGAGGAGCGCGGGCGCGCCACCGCCGTGTACAGCCTGGCCCCCTTTCTCGGCCCAGCCATCGGCCCTGTGGCGGCCGGCTACCTCGTCCAGCACGCATCGTGGCGCTGGATCTTCTGGACCGTGTCCATTGCCGACGCGCTCGTGCAGGTCCTCGCCTTGCTCTTCCTGCCCGAGACGTACCGCCCCAAGATCCTCGCCGTCAAGGCGCGCCGGCTGCGCAGGGCGACGGGCAACCCGGACCTGCACACCGAGTTTGACCGTCCGGACCGGTCGTTTGCGCGGCTCCTGGGCCAGAGCCTGGCGCGACCGCTCATCATGCTGGCGACGCAGCCGACGATCCAGCTCACGGGGTTGTACCGGGCGTACCTGTACGGCCTGATGTATCTGGTGTGAGTCAGATTGTCTTTCTTGGTGTCCCGTCCCCCCGTCCAACACGAGCCCGCGCTGACCTGACTGGCCTGCTTGTCACAGCCTCGCCTCGTTCCCCATGGTCTGGGAGCAGCAGTATGGCCAGGCCCCCGGCCGCGCCAGCCTCAACTACCTCTCACTCGGCGTGGGCTTCGTCGTCGGGCTGCAGGTCTCGGGTCCCCTGATCGACCGGGTGTACCGCGCGCTCAAGGCCAAGCACAACCACCCGGGCCGCCCCGAGTTCCGCGTGCCTCTCATGTTCCCGACGGCCATCATCGCCCCGGGCGGGCTGCTCCTCTACGGCCTCGCGGCGCACCACCAGACACACTGGATCGTGCCCAACATCGGGGCGGCCCTCTTCGCGCTGGGCCTGATCCTGTCCTTTCAGTGCGCGCAGACGTACGTCGTCGACGCGTACGAGACGTATGCGGCGAGTGCGACGGGCGCGGCGGCCTTTATCCGGACCATGGCCGGCTTTGGCTTCCCGCTGTTCGCGCCGGGCCTGTACGACGCGCTGGGCATCGCGAGGGGCAACGCGCTGCTGGCGGGCGTCGCGGCCCTCATCTGCGTGCTCGCGCCGGCCGTCCTGTGGCGATACGGCGAGCGGATCAGGGGCAGGAGCCAGTTCTGCGCTGGGTGAGGTGCTGGGTACATGCAGGGGTTGCGGCGGCGGCTCAGCATGCGTGCGCATGTACTCTACTTGCCCGGACTCCGGAGGCAGAGCTCAGCCCAAGGGGTCCAATGCTCCCAAGTGGCTCCATGAGCCCTCGTGTTGTTCATGGCTGTACGGAGTACAAGATCTAGATTCTGCTTGGGTAAAAGATAGGGCCCACACCTAATGGTGTGGTATATTGGCTGCTACATCGTGGTATTGGTTGTTCTATTGACTAACACGCCGAAGATCGCGTTGTTACTTGTAGCGAGAATCGAATGAAAAGCGTCTTGCTTTAGTATACCGTTCGACTGTAACTATCAGATATTAGAAGATCAGGCCCACACCTATGGTATGGTTTTGGCTCTTATGTAGGGCAGGCTGGGCTCGAGCAAATACGTCCTTCTCCTAAAGCCACGTCGCGCGACGGCTTCACGTCTTTCTCTCTCGCGCCTTTGTCACGCACACCACCACATGCATGGCGCACCCAAGAGCCCCGAAACAGCGGCCATCGGGCTAGACGGGCATCGATTGATCTTCGCATACAGCATCCCTTACGTACTCTGCATGTGCTATGCTGTGCTATGCCGTGCTGAGCTGAGCTGAGCGGGAAGCAGCGGAACGCGTGCGCGGCGCCTCTAGCGATGCAGCCGGCCTTCGCATGCCATAACCTCCTGCTCAGAAGTCCGTATCTCTCAGCTGATGGTTGCGTGTCACCAAGTCCCCAATTGGCAGCCAGACGCGGCCGGGTTTCAAGCCACTGGAATGTGAAGCTTGGACTGCAAGCATACGAGGCCGCCAGGCACATCCGTCAAGTCGCGCTTCCATTGGCAGAAGACGAGCCAGGCCCGGGTCCTCGCCTGTCAATCCATGGACCTAGAGGATTTGACTTCTGCCGGCACCGCTCTAGCACTCGGGGCGGGGAGCTCGTGGAGCTGGTGGCATCGGAGGGTGCGGAAGGGCAGGGTCCATTCCCTTGTCTTACGTTTTACACTTGGCTGCTAGCAAACTCAAAGCGCCGTCAATGCCTTGAGGAATGCAGACTTGGCGCGACAAGCAGGCATGTATAAGCTCACGTTTCCGACAAGACATGGCGCCTCTGCTGCTGCCGCTGCTGCCGCTGCTGTTGCTGCTGCTCCATCGCCTCGTCTGCCATTTGCATGGTGAACTCGACACTTCCATTGCCTACTCAGGACCATGGCTGACCCCAAGGAGGACAAGATCCAGCCGGCGCTGGAGGAACAGATCCCTGAACATGGCCAACATCAGGCCGAGAGCAGCACGCCTCTCGAAAAGCAGGACAGCACAGATGAGCGCTCCGACGACGAAAGCGATGACCATGGCGCCGCCCTCAGGACCCTGCGAAGCCGCCAGATGTCCATGGGAGCCGACGGCCGCTCGGAGCTGGTGCGCATCGCCACAGCCCTCTCCCACAGACAGTCGAGCGTGGCTGTCCCGACGCACAGCAGGCACCGGCTGAGTGGCGTTGATGAATACGACGAGGCTCTCGATCCCGGGAAGCCAGGGTTTGACCTGGAAAAGTGGCTGAAGCGGTTCCTCAACCAGCTGCGCGAGCAGGGCATGGTGTCTCGAAGCACCGGCGTTTCGTTCCGCAACCTGAACGTCTACGGATCCGGCTCCGCCCTCCGTCTGCAGAGCACCGTGGCCAGTATGCTCATGTCGCCTCTGCGCATTCCCGAGCTGCTGCGGACGCGCCGCGGCCCCAAGAAGCAGATCCTGCGGGACTTTGACGGCAAGATCAACGAGGGGGAGCTGCTCGTCGTGCTCGGGCGTCCGGGCTCCGGGTGCAGCACATTCCTCAAGATGCTGTGCGGTGAGACGCATGGCCTGAACTTGGGCGAGCAGTCTGACATCAACTTCAACGGCATCCCCCAGAAGCAGATGCAGAAGGAGTTCAAGGGCGAGGCCATCTACAACCAGGAGGTATGCACACCTGCTGAGGCGCCCTCATGGTGCACATGTATGCGTGGCTGACAGACCCGTCCAGGTTGACAAGCACTTCCCCCATTTGACGGTCGGCCAGACTCTCGAATTCGCCGCCTCTGTCCGCACGCCCTCGCACAGGATTGCCGGCCTCAGCCGCCAAGAGTATTCCCGATACATCGCCCAGGTCGTCATGGCCGTGTTCAACCTTTCCCACACATACAACACCAAGGTTGGCAGCGACTTTGTGCGTGGCGTTTCGGGTGGCGAGCGGAAGCGCGTCAGTATCGCCGAGATGACACTGTCGGCCGCGTCGTTTGCGGCGTGGGACAACAGGTACATACATACACACACACACACACACACACACACACACAAGCTCCCCTTACCCCTACCTGATCTGCCATGGACTTGCTGACCAGAACAAGTACTCGCGGCCTGGATGCGGCCACAGCTCTGGCGTTTGTCCAGTCCATGAGGACATCGGCCAATCTAGGCTCCCACACGTACGCCGTTGCGATTTACCAGGCTAGCCAGGCCATCTACGATCTCTTCGACAAAGCCATTGTCCTCTACGAGGGCCGCCAAATCTACTTTGGCCCGGCGCACAATGCGAGGCGATACTTTGAGAAGCAGGGATGGTACTGCGCCCCTCGCGCCACGACGGGCGACTTTATCACGGGCGTCACGAACCCGCAGGAACGCCAGGCCAGGCCAGGCTACGAGAACATCGTCCCCAACACGCCCGATGAGTTTGAGCGGCTGTGGCGCACGTCGCCCGAGTACAAGGCGCTGCAACGCGAGCTCGACCAGCACGAGCAAGAGTACATGGGCGAGGAGCGACAGCGGGAGACGATTGAGCAATTCCGTCGCGACAAGAACTACCGCCAGGCCAAGCACGTCCGACCCGAGTCGTCGTACATTGTCAGCGTGCCCATGCAGATCAAACTGTGCACGAGGCGTGCCTACCAGCGCATCTGGGGCGACAAGGCTGCCACCGTGTCGTCCTCCATCATCCATCTCGTCATGGCGCTCATCATTGGCTCCATCTTCTACGGCACGCCGGACGCGACCGTGTCCTTCTTCCAGAAAGGCTCCGTCCTGTTCATGGCCATCTTGCTCAACGCGCTGACGGCCATCTCCGAGATCAACAGTCTGTACGCGCAGCGACCCATTGTTGCCAAGCATGCTTCGTACTCCTTCTACCACCCTGCCTGCGAGGCTGCGGCAGGTATCGTCAGCGATATCCCCGTCAAGTTTGTGACCGCCACCGTGTTCAACGTGGTGCTCTACTTCCTGGCCAACCTGCGGCGTGAGCCGGCCCAGTTCTTCCTCTACTTCCTCATCACGTACATGAGCATCTTCCTCATGTCCGCCGTCTTCAGGACCATGGCAGCCGCCACAAAGACCGTCTCTCAGGCCATGACGGGCGCTGGCATCCTGGTCCTCGCCCTGGTCATCTACACGGGTTTCACCATCACACAGAGCGACATGAAGCCCTGGTTCTCCTGGATCCGTTGGATCAATCCCATCTTCTACGCCTTTGAGATCCTGGTCGCCAACGAGTTTCACGGTCGCGAGTTTCCCTGCTCGAGCATTGTCCCTCCGTACCCCAACCGCGCCGGCACCGACACGTTTGTGTGCACGGTGCAAGGAGCGGTGACGGGGAGTCTGACGGTCAGTGGTGACAGCTTCATCGAGGCCAACTACGGCTACACGTATGCGCATGTCTGGAGGAACTTCGGCATCCTCATCGGGTTCCTGGTCTTCTTCATGGCGTGCTACATGTTCGTCGTGGAGATCAACTCGGCCAACGAAAACACCGCCGAGGCGTTGGTCTTCCAGCGGGGCCACGTGCCAGCGCATCTCCAGGAGAACGGCAAGGGTGCCTCGGCAGACGAGGAGTCCTCTGCGACGGCGAATGGACGGGTGACATCCGGGGAGGACAGCAAGGAGGCGCCTCCAGAGGTCCTCCCGCCGCAGCGTGATGTCTTTACATGGCGCGACATTGTGTATGACATTGAGATCAAGGGGGAGCCTCGCAGGCTGCTTGACCACGTCTCCGGCTGGGTCAAGCCCGGAACGCTCACGGCTCTCATGGGCGTAAGTGGTGCGGGTAAGACGACGCTGCTGGACGTGCTAGCGCAGCGTACGACGATGGGCGTTGTCACTGGCGACATGCTCGTCAATGGGACGCCTCTCGACGCGAGTTTCCAGAGGAACACGGGATACGTCCAACAGCAAGGTGTGTACCGTACCCCACGACGCGTCGTAGTGCGCCACGACTGACAGAGCCAGATCTCCATCTCGAAACGTCGACGGTGCGTGAGAGCTTGCGGTTCAGCGCGGAGCTGAGGCAGCCCAAGTCGGTCAGCCGCGAGGACAAGTACGAGTTTGTCGAGGAGGTGATCAAGATGCTGGGCATGCAAGACTTTGCCAACGCCGTCGTGGGCGTCCCGGGCGAGGGCCTGAACGTGGAGCAGAGGAAGCTGCTGACCATTGGCGTGGAGCTGGCGGCGAAGCCCAAGCTTCTGCTCTTCCTCGACGAGCCGACCAGCGGCCTGGACTCCCAATCGTCCTGGGCCATCTGTGCTTTCCTCAGGCGCCTGGCCGACTCGGGGCAGGCGATCCTGTGCAGTACGAAGGCATTCGCATCCACCATTGAACACGTCGGCTAACCTGCTGCAGCCATCCACCAGCCGTCCGCGATTCTCTTTCAGTCCTTCGACAGGCTCCTCTTCCTCGCCAAGGGCGGCAAGACTGTCTACTTTGGTGACATTGGTGAGCATTCTCGCACGCTGCTCGACTACTTTGAGGCGAGCGGCGGCCGCAAGTGCAGTGACAGCGAGAACCCGGCCGAGTACATCCTCGAGATTGTCAACCACGGCACGAATGACCAGGGCAAGGACTGGCATCAAGTCTGGAACGACAGCGAGCACAAGAGAGCCTCGCGGGCCGAGTTGGATGCGATTGAGGCCGAGAGACGAGGCCAGAACCGACCGGACGCCAACCCAGAGGAGTACCGAGAGTTTGCCATGCCTCTCCGAGCGCAAACCTGGATCGTCACGAAGCGGATCTTCCAGCAGTAGTAAGTGCCTGTGCTACTTGGGGCTCATGGGACCTGTGTGCTGACGTGTCGGTAGCTGGCGTATGCCTTCGTACATCCTTGCCAAATTCCTCATGGGCATGGCCTGCGGTCTCTTCATCGGATTCACCTTTTACCAGACGGGGCGAACCCTGTCGATGCTGCAGAACACCATCTTCGCCGTCTTCCTGCTCACGACCGTCTTCTCGACCTTGGTGCAGCAGATTCAGCCGCTCTTTGTCACCCAGCGATCGCTGTACGAGGTGCGGGAGCGGCCGAGCAAGGCGTACTCCTGGAAAGCGTTCATGATGGCCAACATCATCGTCGAGATCCCCTACCAGATCTTCACGGCGATCCTCACCTTTGCGTGCTGGTACTACCCGGTCCTGGGCGTGCAGAGCTCGCAGAGACAGGTCCTCGTCCTGCTCTACGTGATCCAGCTGTTCATCTACGCGAGCGCCTTTGCGCACATGACCATTGCCGCGCTCCCGGACGCCCAGACGGCCGCCAACATTGTCACGCTGCTCACGCTGATGAGCATCACCTTTAACGGTGTCCTCCAGACGCCCACCGCGCTGCCGGGCTTCTGGATCTTCATGTACCGCGTCAGTCCCTTTACCTACTGGATCGCGGGCATCGTCGGCACCGTCCTGCATGACCGTCGCGTCCAGTGCTCGCAGCGGGAGCTCGCCGTCTTCGAGGCGCCCGCCGGCTCGACGTGTGGCGAGTATCTGCAGCCCTTTTTCAGCGACGGCGCGCCGGGCTACCTCGTTGATGCGGATGCCACCACGTGCGAGTACTGCACGGTCACCGTGGCCGATGAGTACATTGCTGCCTCCCGCATCTACTGGAGCGACCGGTGGAGGAACTTTGGCATCATCTGGGCGTACGTCGTGTTCAACGTCTTCATGGCGGTGCTGCTCTACTACGTCTTCCGGGTCAAGAGGGTGCGTCTGGGCAAGATCTCCATGCCAAAGACGAAGAAGATGCCGTGGGTAAAGGGGGCTTGATGCGGCGGGCCTGGTGGATGCCGTCGTTGCGAGGACCTCTGGATCTGGTCAGAGGTCGGTGATGTGATGTTGCACCATATCGGTGCAAAGGCTATGAGCCTGTCATATATTCATTACCTTTTCCTCTTTGAGCATAGTGATTCGACATTTTTCGTTTGTTTACTTTACCGGGCATCTTCCCTTTCCTACACAGCAACGATTGAACGCTGCTGAGACGATGTCGATGATTCAAGTCTGGGCGGTTGCAGGCAGCCACGCACTCTTCTTATTCGGTTTCTTTGCGCTAATAGCTTTATGCGACTGCCTTTGTAGCAACCGAATTGCTTATTATACGACAATGTTTACCTCGATTGGGGTGAAGCGAAGTGTTGCATATGTACGCCCAATCCCCACACTCAGAGTTGAGCGCAGTGGATTTCCCTTTTGGCCTGTTTGATACCAAGGTTTCTATAGACATAACGAGCGAGTGAAACGATTCTACGCATGCACCCTCACTATTTTGTCCGCGAATTCGCACAAACTTGAAGCGAGGCGACGCAGCTCGTTGGAGCGTCCCAGACCAGAGCGTGGCCGCACAGTTATCCCGACCGGGCAGGAGAGCGAATCATTGCCTCTTGGAGCAATGCGTGGCTTCTGCAGATCCGGCACGTGGTGCATTGCGTGCGTTTTCTGGACGAGCAGTATGATCGCATGATACAGCATTCTCCAGGTGGTTCTCGGATGAAATATCAGCGACAATGCAAGCCATCTACGGCAGAAGCCACCGGCTGTTGCCTCTCCGTCCGATCAGGCACTGGCGTGTCAAGAGTTGGCGACGGCCACTGGCAGATTGCCAAGGGGGCAGACGAAGCTCCAGCGAACATGGCTCGAGCCAGCTTCAATACGCTGCGAGAAGTGCCGCTGGGTAAGGTACGGGGAGCTTGGCGTTGAAGCAGTGCCGATCACCCCTCAGTCGACCCCAACTGTGGACAGGATCATACCTCGCATATATGATGTAACCCATGGGTGGCAATCATAGGATAGGACAGGACCCGTATGGATATATAAAGCCCACGACGGGAGCACCGCAAAGGCCAGGCTCTGCCGAGTCAACATCCCCAATACCACAGTAGGCATCCCAGCACTTCAATAACCATCATGAAGTTCCCCACCATCACAGCCTTCCTCCTGCCCGCCGTGGCCATGGCTTCCCCCCTTGGCACCGGGGGCACCGTCGTCAAGCGCCAGACCGCCGTGACGGACCAGATCCTCTTCAGCATCAGCCTGTCGGCCTTCATCACTCGTCGCAACGCGCGCGACCCCCCAAGCCTGGACTGGTCCTCGGACAGCTGCTCGACGTCACCAGACAACCCGTTTGGCTTCCCCTTTGACCGTAGGTCGAACCTTGGCCTGGATCCTGTGAATGGGAGAGAGAGAGAAGAGGACATGTACTGACGGCGTCTAGCTGCCTGCCAGCGTCACGACTTTGGCTACAGGAACTACAAGGACCAGGGCCGCTTCAGCGACGCCAACAAGCTGAGGATCGATGACAAATTCAAGTCCGAGTAAGTGAAACGGCGACACAAGGGGGGGGATGGTTCTGACGCTAACGGGGACAGTATGTACGGACAATGCGCCGGCGAGAGCGCCCAGGGCGCCTGCGAGGCTCTGGCCAATGTCTACTACCAGGCGGTCCGCTGGTTCGGCCGCGAGGCACCTGCTGCGGCGGACATGGCTGCCGAGGCGGACTCGGAGGAGATGCCTGCCGAGTACAAGGAGGCTGTTGCTGCGTACGAGGCAGAGGTCAAGAAGGCCCAGGAAGAGGGCCAGCTTCCTCAGCTGTGAGCTGGGACCACGTGATTAGGTCTTGTGTGTGGTGTATGGTGGGACAAGAACCTTGGAAGATCGCTGGCCAACATGTCGTATCTTGACAACTGTGGATGCTGCGCGGGACGTCCAGGGGTCTGTCTCCCGGCAGTTGCACGAGTAGCTGATCCAGCCTTGTTTGTCCTTCTCGGCGTCATCTGAATCCATCGGTCTTGCAACTTTGCCAGTCAGTCTTGTGGAATCACATAGATTGTCCGATTGTCGTGCATGCAGTTTGTATGGAGGTTTTCTCGGCGCCAACAGTGGAACAGACGTGGTGTCTTGCCGAGTTCGAACGAGCGGTCAAATTTGTTGGGGAAAGAAGAATACCGCCGCCTGCATGTCTCGTCTCGAGCTCAGGGGCTGTGCTATTGAACTTCCACCAGACCAGGGGCGCACGACGGGTGAAGAGGACGACAAGACGATGGTGATGACACCAGGCGTACCACTTCATGAGACGAAGAGAAGCCGCTCCCCACATGCCCTGTTGTCGTTCTTCCGATGCCCGCTGTCGGCGAATGGACACGGAACAACATGGGAGTTCACAGCCAAGAAAGAGCCAAGTTGAACTTACGAGTCATTTGCCGTGACGGACGTGCTCCTGGTCGAAGCTCTTGGGGCGGGACTGCGAACTGGGAAGCCCTCGCCGTCTATTCCACCGAGGGGGCCGTTTGTTTGGCAGCCGCACCAGATCCGGCAGTTGCTGTTGATGGTGGATCTCGGGCTGCAGAAGACGGGGCCGGGGGAGTTTGAGATATCCATGGCAGTCCGTCCGTCCGTCCGTCCATCAGCCTGTTCTGACATGTGACTGATCCCCAGGGGTGCGGTTCCACACTTGTTGGGCATACGTGTATGGATGCAGGTGACGCTCTCGAAGGCATGGAAGCCGTACTCTCATTTCCGTGGTGTCCAATGTGGCCCTGAGTAGCAAGCTTGTCCGTGGGAAGACTGACCCGACCTCCACCCCGGACGGACGTGTATACAAAAAATGGCAGGACAGACGACTGATAGGGGAGGGACCTTTGACAGCGACGGCGAACCGGGATCCATCACAGGCACAACAAGATCGTCGCTGCGCAGCATGCAGACTGCAGTCCGCGTTGGGGGAGCGCAAGCTGGGGCGGCGCTGTTCTAGTCTAGTCGGGAAGGCGAACCCCCGTCAGCTGATCAGCTGGTCGTCCGTAGGAGGCAATGAGCGACACGTCTCCGCTGAAGAGGCTCGCGGGAGGAGGGGGATGATCGCAAGCTGAGACCAGCAAGCAGCGGGCGACAGAGTGTCAATCAGGGTCCTGGGCTCAACTGGCATGTGACTGGATTGGGCCGGATCTTCACCAGGCGTTTCTGTACAAAAGTCCGCTTGATAGCGATCCAACATTGCGGCCCGAGCATGAAGCAAGCCCCTCGCTCTGCTGAGGCTCTGCAAAGACCTCGGATGCGTGTCGCATGGCCATGCACGGACGGTACGTACTGGTCGCCAAGCTGTGCGGCTCCAAGGCACGATTACGTCGTCCAGCCAGGGCACAGGGGCACGCTTTGCCAATGCGGCAGATGGTCGTCAAAAGTTCTTGGTCTGCGTGGGCCGGCTTGGCTGTGGCCGGGGGCCTCCATGTGCCCGCCCCCCATGAATCATGATCCAACGCATGCGCAGTCAGCTTGGCAAGATGAAATGGTACGCTGGCCTGACGACCTGCGATGCGAGGAAGAAGAAGGCGGTGCGGTGCGATAAGGGCCTGTAAGTAGACACAGAGAGACCAAGAGTCCACAGAGGGAGCTAGAAGAGCGAGGGATCGTCGACGTGCGTGTGTCCTGTCCAGTCCAGTCCAGTCAAGCGCGGAGGCAAACGAGGAGCAGGGCGAGGAGAGGCGAGCCAGAGGAGAGGAGGGGAGGGCTGGAGTCTGGAGTCTGGACTAGAGGCGGATCCGACTCCGCTGGGCGGAATTCGATGTTTATTACTGTCCTGTAGAAATCAGCCGCGTAAGAGCATGAATGAGATCAAACAAGGCCCAGTTGCTCTATCCGGCAGCTGGGGCAGATCTTCTGCGAGGTGATTGATTGATTCCCATGGCATTTGATGATGGATCCACGCCGGCTGGACGCGCGGAACAACGGCAAGAGAAGCGTTAGGGATCGTGAATTCGCCGCGCATGCACATTGGCGCTGCCTTGTCGCATTGATGGGGTCTACAGCACGTACTGGACGTCTCACGGCCAAAGAGGTTGCGCAGCGTGCCTATCTCGCGGGAAGGCGAGCGAGCGAGCAGAAGCAGTGGCCCATCATTGGAGGACCGAGGCTGGCTTGCTCCCACATCCCATCCCTCGCGCTGAACTGGATGCCGCTGGAGATGGCCCTCCTTGTGAGGAGGAGGCCTTTGCCTTCTTCGCCTTCTGTGGCTCGTTCGACTGCAGTAGCTCGAGGCGCGCGCACCGCACAGCTCGCCCCCAAGAGCCACGACGATGGGGAGAGGAGGCTTGGACATGTCATCAAGGCAAGCCAATCAGTCCGTACGAGCCACCACTTGTATCTATCTACATGCAACAGAGGCGCGAGCAGCAAGGGCCGACGACGGGGGCCACTGGAGATCTGGCGCCTGGCCCGTTTGGGTAGGTATAGATGGGGGATCGGCATCCTCGGCAGCCCGGCGGGAACAAGTGCCGGGATCTTTGCCCTAGGCCTGCCCCTTTGGGGAGGCTGCCCGGCCGGCCAGGGACATTTTGTGGTGATCGGCGCTCTGGTGTGGGAGCCTGGGAGGTGTAGACTGCTCACTTCTCACGGGCGTCGACGACGATGGGGGGACCAACATGGCCTGCGTGCTCCTGGAGGACTTGCCCAGTATCATCCGCGCATCTCTGCGAGAAAGGGGCAGGCAGCCCAACTATCAGGGACCATGACGATCACCGCCACGAGATGCTTCAACAAAGATAAATAGAGGCCGCACGTCGTCCTCCTCTGTGTCTACCTCCAACCTCCAACATCCATCATCCATCATCCATCATCCAAGTCTCTTCTCCTCAGCCTATCCCTCTCAGCATCCTCACCAGCCTCCCGTCTCCCCAGCACACCGCCAGCATGCGTTCCGCCACTCTCCTCGCCCTCCTCCCCCTGGCGCTGGCCGCCCCCTCCATGACCAAGCGCGAGTCGCCCGCGCCCCTGCTCGTGCCCCGTGGCGCCGACGTGGTCCAGGACAAGTTCATTGTCAAGTTCAGGGACGACATTCTGTCCACCAACGCCGTCGGCGCGGCCATCGCCTCCATCAAGGCCGACGCCGACTACCAGTACGCCAAGGCCTTCCGCGGCTTCGCCGCCACCTTGACCGCCGAGGAGCTCGAGAACCTGCGCAACGACCCGACCGTCGACTACATTGAGCACGACGCCGTCATGTCCATCTCCGCCACCCAGACAAACGCCCCCTGGGGCCTCGCCCGCATCTCCTCCGCCTCCCCCGGCGGCACCACCTACACCTACGACGACGCGGCCGGCGCCGGTACCTGCGCCTACATTGTCGACACGGGCATCGACACGAGCCACCCTGTGAGTCCCTCCGTCTTCCCTCCTGTCCTCTCGTTCCGTGGAGAACCCTCCCCCGCTGACAGACCAGGACTTTGACGGCCGCGCCACCTTTGCCGCCAACTTTGTCGACTCCAACAACGGCGACCGCCAGGGCCACGGCACCCACGTCGCCGGCACCGTCGGTGGCACCACCTTTGGCGTGGCCAAGAAGACCAGCCTCTACGCCGTCAAGGTCCTCGGCGACGACGGCACCGGCACCAACTCGGGCGTCATTGCCGGCATGGACTACGTCTCCGACGCCGACGACGACTGCCCCAGCGGCTCCGTCGTCAACATGTCCCTCGGCGGCGGCTTCTCGAGCGCCGTCAACTCGGCCGCCGCCGGCATTGTGAGCTCGGGCAAGTTCCTCGCCGTCGCCGCCGGCAACGACGGCGTGGACGCCCGCAACGCGTCCCCGGCCTCCGAGGCCTCGGCCTGCACCGTCGGTGCCACCGACATTGACGACGTGCTCGCCTACTTTTCCAACTACGGGTCCGTCGTGGACGTCCTGGCGCCTGTAAGTAGTTCTCCTCGTCCTTGTCGCGCCAGCTGGCTGACGTACCACACACAGGGTGTCGATATCCTCTCCGCCAAGCCCGGTGGCGGCTCCCAGTCCCTCAGCGGCACCTCCATGGCCTCGCCTCACGTCGCCGGTCTCGCCGCCTACCTCCTCGGCAACGGCGCCAGCGCCTCGGGCCTCTGCAGCAGCATTGCCTCCTCGGGCCTCGAGGGCGTCATCTCCAGCGTGCCCAGCAGCACGACCAACATTCTCATCAACAACGGCAACCAGTAAAGTCGTCAGCGAGCAAGCGAAGGGGGTGGACGGACGATACCACTCGCCGCCCGACGGCGAGACTGTCCACCTGGCGGGGGCTGGCTGGCTGGCTGGCCTGATGCTGTGATGAATTGGACGCATGGATGCATGGATATCTTTTCCGGTTGCGAACTCTTTTTGTACCTAGCACATATCACACCGTAAATAACACCTCGCACATTGTCTACATCGACTTCCTCTTAGGCTTGGTCCGCATAAAGATATTCGACGGCAGCGCCCTGTCCTGGAACTCGGCGGGCATGCCATAGTCCATCTCGGGCCCCTCCTGCTGGAAGCCAAACTGGGTGTAGACGTGTCGACCCATGGCCGAGCCCTCGGTCATGAGCTCCAGGTCGCCTCGCCGCCTCGCCTCCTCGACGCCGCACTGCACCATCCTCTTGGCCGCGCCACGGCCCTGAAAGGCTGGGTCCACGACGCAAATATCAAGCACGAGTGCGGCGGGGTTCTCCTCCTTCTCCTTGGCCTTGGCCCAGATGGCCTCGACACGCTGCCTGTTGAGCGCGCGCAGGACCAGGTGGCAGAAGCGCGCCTCCCGCTCGTCGTCGGGGTACTTTTCCTTTGCGGTCTGCAGCTGCTGCGCACTGTCGGGGGGCGTGACGCCGTGGCCCTCGACGCCGCTGTACTGCGTCCAGATGGAGTAGCCGATGATGCGCTCGGTGCCGTCCTCGTCTGTGGTGACGGCCTTCAGAAAGACGGCGTGGGGGATGCCGTTCTTGTCTTTGCCCGTGTCCTTCCACTTCTGGCCCAGCTTGGCTGCGTGTCGCCGGCGGCCCTCGGGCGTGTCCCAGCCTGGGAACATGGCTTGCCAGATGCCATCGGACGTCTGCTCGCCAAAGCCCTTGGCGGCGCATGCAAAGGCCCCGAGCGCGTCTGCCTCGCTTTCCCAGGGGAGCACGCGGACTTGGTTGGTGGAAACCATGCTGTCGTCTGTTTGGAAACTTGGCGTTGGCGGTGGTGAGATGTCAAGGGCATGCATGATTCATTCTAGATTAGTCTACTGTCCCCGCGCTGCGGCGCTGCCCCTCCTCGTGAATGACCTCGGAACTGAACTCGAGGTGGAGCCGAGATGCTAAGTGGCTCCTCGGGGCGTCGTGGGCTAGAAGATCTGATCGACGTAGGGGTCATCTAGCAAAGTCAATGGAAAGACACGGTTGTCTTACCATGTTCGGATACTATGTCCCATGACGACTTGACTTTGAACGGACGGACGGACGGTCGACGAGTCGCCCCCGCGTCCAGTAAGTTACGTAGTCAAGTTAACTTAAGTAGTTGCCTTCTCTGCACCGCTTACCCCATACCACTCAAGGACTCACCTCGGACGCTTGCTGCCATCCCGTCGAGTCGTGCATGGATCTTGACTGTATCAAATCATGAGTTATCTGGCTGACGATATAGGACTGCCAGCTGGCATGCCACCGTAAGATCAGTGGCAGTCAAGTGATTTGATGGAAACGCACCGAACTTGAATTCTCCGACAGGTCTCTCTGCGTACTCCGTACTCCCACATCTAACGTCATTCACGGCTCACTCTCATGACTGCAGCTTGACACCCAACTCCTCCAGTCCAGAATCCAGATTGCCTCCAAAACACACCCAGACAAACGCGATGCCGCCCGTCACACAGTACGCACGCCTGACCCTCAAGCCCGGCACAGAGGCCGACGCCTTGGACCAGTCCACCCCGACAGGCAAGATTGTCCAGCGCCGCGTCACCGAGCCGACCACGCAGCCCGGCTTCCGCGCCATCCACTACGGCCTCGCCGTCGAGCGACCCTCTGAGCTCTGGGCGTTTCTCGACTGGGATACCGTCGAGCAGCACCAGACGTGGCGCGATTCGGCGTACGTTTATCCCCTGTCTTCTGTGACGCCCACGCCAGACGAGCCAGGCTAACGGCATAGTAGATCCCACGATGACCTGAGAAAGAGCCTCGCGACCATCAGCGACGCGTCCGCGCCCAAGTTCTCCCTGTACATTACGCCCCAGCCGACAGTCGCCTTCAACGACCCTGCCTACCCCGTGGTCGAGGTCCTCAACATGCTCCTTCCCCCCGACATGGACGAGGCCGCCATGAAGATGGTAGAGGGCCGATGGGACGAGTTTGCCCGCCAGGCCCTTCACCCGCCCGCCCTGTGCGGCAAGATCGCGACGGGCTGGTCGCTGGAGAACAACGCCCCGGTGCGCGGCGAGGAGGGCAAGACGGGCAAGGTGTTCCTCGCGTTGGTCCAGTGGCCCAGCACGGACACGCACATGGAGAACAGGGGCCTGTCGGTGTTCAAGGACAGCATCCACCTACTGCGCGATCTGCCGGGCCTGCTCAAGATGGACATGTTCCACGTCCACGCCACGACCAAGACAGCGGCTTGAATAAAGGGCAACCGAGTGTGTATGGCTTATAGTACTTTCCCAAGCGTCGTAGGCTTCCCTCGCGTGAACCTCCCTTTGTGTCCCGACCAGACTCTCTACAGCTCATCCTCCCGCTTCGGCACCGTGGGATCATCCAGCCCGTCAAACAAGTCCACGCCCCATTCCCGTCCGGGATTGTTCATCCTCACCTTTCGATCCTGCGCCGCAATCTGCATCATCTCCTCCTCGCCGTACACAATGCTCAACGCGCCCAGGTTCTCCCGGATGTACTCCTCGTGCACGCTCTTGGGGATGACCACCGTGCCCCGCTGCAGACCCCAGGCCAGGACCGCCTGCGGGATCGTCGCGTTCTTATTCTCGGCCATCTGCTCCCAGAACGGGTCGTGCAGGATGCTCGGCAGGCCCGAGTCGTAGTGCGGGTTCAGGTTGGCAAGCGGCGAGTAGGCAATCACCCGCATCCCCCGCGCCGTGTGCCAGTCCACGTACTCCTGCTGCTGGAGGTACGGGTGCGTCTCCAGCTCGTGCGCGTACGGGCAAATCTCGCACACGGCCAGGATGGCGTCCACGTCGGCCGGGGCAAAGTTGGAGATGCCAATGTAGCGCGTCTTGTTGCTCTTGACGAGCGCCTCCATGTCCCTCCACGTCTCCGTGATGGGTCGGCGGGTGTCGACGGTAGACCCGTCTTTGAAGGCGACGGGCCAGTGCATGAGGTAGAGGTCCAGGTACTCCAGCTTGAGGTCCTTGAGCGTCTTCCTGAGAGCGCGCTCCGGGTGCCGGTGGTCCGTGTTCCACAGCTTGCTCGTGACCCAGAGGTCCTTGCGCTTCAGGGAGGCCTTTTTGATCCCCTTGCCCACCTGGCGCTCATTGCCTGTGATGATGTGTGTGAGCGTGTGTACATGTGCACCTGACAATTGGTTGCTCACCGTAGACGCGCGCGGCGTCAATGTGCGTGTAGCCCGTGTCGAGCGCGTACTGGGCCGCGTGCTTGACCTCTTTCTTGGGAGACAGCCAGGTGCCCAGGCCAATGGCCGGGATGTCGCCGCGCGACTCGACAATCGCGTCCTGGCCATGGCCGTCCGCGGCCGTCCCGGGAAGCAGCAGCAGCAGCGATGTCGCGAGGAGGAGGTAGTTGAGCATGACTTTGGCCATTTTCCTGACAGAATCCAATTTTCGATGTAAGAGACAAGTGAGCACGAGGCACTCAGACGCCTCAGACAAGCACTTTATCCCGATGAGGTCGTCATTGCGTGATGCGCGCTGCTTGTTTGACGTCATGCATGGGAGTTTCGGCGATCGTCGCTCAACAGATTTATCCGTCCATTACAACCGACTGAGTGTTGCTCGTTCATTGTGTCTCGGGGGAGGACTGTGAGTCGGTCACCTGCACCTTTATAAAGCAGTCGCAGTCAAATCACATGCCAGCAACCATTCCTATATCCATCAATTTTGTAAATACGAATAAAGTATGTACGCTCCCATAAGTATCGTCAGTCAGAAAGAAGTCAGGGCACTCTCATCCATCTCTTTTCCATTTGTGGCCGTACATTTGTGGCCGTCCAGTCGTGGCCGTCCAGTCGTGGCCGCCCAGTCACAGCCGCCCGGCCGTATTCTCCGGCTCTGCCGTCAGCCTGTCAAGCTTAACCAGAGGGGTTGCCGTTGAAGGAGAGGTAGTTGGGGCTGCCGCTTCCGACGTTGGAGAGGACGTTCTTGGTCGACAGCGTGCGGAGACGGGCGCAGAGAGCCTCGGAGCCGGGGAAGCCCTCGAGACCGGCAATGTAGGCAGCCAGACCGGCAATGTGGGGAGAGGCCATGGAGGTGCCCGACAGGGAACCCTGCGTGTGTTAGTCTTTGCTTTGATAATCCCAAGTTCCTTCCAAGAGCGTTGACTTACAGTGCGGCCGCCAGGCAGGGTCGAGAGGATGGAGGTGCCAGGGGCAAAGATGTCGACCAGGTTGCCGTAGTTGGAGAAGGTGGAGCGGCGGTCGGACGAGTCGGTGGCGCCGACGGTGCAGGCAGAAGGCTCCGAGGCCGGGGAGAAGTACGCCGCGTTGATGTTGTCGTTGCCGGCGGCGACGGCCAGGAAGATGTTGTTGTCGACCATGCGCGCGGCGGCGTTGTTGAGCGAGGCAGAGTAGCCACCGCCCAGAGACATGTTGGCGAGGACGCCACGGGGGCACGAGCGGCGGCGCGAGTCCGAGGCCACAAAGTCCATGCCCGCGACAATGCCAGAGATGGAGCCGCTGCCGTTGTCGCCGAGGACCTTGACGCCGTAAAGGCTCGTCCTCTTGGCGACGCCATAGGTGCGGCTGCCAATGGTGCCCGCGACGTGGGTGCCGTGGCCCTGGGCGTCGCCGTTGACACCGCCCGCGTAGTTGGCGACCAGGCTGGCGCGGCCCTCAAACTCGGGGTGGCTGGCGTCGATGCCCGTGTCCAGGATGTAGGAGCACGTGCCGGCGCCGGCGCTGTCGTCGTAGCGGTACGAGCTGCTGCCGCGCGAGCGCGAGGAGATGCGGCCCAGGCCCCAGGGGGCGCCGCTCTGCGTCACGTAGGCCGCGATCGAGACCATGGCGTCCTCCTCGACAAAGTCAACGTCCGGGTTGGCGCGGAGCGCCTCGACCGTCTCCTCGTCGAGCTTGCCCGAGAAGCCACGGATCAAGGTGCCGTAAACGTGCTCGGGCTTCTCCGAGAGGCCGCTGACCGTATCGTCCACAGCAGACATGGCCACAATGTCCTTGAACTTGACAATGTACTGGCCCTTGATGGAATCGTCGCGCTTGTGGAGGGGCGCAGGCTCGGAGCGCTTGGCGGCGGGTGCACCAAGGACAACCGGCAGGATGGCGAAGAGGACGGACAGACGCATGATGATGATTTGGCTTCGTGAGGAAGACTGGTACTGCTGGAGAAAAGGATGGATGTTTGCAAGGTGCTGGTGGAGGCTGCTGGGCTCTGATGGGATCGGAGTGAGGAGGAGAAGAAAGATCGTCGAACTGTGGTGAGGATGGCCTCTATTTATCCTCATCAGTTGTTGTCATCGCGTCGGCTCAAGACCTCAAGCCAAGGCCTTTGCGAGCAGCGTGTGGGCTTGTGATCCCCCTGTCGTCCACAGTTGACATCCGTATCCAACAACACCTTCCCAAGGTGGCAGTTGAACAAAAGTCCATGGCGTAGATGCATCGTGTCGAGCAGCCTGCTCTACACCTCGCAGGTCTGGGCACGGCGTCTAGGAAGCATTGGGAGCCCAGTGACACGATAGCTTCGAGGCGCAAGACCACAAAGGGCGCCTGTACGGGGCAGACAACGGGGGGTCCACGGGAGTTGCACTGCAGATGGGGTCTGTCTGTCAGTCCGCGTAGCGTCAAGGGACGCGGCTGCCCAGTCTAGAAGCCATCTCCAGCTCAAAAGGGTGCGATACCGCATGGCGGCGCACTAAGGGTACCTGACTCGGCAGTGGGAGGGAGGTCGGCGTGCGGCTCGTCATTGGCTATATTCCCGCTTTTGGTTGTCTTCCAGTACTTTGTTCATGCGGCCTGTGTTTGTTTCCAGAGATCCATCACGGATAGACCAGGCGATGTGTTTCGGCTAGTGCGAGCGAGCATAGACATGTATCTCCGGTCCCTCTGACCGGTGGTGATGGAGTGCGAGTGAGTTGCAGAATCGATGCGCCCTGTCGCCTGACCATGACAATGGCAACTCGTGAGTCGTGATGCCTGTTGAACATGTCCGAGCACTGATGTTAGAGCTGCCCCTATGAGAGAGGCTTTGGCAGCGCCAAGGCCTCGGAGTGTAACGCGCTGGGCTTTAGCGCGGACTACTTGGCGTCCATGTTGGGTAAAAGCTTGGCTCAACCCAGGTCTCTCGAGCATGAACGCATGCGCATACATATCGTGCCCTGGTCGGACACCCTGGTGAACAGTAAACGCCGACCAATACTGCAGTCTCTTTCAGATGAGCGCGAAAGGACTTGCGTACCATCAACACGAAGCCTACTACAAGGTGGTTCGGCCACTGAGCCGGATCGTCCCTCGAGACACAAGAAAGGACCAGCGCAACGACCAAGACTACGCCAACAGCAGATCAGCGTATAAATCGCGTGGCCTCTCGAGCACAGACACTGGTGCGGTGGGTGTAGCACTGTACTACGTAGAGTCCAACCGCACGGGATCAGCTCAACATCACCATGCTCGAGAGTCAAGACGGACTCGACCTGCCCATGTCCAATTTGCAGATCAACAACTGCCTCATGCGGAGACTAGCGCTGTCGATCTTCTGAAACCGCCTGCCCGATCCGTGTCTCGACGTCTTGGCTGTGGCCCCAGGCGTATGACGAGAGCATCGCTCAGGTGGAGATGCATGGCCAGTCGTGCCTGATCGTGTGCGCGCTTCCGTGGGACTACTGCAAAACACTGTTTCTGGAAGCCAACTAGCTCAGACGATGCGCAGATGCGCCGTCGTGGTAGGTTAGCCAAGGTTTCAATATACTCCCGGTGTGAAAGGACGGCCATGTTGAATGAGGGGTACAACTCTCGAAACACCACCAAGCGCGAACCATCCAGCAGCCCAGGCCGTGTGTCCGCCGACGGTGTCGCTTGGCCGCTGCAGTCTACATTGCGACGCATTATGCAGAATGGGGCAGTCATTCATGTTTATCCGCACGCGCCGGCACGCCCATCTTATCGTGCCCAGGCGCTTTGCGTCGTAGCATTGCGTTTGGGTAATGCTGCACGAGAGTTTCTGCGAAGGAATCGCGCTCGTATCCTCTCGGTACGCTGCCCGGATCATCACGAGACGTCCCTCGCAATTAACTTTTGAGTTCTTGCGCGATCGGTCCGAGCCGCCGGATCGACTGCGAGCGCACCACAGCGCGTCGGGGCCAACAGGCAGTTGCAAGACATCGTCCGGGGACGTTCTCCCCAAGTCCGTCGCTCCACAGTTCCCAAGCAAGGATCACATATGCCATAGAAGACGGGGAGCCGCGATTGTTCGCACTGCCATTGCGCCAATGGCGCGCTCGGGCTCTGTGGTCAGAGGATCAGATATCGGCTGCAATCCTCAAGGTGCTTGGGCTCCACAGAGGGAGCACCCCACGTTCCGTTTGGGAAGGTATAGATAGTCGTGCAGGCGTAGCTTGGCGATAGCATCAACCATCACCCTGATAATGTCGGTTGCCGTCCGGATCGGGGAGGTCGAAGAGCGAAGGCGCATCATGTGGACCATGCACGAGGCTTATCTAATCGCGGGGATAGCGCACGCCATCCATCCTCTTCACGATAGTATGCGTAGAGGACCCAAGACCATGAGCAGCCATCGCGACTTTCTGGAAGGACTTCAGAACAAGTGCTAAGCAATGAGGCGTGCTGGTCCGAACCAAAGGCTGCCCTCCATCACGATCCTAGGCGCTTTCCATGGTCTACGCCGACGAGAGCCGTGTCAACACATTCCAGACCTGCTGTTTCCGTTCGTTTCTTGTGTATATCGTCCGGGCTGCAGAACCGCGAATGGGTGTGATAGCTACGTTTCAATACAGGCACAACGGCAGAGCTCAGCCGCTCGTGGCGCGCTTGACGAAGTGCCCTTGGATGAGCCGTAGCCTTTCAGCTCAGCATCAAGTCGTGTATTACGTGTTGGAAATGTCCTGATGGCGGCTTTGAACATCCATCTGTGAGCATGAGCTGAAGCGGCGGCCAGTGCTCAAGTGGTGGATGCAGCATATCTGACTCCGGGCCAATAGGCTCGTCGGATGTGCCCGCTGCGTGTCAACACCTGTGCATGAAAGAATCCGTGGATTTTCGATCCTATTATCATGTCGCAAATGTGTGCTCCAGCAGTTGTGCTTCCGGAACCCTGCAGCGTCGCGGCGCGTGCCTTTGATGCTCATGGCGAGTCGTTGCCCCAAGCAGGGAAGTGCTCCGTCCTCGGCAGGGAAGTGTCCGTCCTCGGACGCTGACAGGCATCGGCGGCCCTGATGCCACGGTGCAGCATCTGGTCATTGTTCGAATTGGGGAACGAGAGGGAAAACGCGTGCGTGAGTTGAGGTTCGGTCACGAATCGCGAAGCCTCCGTCGACGCGTTGCCGCTGTGACGGAGTAGTAATACCTGGTAAGGCAGGACCGGCCCGAGGCACAGCTGACAGACGCACAGGGGGGCACGGACCACCGCGGTCTTAACTCTTCGAGCTCTGGAAGGACATAGCTGAAAACACAACCCACGAAGTGGATAAAATAGTTTAGGCTCTGATGGGCAGATAATACCTGGAGATAGGAAAGTAAATTTTGCGAGGCTGTGTCATAGGTTCCATTGCTCCGGCTAGCCACGAGATGCTGACACTGTGCACACGGCGACAACTATGCTATATGGTGGCCGTCCGATCATTGACCCAAGCTAACTATTCCACCTTGAGACCAATGAATATCATCAGGCGGGACAGTATTTGGGCTAGTTTACATAAAGATATCTAGGTAGCAAAAAGTAGTGCTCATTGGATAGTGTCGTCTGGGTGAGTTAGTGTCTTGTTGGAAATAAAAGGTATAGGGTGGTCAAATCGAGGACACTCTGCAGTGTGTTGCGAATTTCCTCGTCGGTGACTATTTCTACTCCTTCTTCTATACACCTCTCGCTTTATTTTACTCCGGGCTTGCGTTCCAGAATCGCCAGGCATAGGCAAATTCTAGAAAAGGCGGCGCCTTTTTTTTGCTTGGCTCTCAGGGAGTTGGTCTGCTTTGGCCACTGATTCGGAGCGCTGAAGATGCGCTTTTCACGCGATGCACCCGCCATTTCAGTGAAACTGACCACTGCAATTTCAGCTACTATTGTTATCTATCATGGCGCCACCAGACCTGCGGCCTCCTCTCCCAGGAGCGTGCAACCTCACCGCTCATGACACCAATGCCCACTTGCGTTGGCACTCAACCACTGATCACAAGGACAACGACCTTCCTTCCTGCACAGCACGTGCCGCGAATGGAAGCTGAAGATGATCTTTACGAAGGTTGCTTGATAAACAAAAAATGCCGCGTGAAATTCCAACCAATGTCACCTCACTGGCACCCATCTGCCGGCTCTTCTCTTTCGGGGGTTCGTCGTCGGCAATTTTCAGCCTCACAATGTCAACACGTGGGAGACCACTGGCGTTGGCAGGCCGAGTTGCATGGCACGACAACCCCACCCGTGACACTACAAGCCATTCATGCATCCAAACCAACCGAAGCAGGAAGATGGCTTGGAGGAAAATGGTTCTCACAAGACACGGGCAGAATGGACGTTTGTTCAACACGTGTGGCTTTACAAGGGCCGGGTGGTGTTGTTGGAGGATGGAGGAATCGATGGGCTATCGTCGTTATAACAAGACGATGGCCAGGCGCATATCTGTCGGCAGTGGGCTGTCTGTAAGTGATCAGATCCAATAGCGGCTGATCCAGCAGTCGGATCAGAACGATTCCATGATTCCCAAGCCTTCCATTGCTGGGCAGCTCGCCCTCCTCGCTTCGGTGGCCACTGTCACTGCTGCGCCAGCACCAGGCCTCGGCATCGACATTGACGCTACGCCTCACGTCTTTTCTCGTGCCGTCAACCCTCCCACCGCGCTGCCCCAGAGCGCCACGGCCAACGACCTTCGGTGGCAGCCAGTGCTTGACTTTGACACGGACGGCTGTTACAACGTCCCTGCCATCGACGCGGCAGGTTACGTTGCCGAGGGCCTCGAACACAACTGGGCGGATCTCGCTTCCGACTGCAGGGACATGTCGGATCTGGACAACAATAATGTGTACTCCCGCCAACGCTGCAACAACGGCTGGTGCATCTACATGTACGGCTACTACTTTGAAAAGGACGTGGCCATCCCCAACTTCTGGGACCCGGGCCACCGGCATGACTGGGAGCACATTGTCGTCTGGGTCAACGGGAGTGGTGCTCAGTACGTCGCCGCGAGCCAGCACGGTGGCTGGGAACTTCGGCCTGCCAGCGAGGTGCGGTGGGAGGGCGAGCATCCCAAGATTGTCTACCACAAGGACGGGCCGGCAACGCATTGCTTCCGCTTTGCGACTACGGGGGACGACAACGTCGCGAACCACAAGGGCTACTGGTTTCGCGGCTCGCTGGTGAGCTACAACGGGTTCCCGGGCAACACGCGGGAGAAACTGTTCAGCCACGACTTTGGCAAGGCCACCATTGGCTTCAAGGACTCTACCTTTGAGTCGCATATCGAAAAGGCGATTCCGAGCGGCGTGACGTTTGATAGTGGTCGTGATGAAGGTTCTCCTGGATATCCTTAGGTGGATGAGCGACGATTTGGCGTAGCACTTGATACCCCTGGTGATTGATGATTTGATGAAGAGGGTGAAGCGAGTATAGACACAGTTTTTTTTACCCACCACGAGGGAGACAGCCACGTTGGATGGGTTGATCGTAGTTGACGAGCGTTTTATGGAGGACATGTATGTGCTCACGAGACTGAGTAGTTTCAAGTACCGGCCAATTCGGCTCTTTTGTTCCTGCTTGCTCTGTGAACGCAGCACGAAGATCGAGCTTTCTATTCAGTGAAGATGGCGAATGTGGCCCTTGCGCAAGTATTATTGTCAAGCTCTTAGCAGTAATTTATTCTAGAATCGTGGCTACGTGTAGCAAGAAGTGACCACGTCATTTCCCACATTCATGTTTGATACACTCTCCTGGGCATTATTCTCACTAGGATGACCGTTTCTTTCCTCTCCACATGAATTCAAGCGCGACTATGGTGACATCTGTTCTGAAGTATCGCTGGCGGTGGTCTTCCTCGCCCAGTAGCTTCTTCTTGATCGGGACTGTTGCGGACCCGACGAAGTCGGCCAGATACAGGAGGTTTGGTCATACACTTCTGCCCAATACTTTGAGACAGCGGAGACACGGTCTTTTTGGCCTGGTCAGCCGCGGTGCAAGTTATGAACGGACGCCATGTTGTGAAATATCCATCATCCTCATTGTCTGCTGCTCTACTGCCATCCCGCAAGCCTTGGAAGCGCTCATACACATCCCCGATCATGTAATTGCTCCACCTTCGTAGCTTGGGCCTGTGCGGGTCAATGTAGGACCTCGGGGCAGGGGCCTCGGCTGTTCATCGCCCTCGTTTGTGGTGCGGTGCCACTGTCACGCGGACCGCTCTACACTGTGCGATGTGCTTTGCGGGAGTCTCCTCAAGAGGGTGCATCAGTGGATTACTGTGCTGGTTTCTTCGTCGTGCGTACTATAATGGGAGAACGAAAACTGCCGATGCAGAGATGGACTCAGCTCGCCAGTCAACAAGGCGTTTCCAACTCAAGAGGTCGTACGAGTCTGCAGCGCATCATCTGCCGGTGGATCATTGGCTTGTCTTGACGGCTTGATATTCGTGTCACCAATAGGGTCAGCCATGCCGGAGCGGACGAAACTGTGGGAAACACGGTCACGTCAGCCATCTTCGCAGGACAGACCGTCGCGTCGTCGAAAAAGCTTACCAGGCTAGGGCGACTGCGCTGCACAGAGAGTATTCAAGCCATCGCGACTCCCCCGAATCCTCCAGATGGCCCTCGCGGCCCATCAAGATGACCATACGCCTCACCCCTTCTTCCGCCAGGTCGCTCGCGTCCCCGGCCTGCCCAATCTTGAGCTGATGCAGGGCCATGAGACCGCACGCCTGCACATCTGGTACGCAGGCAGGACTCTGGACAATGAGCGCCCTGGCCTCTTGGAAGAGACGGTTGCCGAGGCTGGCATAGGTGCTCCGCAGTGTGTCGTAGCCGCCCAGTGCGCGGCATCCCAGGCATGATATGATCCGCACCAGGGCAGGGGAGCAGTGAAGGGTGCGCTGGCCAAGGAAGTCACTGACGAACGAACTGCGCTGCACAGCTGGCAAGGAGCCGACGTGCCAGCTGAAGAAGGCATCCGTGAGGTCGAGGACGAGTTTCGTCGGCATGGAGATTAGCTTGTATGGGCTGCGGCCGCGATGACCGGGACGGCAGCACGCGTCGGTATCGAGAGCAAATGCATCCTTTGCGGACCACCCAGTGTCAGAGAGCTGGCGTGTGCGTGTGGATGGCATGGCTCTCTGACATTCGACCACGGATAGGCTCGCCGTGATCGTAGTCGTCGACATGTTGCGGCCTTGACAGTCCCAGATGGGAGGAGTGCGCGCCGACGAAGGGGACGCCACGTCCAGTGTCTTCTGCTGCGGGGAATAAGGGTGCTGTGCAGGGAAAACATCCAGTGCCCACTCTGGCTGCCACAGGGGGCGATAGCCGGGGCCGTTCATAGCGAAGGTTGCATGGTTTTGGCTCCTCGGGTCGTACATGTGGGCAGGGCTTGCTACTTTGTCGTAAGGGAATGGCGTAAGCCGGGAGTTCATTGTCTCTTCCTGATAGTCAGTACAACTGCTGCTAGCGCAGCCAGTGCTGCCTTGGTCGCCTTTGTATCCTGTCAGTCGTTCGGCGATCTGCTGATGGGTCGCGTCCTCCCGTAGGAGCTCGAAGGCGTGTTCGTGCTTTGCTTGCAGTCCAGCTTTCTCCTTTCGAAGTTGTGACTTGGCCAACCGCACGGTTGGGGGGCGAACACACTGTGTTGTGTTCTGCTTGCACCGGTGACACGGTTCGTGCCGGTCGCACTTTTGTGTAGCCTTGGTGTCAGTCGGCGATCTATGTGAGCCGAGAGCGGCCTGGTGCTGCTTACTCGGACGTGTCTCTCCAGGCAGGCCTGGCATGCTCGTCGACGGCGAGGAGGTACGTTCATGTCGCTGCGACTACCGTGTTCGTTCGCCACTGTGTTTTCGAAGATGACTGGGAACTTTGGATCCGAGTCTAGCTGAAGACCCCGAAATTTGGAGCTGGTATGCCAACGCAGGCTCATGAGCGGCTGTTGTTCAGCGTATATGCTACTTTGTTCTTGAGGCGTAGTGTCATTGGCATGGGTGGGCGAGAAGCGTGTCGCCGCCGGACAAGGTATGCAAGGGAAGGCCTTCCGGCCGCTTGTGATTGATCTGACAGGTCAGGTCGCTCATCATGGTGACGGTAATGCGTTTATGCCAAGACTCGACATTGAAGGCAAGGCTGTCTTCCACCTACAACGTAGTCGGCTCTTGGGTAGGCCAGCTCGAACCTTGATCCGAGCTGAGCTACGGAGCCAATGAGAAGACAACGGAGGACGCTCCGATGCCAAGTCTGACGCACCATCCACCCCCGGTTCGTCATGTTGTGTATTGTCGTGTTCTCTAACGTCCAAGTTCCGTTGACAGTGTCCGTTGCATGCATCTGCCGGACATCTGAATAATATTCCGTTTGGACCCATCCTCGGCATCGGCAATCACAAGACGTCACCCCAAGATGGACCGCCGATACACGCCGCTGCGAAGTGCGGCGCCGCCATCAGCACAGCCAGGTGGCATCTCAGAGTCGGCACCGTTGCCCCCCAAAAAGAAACGCGCCACTGTTGTGTCCGTTGCATGCAACGATTGCCGCAGGAAAAAGATTCGCGTAAGTCTGCACCCTCGATTTCCGCAACCTTGACCAACCTTTTGTGATCGAACCGCAGTGTGACGGCAAGCGGCCGGTCTGTTCAAACTGTGAGGGATCGCGGTCCCGATGCGTCTATCGAGATGAAGCCGGTCTCTCCAAGGACTCGAGCGAGACGGTCCTGGAGATGGTGTCTCTCCTCAACAGCCTGCCGTCTACAGACATGCTTCCGCTCCTTCGAAGGCTGAACGCAGAGGCCGACGCCTCGACAGTGCTCGCCACTCTGCGAAACGCTCGAGGCGCGAATGAGGGCGATAATCGCCGCAACAGTGTGTCGATTGCTGCGCCCGAGGCCGTCCCGGCTGTTGAGAGCGTGGATGAGCTAGCAGCTTTGTATTCCGCAGTCTATCCACCTCTGGCCAAGTCCGGGCCGGACCTGTTCGACAGCAAGCTCTATCAAGAGTTGATAAGTACTCTGGGCGACATGAAAGATGACTCACCCGAAAACGAATCTAGCAGCGATGCCCGAACAGACGATCCAGAGCTATGCGATGCTCGCCTCTACAAACTGAACATTGCGCAATGGACCAGTGTCGACATAGCCAGCGACCTCGCCGCCAAATGCATCTCTCTGTATCTGAAGATGGACCACCCCCTCCTCGGCCACTTTGATCCGGATTCGTTCATATCGGACCTGGTGTCGGGGCAAACCAGGTTTTGTTCGCCTCTTCTCGTCAATTCTCTGCTGTACTGGGGCTCCGTGAGTCCTCTGGCTCGCCAAGGCTGGCACCACGGCTTCAAAGAGCCTGCCGCTGCCGCAATACTAACCCGAAACCGTAGCAAATGTACAGCGCCATCGATCCGCATACGTATGATCTGGCACTGCTCTTCTGCCAGGAGGCGGAGCGCTGGTGGGATGCGGAGCGCGGCCATGCTAGCGACTCGGTGATGAAACTGGCAGCGACCGTTTTCCTCAGCCTTGGGTATCTTGCCCAGGGCCGAGACCACGCGGTTCTGAGATACCTAGCCGAGGCTACAGACATGGGGACAAGGATGGGGTTCTTTGGTGCGCAGGAAGTACAGTCAAGCACGAGTACCCCAACCGGCCAAGGTGAGGTGGGGAGTGGGGAGAGCTACACTGCTTGGGGTGTGTTCAACTGGACAGTGTGAGTAGGGACTGGACCTACCTAGTCGAGCCAAGGTGGCGACCTGGGCATACCAAGTTAACTGGCCGTCTTCGCGGAGTAGTCTTATGTCTCTCTTCTACCATCAGCCTGGGATCCATACGCCTTCTGGCCACCCACGGAAACCGATCCCCCGGGTCGCGCTGGCGGCCACGTCACCATCCCCTTACATGGGTCAGACGCTGCCGTACCTCTGCCACTTCTGGAAGATTGTCCACCAAGTGACAATATTGTATCACGAAGAAGACAGACTGCCGTGGGGCTCGCGCAGTTCCGTTTCCTTTGCCGAGTTCAAGTTCCGTGAGCTTCTCGCGTGGAGCCAGAGCCTGCCCCGTCACCTTGACTCTCAGCACGTCAACACCCAGCACGTCCACATCATGCAGTCAGTTGTCCTCTACGCGAAAGACTATCTTGCCTGTCCTTGCGCTGACCCCGCCCCTCCTCCTTGCAGCATGTGGTTCCACGCAGCCGTTCTAGACATCTTCCGACCCTTTATCCGCGACGAGTCCCTGGCGGATCAGAAGTTCTCAACCTTTGACGGCGGAAGCTACACGCCGCGTTCCATCTACGCGAGATCCACGGCCCAGCTGAAGCGGCTGCTGATTGAGTACCGCCTCAACTATGCCTCAGCATCCTTCTCTATTCTGTGGCACACGGCAATGATCTACGTCGCCAATGCCATACTGGACGACGACAGCGAGGATTGGTACTACTACCTGCTCGTCTGTGTCTACGGGTACCAGCGCCTGAGCAAATCCTGGCGTGTGGCCAGGGCCATCTCAAAGGGGCTCCTGTCCATGGCGGTAAAAAAGTCACATATGACTGGCAACTCGGCGCGGCAACTTCTCCACGATCTCCAGAGGCCGGATACGAACTCGGCGCTCAAGGAAATCCGGGCGACGTTCATGCTCGACCTCGGGGGTTCGGACAGTCCCCGGTCGTCGACAGCGGAGCATCTTGCCGATTCATTTGAGGCCAACGCAGATCTACAAGTCTATACTAACCTACTTGACGATTGAGTTCAGATGCTCCCGGGTTACATGATGAGACAAACAAGGCCATTGTTATGGAACAGGTGCAAGGGGGAGAGGTCCAGAATCAAGGCAAAGGTGCTCGCTCAAGGCTTTCCGGTAAGTGATGCCGTGACCGAGGCTTGCAAAGGAAAGCTAAGAAAAGATCGAATTCTGAACGAGATTTGGGAGCCCCACTAGGGTCCTTCACCCGTCATCCTCGTCATCCTCGCCCGCCTTGTGCATAGCTCCATGTCAGCATTCAGGGTCCAGTGCAGTCTCGACAGGGGGGCTGTTAGACTCGGACTCTGGAGGCCCTGGAGGCTGGATGAACTGCCTTGTCCAGCATCTCGTCACAGTAGAGCAACAGAGTACTCCATCGTGAACCCCTTCACAGTGCAGGAGGACATTGAAGGACTCATTCGTACATGTTGATCGCGTGGCTTGCGATGCGCGTACCAGAGCCTGGGGGGGCTAATAAACGTGTATCCGTATTTGCGATTAAGTTTCACGCCACGGGAACACTCTCCGGAGTCGAGAGTCCAAACCCAAAGAGTGCATACTGTTTGCCATATCCTATATACTCCAAGCTCACCTAGGTACTGTTAATTTCTTCGGATGGTCAAGTCGCACTTCGTACTTAAGTTCCCATGGCAGTCATTCAGGAGAAGAGGATAGAAAAAACCTTGCGTGCACTGGCAATTTCAACTTCTAAGAGGGACCCGGGCTCCGTCGAAAATCAAGGTCCAACGGTTCTTCCGGGTGACAAGCTGAAGCCAGAGGCCGCCCAGGCCACCCGGACGTGTTGGCGGGGCCGTTCGTGACAGATGGCCTTGCTACAGATTCCCCTTCTGGGCTCCCAAACGCCCCGCTGATTGGCCTTTGGTTGGCAGTGGATGCAGTCAGCATCCAGGGTCCAGTGCAGCCTTGACAGCGGGGGGGGGGGGGGGGGGGGGTGTTAGGGGGGGGGGGGGGGGGATAAACCACCCCCGTGTGCACCAAAAAGGTGTGGGCAATTGGCACCCGACCCGTGTGGGGTTTTAAAACC